AAACGGGGTATAACTGTAAACTCGCTCATCGATTACAAAGTAGTTCGATAGTTACATGAAACCGCGCAACTGTGTGCGAAGTCTCGCTGGTTTCTAAGCTAATGTGTTCGTGGACACTGGGAAATGTAATTAAGGAGAGTTATCAATACATTTTATTTGATTTAACTTAGCGGCGCTCCTATTCTCCCGTGAAATTGACACCCGTTGCATCATAGTTCTATTTACTGTGAGGTGAGGGCGATGGGGTAGCCGTGTGGTTAAAGCGTTGGACCCATGTTCGACTCCAAACATGGGTACAATGTAGAAGCCCATTTCTGGTGTTCCCTGTCGGGATATTGCTGGAATATTAGCCTTTGCTTCAATAACAGTGTGGTTGTAGGACTTCGACAATGCTCATACTAATTGTTGTGGTAAACAAATCTACCATAAATACATGACACTTTTTTTTCATCTTTTTTTCTTTCTTTTTTTTTCTTTTTTTTAAATATATTTTTTAAAAGAAGTTGCTATCCACAACAAAGTGTCATGTATTCATGTTCTCCAAACTTCTAAATGGCTATCAAAGACTTAAATCTGCCATAGCTGAAATCGACACTACAACACAAGGGTAATACACGTAACACACGAACAGCTTTTCGCTATTCCCTGCATATCTCCCCGTTATCTCGAGGGCTAACTACAATGAAGACCCCCGTGAAGAGCACGGTTCATCACAGGTATACACAAAGCCCATTGTATCCGTGTTATAAATAACTCATGGTTGATATTTGACTAATACATGTATAAATGTGTGTACTCCCGTAAAGATCGATGCTCATGATGTCAATTACTGGATTGTCTGGTCCAGACTCGTTTGCAAACCGCCGCCATGTAGCTGGAATATTGCTGAGTGTGGCGTTAAACAACAATTACTTTTGCTTGGGTCGTCTTGCTACCCGGAAGTGAAGCAGGTTGCGGCACGTGTTTTTCCAGGTATAACTAACCTTGGTTTTCCAAGAACTACATTGATTCGTTCAAGGTTCACCCACAGGAGACGTGCTTATACATGGCTGATTTCTTTGAAATATTCGTTTATTTTCTAGTCAAGCATAAACACAGGCGATCTATTACGTTCAGACTAAGTGGATCCATTCAATTATTACAAAACTGTTCTAGTTGTCGACCGTCTGCAAATGGGGAAAACGATTACCCTGTTTTGTTAAGAATTACCTTTGTTAAGAATCTTCCCTGGGGAGACATTAAGAAATCATGCATAGTTTAACCGTTCTTTCAACGATCCACTATTTATTCGCGAATTAACAATTTGGTTGTGAGCTATTCATGCCCCATTGTCAGTTATCATTGCCAGTTATTATAATTTAAGTTAACATTGTCATATATAATTGTCATTTATCATTGTCAGTTATTTTATTTTGAGGTTTTATTGTCAGTTATCATTATCATTTATCATTTCTGTTATCATTCAATTTATTAGTTATCATTGTCAGTTAATTAATTTGAGGTATTATTGTCAGTATTCATTGTCATTTATCACTATCATTCATCATTGTCAGTTAATTATTTTCAGTATCATTGTCAGTTGTCATCTCCAGTTAGTTATGTCAGTTATCATTCAATTTGTTAATTATCATAGTTAGTATTTATTGTTATTTATCATTGTCAGTTATTCATGATATTCATAATAATGTACCCTTGGAATTTGACGGAACTATTTTTTCACTTCCGACACTCCATTGAATGATTTCAACTTTTGCCTGGAACTCGAGAACCCCCACAGTATGGCGTGTAATAGTCAGTCTGAGCTACGTACACATATGACAGGGCGGTGTAAAATTAACAACTAAGCATTTTCAAATGTTTCTTAATCCTTAAAGTCGTTTTATGTAGAATGTTTATTACATTGTGCTACCTAAAACGTTGTAAATTAAAAGTAACAAGAGAGACCGTCGACAAGAAAACTAGGAAACAGATAAACATATATATCATTGTTCAAGGCTCTAGATTTCATACAATCCCAATTTGCATGTTTTTAAAACGTGAAAGCGATTGATGAAATACCCGCGGACCCAGCGAAATTGTAAAGCGCCTTGTACCATGCATTGTAAAGGACCTTCTACCATGCATTGTAAAGCGCCTTGTACCATGCATTGTAAAGGACCTTCTACCATGCATTGTGTGTCAGGTGCTACACAGCCATACACATTGTTGTCAATTGAGAGTGTGTCACGTGCTACACAGCCATACACATACCTCGTTGCCACCGGGGATATTGTCACTCGCTGCAATAAAGCCCTTCTCTGCTGAACTTTCGTCGGGGCACCGCCGCTGCCATACGAACTGAAATTCAGAAGAATCTCTTAAAGGCGACATAAAATTAAGATTATTTAAATTTGTTTGAGAGACGACAAAACTTTGACGTAGGAAACACCCGCTCGGGTAGTCGTTCACCCCATGCGGCTAGCTAGGGCAACTGAGTGTGTTTGAACCACGGATAAGCAATTTAACTAACATGGTAGGAGGAGTAATAACACCATCATGGTACGAGGGCGGGTCAAAACGTTCTAAGCCTAACAAACGAAAACAACAATTGTGAAAGTGTTTTTAATATATTTTTCAACATAACCTACCTGCTTTTCAATACACTTCTCATATCGATAGTGAAGTTTCTCAATTCCAGTCAGGAAGAAGCAGCCCTGAAAAACACATTCACGGCAGTTTTGTGGTAATCGTTGTCCATGAAGGCGTTCTTTCAGTTTAGCAAACAGGTGGAAATCACTTGGCACCAGGTCTGGCGAGTATGGAGGGTGAGAAGCTCTTTGAACCCACATTGTCGCACAGCAGCAAGTCGAAAGGTGTGAAAAGAGGCATTGTCATGAAATAGTAGCACTCCAGCACTAATATACAAACGGCCTCAACAGACCAAATACCCTTGCAATTAACTATTCAAATAATGTACTACATTGACGAGTTCACTTTGTTATGTCCCATAGTTGAAAGTTAGTCAGGCTTAGAACTTTTTGACCAGCCCTCGTAAGATGTAGCGTTTGCGGTTACACACTTATGTGTTACATAAGATAACGGCCGTGGTTTATTAGATGGATCGTTAAGGTAACGCAAACCCTGAAAGAACGTAACATTCAATATACAAACGCAATAAAAGTACAGGGGTGGTCCCTCATTCTGAATCCGCGTCACAGTACTCACTCATAACACAGGCTCCCCGACATGGTCGTATCTTAATTGTGTCGATCGATGCTCATGATGTGAATCATTGGATTGTCTGGTCCAGACGCGATTATTTACAAATCGCCGTGAGGCATTAAACAACAAACCAAAAAAACACTCAATGTTATTGATGCTATTTTTTAAATGCAGCTCACATCCGAGAACAGAACATTTTCACACATTCGTCTTGTCCCTTTAATTCTGCCACATTGCATGTTTGGACAGACCTACGCAAATCGATGATAAGAAATTAAACTCGCTGCGCTTGATCGCTTCATAAAGCGGTGTTATTTTACAACTGATTGATTGTTCCCCTGGCAAACACAATGTAAATGTAACAAGTTGCAACTGATTGCTGTTTCGTGGAAAATGCCTGGCTTGACAAACTGCATGCCTCACACCTGACCTGCTGTTGGAGCCATGTGTTGCCCGGGTGATATATCAACATGCAATGGGTGGCCAAGCACCAGAGTGCAGCGTTTCCTCCCTTAGCAATGTCAGGACGCATTGGTTGTTGGTTGGAATCCCAAGCTCACTCTGATTGGGCTGTTTGATCTGTCAGCACTGAACCCGCGCTCGTGCGTTTCATTGTTAAACACCACCGTCAAGATCCAGGGTTAGAATTGGTCTTCCGCAACCAAGCTTGGACAAGCTCTCTGACTTGGTTGATGAATGTCATCGTATCCCATCGATGCTCATGACCTCAATCACTGGATTGTCTGCTCCAGACTCGATTATTTCGAGATCGCCGCAATAAATAACCGCTAATATGCTGAAGTGCTACACTTATGATGTTAAATATATATAGTGAAATCAGTAACTAAAATAAAACAAAATTAGAATGTATGATTCCTTTTAGAATTATAGTTTAAGATTTAATTTCTTCGGACCATTGCATTAAAAATCTTCCATGTTATTTTGGGGGTATTTTTAACTGGAATGGCCTGAAGATAACGGGAGAAAATGTGCTTATAAAAGTAAAAGCAATGATTTAAGCTTCTGCATGAAAGAAGCTGTCAAGTTAAACAGGAAATACAACAGAAATTGTAAATCATCATGTCTTGTAATGGTTTATCGCAAAATTAAAAATTTACTCCGAGTCTGTTTACTCCTGTTCGTTCACCTGTTTCTTTTTATGATAGTACCGTGAAGTTCGTTTGTTTGTTGTTATTCAACGCCGCACTTCACAATATTCCAGCTATATATTTGACGGCGGTCTGTAAATAATCTGGACCAAACAATCCAGTGACTGACAATATGGGCATCGATCCATGCAATTGGGATATGAAGACGTGCATCAAACCACCCGATCCCGTTAGTCGCCTCTTATGACAAGCATAGTCGCCATTTACGGCAAGCATTTTTAGCTGAAGACCTATTCTACCCCGGATCTTCACGGCAAGCATGGATTGCTGAAGACCTATTCTACCCCGGATCTTCACGGGTCTATGATAGTACTAAACATCACCATACCCTACCAGGTTGCCTAAACACTGACGCAGCTGATATTTTTTCGATTTATTTACGTGCTTTCACTGAGACAAATACGCAGGAATGTTTTGCGTCAGGTTAAAAGCTATTTTATATAATATAATCTACAGAATAGATCAGCCACACCATTGGACATGCATGTTTTAAGAATCTGACCCCCCGAGACCTTCGGTGTCGGTCGCTCGGGTAGTTTAAACACTGCCTCGGGACAATGGCTATTATTTGGCAAACTATAACTGACTGTTGTGTCGACCATTCATTCTACAACGTTCATTACATTTCAGAGGGAAATTGATTGACCCTTGCGGGGTGTGCGGCGGTGACGGCACTACTTGTCTCGTTGTGACGTCAGTCAGCCCCGATTATGTCCCGCCACAAACCGTAAAGGTAAGATTACTTTTCACAAATTATAAAAAAAACTACACATCTGCTTTCGTGGATTTATAGGAGTGGTGGGGTAGTTTTGTGATTATAACGTTCGCTCGTCACGTTAAAGTTCTGAGTTCGATTCCCTACAAAGGTATATTGCGTGAACCACATTCCTAGTGCTATAGGCGGCGTAACACTATATTCACTCACACGTTGATCTAAATGACCGATTCAAAATACGTAAACGTAGACAAGTGGATTTCCCTATTTTGCCTTGTAGCATGTGTTCGCAAGTTGTTTTTTCAGATAAAACTTACTTGCCTTTGCATGTGTTTGTGACGGGTGCCACCTATAGGGCAGGATACGCTAACCTTTTCGCAAACACCTAGTATCATCACTATTTGATGGTGTTTCATAAACACATGCTCATGATACAGTCGGACTCGCACTATCGACTCTGCTTTATTCAGATATTTCTATTGGATGCGGGAAGGAAAATTAGCTTACCAATGATTCATGTTGTTTGTTTTTATACAGACGATCAAAGTTGGCGGCGCTGGGTTAGGTAGGACAACCATAGAGTGTGTCGCCATTAGTCAGGCTACCAACGCTGAAACCAGTTTGACAACCATCCAGAAGACACCTCAAGAAATTACCCTATCTCTTCCCGCCTTAGTTGCAGGTGGGTTGCGAGGAGTCAGATCCTTCGACAAGCAGAAATATGGTTGATCTGAACCTTAGGAAATATATACCACAATGTAATCAGCTGATCTTTACCCTCCCGATGTCCCGATCTTTTCTCTTTACCTGTTTTCAGTCTTATTATCTTGTTAAAAAGTTATTCAACATTTGAGAATGTGTCGAAGAAAGACGCTAATTATAGTTGCGAATTAAATGTATAGTATTGTTATTAATTGTTATTACCTGAGTACAAATATAACAACCCATTAAACAGCATATCCAGAATATGTAAACATGTATATTTTTTTAAATAACAAAACAAATACAGTTAAACTTTGTATCTGGCAGTGTATATAGCTATGACAATACGATACCTATAGACACGTTAATAGGTTTAGTTTTGATACGCTGCAAGATTCTGCGTACTTTTAGGAGCGGTGGGGTAGCCTAATGGTTAAAGCGTTCGCTGGTCTCGCCGAAGACCGGGGTTCGATTCCCCAAATGGATACAATGTGTGAAGTCCCCGCAGTGATATTGCTAAAATTTTGCTAAAAGCGGCGTAAAACTCACTCACTCACTCATGCTTACCTTCTGATACATGGTTCTTTCCTTCCCCTACCTGTTCCTTTATTTAGTATCTTCAGTATATGCTACAACTGTCTTAACTTCTCATTTGTCTACTTCAGCTATGTACAATATATCCTGCCGTCTTGGTGCCGCTGGATCTCTCGCCTCCACCACGGCCATTCTGACAGTGTATGACTCAAGTAAGTAAACATGGTTGTTTGTTCGTTGTTTAACGAATATTCCATCAATATGACGGCGATCTGTAAATAATCAAGCTTGGACAAGAAATCCAGTCATTGACATCTTGAGCATCGATCTTAACAATTGAAATATACATCAACCAAGTCAGCGAGCAGGACCACCCGATCCCGTTAGTCGCCTGTTATGACAAGCATAGTCGCCTCTAACGGCAAGCATGGGTTGCTGAAGACCTATTCTACCCCGGATCTTCACGGGTCTATGATAGAACTAACCATCACCATACCCTAACATGTTGCTTCAACACTGACGCAGCTGATATATTTTCGAGGTATTTAACTACGTGCTTACAATGGATCAAATACGCAAGCATGGGTTGCTGAAGACCTGTTCTACCCCGGATCGTCACGGGTCTATGATAGAACTAACCATCACCATACCCTAACATGTTGCTTCAACACTGACGCAGCTGATATATTTTCGATGTATTTAACTACGTGCTTACAATGGATCAAATAAGCAAGCATGGGTTGCTAAAGACCTATTCTAACCCGGATCTTCACAGGTCTATGATAGTTCTAACCATACCCTAACATGTTGCTTCAACACTGACGCAGCTGATATATTTTCGATGTATTTAACTACGTGCTTACAATGGATCAAATACGCAAGCATGGGGTGCTGAAGACCTGTTCTAACACGGGATTATCACAGCTCTGAGAACATGTAAACATTCTCCTGCTCTAAAAGAGCCATTTTAAGAATTAGATTAATTAACTCATGTCTGTTTCATCGAGTGAATATTTACGCCAACATCTTTCACGAATACCTCATACCGCCATTTCATACAGGAGGTTTACACGATATACGGTTGTTCTATTGGACGAAAGGTCGATAACATGACCGCTAAACCGTCGTTCATAAGCATATGAACCACACATGTTGATACAATCGTTCATACGTTTTTCATGAGATTATACCTTGAAGTGAAATGAGTCCCACATTCGTTGGGCCGTTACCCTTGGAACCCTAATGCCCACACGTTCATTCAGGTCTGCCCTCACTCTAGGAAGGTTCATACTCCAATGAATCTACACAAAGTGAAAGTCAGTTTTTAAATAAGTGTACACTGCTTGTGACAGCTGTTTGAATGGGGTTTTTTTGTTCTCGTAGCAAACATACAACTAAGACATTGACGCTTTAACATACACTTTCTGGAAACGGTGATAAAACAACTCTTCATTTCGGCACACTCAGCTCGATAATCTTCAGACAGGTGATGTACAATTGTAGCAGTACAATCAGTACAATCGTATCAGTTTGTATCAGAGCGGTTTCAAATTAATTGAATCGGAGCGCGGCTTTCGTCACTTTCGTGTATGGGGGCTGTTTTGTGAAACACAGGACCCGCTGTTCATGTGTTCTAATTCCCGATAATGATGATCTGTGTCAGTGTCAATGTCTAACACACACAGCCACCGAGGCTTCCACAAAAATGAAAGTCCGGCACTCGTCAGAGGGGTGCACAAAGTACGTGATCTGGACTACCAGTTATCGGACCCTTTTGTGTTCATTTTTGTGGAAGCCTCGGTGGCTGAGTGGGCTAGATCGCTGACGTTGTGTGCTGGCGATTAGATGCCTCACTCAGTGTGGGTTCGAATCCCGGACCCAAAATGGTACGAGAATCTGTAGCTCAGAAAGTGTTATCCCAAATGTAACATTTGTTACATGTCTACGATACATTTACACTGGCAATATTTGACCCGGAAAGAACGAATCATCTAGGGTTTCAGTTAGTGGCATCTATCTACACTAATTATGTCTTTGAGTGTTGATCCCCCTAAACCTGAAAGTAAGAATGTGATGCCCCTCAAACAGCACTGATCTCCAACTCCAACTCTCTGATATTCTTTTTTATTGCTACAGGTGCGACCGTGACCTCTGTGACCCCAACCCAGTTCACTATTTCCGGGTCAACCCAGTCGCTGGCATTCGTTGGATCTAACTTCGTGGTGAATCACACCTACTGCCACGTCAAAGGTACTGGTCACCATGTGTTATAAACTACCCAAAAGAAGTTAAGGACCACCCGATTCAAGCAATGACAAATTAACTATAGTAATATGAAGGAATTGGGTAGTCCTTAACTTCCTTTGAGTAGAGTACATTGTGTAGAAAAAAACACTTTCATTGGGCTATTTTGCATCTAACATGACATTTATTTGTTTTTCATTAACATATCTTATTGACCTTGTTCAGGTCTGTTTTCAAGAACCATTGATCTTACAAAATGAAATAAACATTCGCATTGCGTCTTATAGATATATTGTATTGGTTTAAGAGACTGAAAACACTTTCCTACCAATTGTTATAAATATATCGTTAACCTACGATTTATTAAATGTTAAACATTACACATGAAACAAAGAATTCAGGAGTTTACAATTGTCCCTTCTTCTTATCATAAAGAGCGATGGTTGACGACACAGCATCTATATAATCAGACATACTATGTGATGTAGGTACACACATAGCTGCATATGGGAACTTATCTAGTCGTTATAAATGAATATGTCACTTTAACGCTTGTTCCTTTGGTAAAAAGTGTATAAGGAGCTTACGGCTAGCAACTAACTGACTTGTTTTGGCCTCGTGTACATTATCAAGATGGACAATATGTTTTAGCTTATAGGATCAAGGTATCGATGCTAAAAAACTAATACAATAAAATTGTTCGATGAATCTGCAAACGACTTAAATGCTCTACACATCGATGCGATATCAGCTTTTTTTTAAACTATTTACTAACCTTTCAAGTTAGTTTAGATATGGGTTTCCCATTGCCTCGCTTATTATGGGGAATTTAAACATGGCCGCAAATCATTTAGCACTTTATGGTCAGTGGGAAGTTCACTCACACTCTGTATTGATACGCGTTATTAACGTTCTCCCCATGCTGCAAGGTATTTTTAACGACCGTCAGTTAATGATATATCTGCTAACCATCTCAAAATCCTGATCTGATCCATACTGTTTTGTATTTGTAAAAGATGTCTTTATAATGAGGAATGTGTAACTCGATTTAAAATCTAATCATGTACATCACGTGACAAATGTTAATATCCAATCTGCATTGTACTCTGGGCCTTGATGCCTAATTACTGAATAAATTGTCTGTCTGTCTGTTTAACATTACTTCATCGAAGTTACGTCTTAAAATTAGTTTAAGGATGATAAAAAGATTATTACCTGTGTGCGTTTCCTTATCATAAATATCATATATTAGGAATAGAACATATGTATTATGCTCGCAAAAAGGCTCGTATAATATATTTCTTATTCCGAATATATTTATGATCCGAAACGCACAAGGGTAATAATTATTTTCATTTATTATCTATATCCCAAGAGGGGTCACACACATTTTGTATGTTTGTGTTTCAGTGGGAGCAGCTGCAGAAACTACCTTCCTCGCAAGTGTCACCGACGCCAGCAATGCTGCCTGTGACGTCACACATCCTCCGACGTCATCCCAAATACTGGTAGCCTTGAGTCTGAACAAAGTGGACAAACTCGCCAGCGACACCACAGTGACGGCACAGGCCGCAGCCCCTACCCTCACCGCGGTCTTCACCAACTCGGGTACAATATACGACTGATACTGCTTGAATAATGTGACAAAGTCCCATCCCCCCATCCCCACCGCCCAGCACCTCACACACCCATGCGGAGTCCGGGTAGGGATACGTCTCCAGGAACGCATGCTGATGCTGGTCATATGAGGCGATTCAATGGATTGGTTGATAGCTATATCGTTGCTCATAATATCAGTCACTGGATTATATGGTCCAGATTCTACAAGACAACACGTTTAACGGCAGAGAATAGTGTCTCGATCATCTGCCGAAACAGATTCCACTTAACGTAAAACGCAAAATAGCATTGAAAATTATATGAATTAATCACTGAAAATCAGTAGTGACACCAGGTGTCATACATGTGTTTGTTTAACATATGTTGGATTGATAACTGCGGTGAATTCACTCAACGCCGCATTGGACAAGATTCAGTTATATCATGATGTGTCGTCTTTGTGTGGGACGCAAGTCCACAGTGACGTAGGTCGTTGATATCAACAACTTTGGTGTCCATGAACCCGGGTGCTGAAATTAACGCAAGACTCATAATCAGGGACATCTGAATTCAAACCTACAATCTTCGGATCCGGGTACCATTAAGGGACGCAACACAGCTAATCGAATTGTGTCCTTAAGATGACTGGGCCACACGTGCCCTTCGAAATGTTAACGTGGCTGCAAAGGCAGCATTGATTATTTATACGAGGATGGGTCGGCCTTTCCTCACACGAATCACATGGCTACAGTATGTGAATAGATACTGATACACGTTATCTTTATTTGCAGGTGAAAAGGTCGTTGTTACATTCAGCGCGTCCGTGAACACAGCTAGTCTCACTTCCTGTGCCGCGGTGTTCCAGGATGTGACGTCACTCGGATCCACTGCCACGTGCTCTTTCAAATCTCGGACCACCATGTTAATTGAGAGTACCACAGCTGCACTGGGTGAGCTTCAAACCAATAGAATTTGAAAGATTTGAAACAGATATGTTGAACATTAATTATATTAATCACATTTATACTGCGTATCTGTGGAAGAAATCGGATTGACGTTGTTTCATGGTAGGGACGTGTGAGTGAGTATTGTTTTACGTTGTATTTATCAATATTCAAGCGTCGTGGAACTGCAGGAATGGATTCGTATTGTATGCCCATGTGGGAAAAAGAACCCAGGCCTTATGTGTGACGAGCGAATGCTGTGTCCACACGGTTTTCCTACAGTTCAGACACTTAATCAAAAATACGCATGCACATCATTGTGTCAAATATGTGTGCCATGTGTCAAATATGTGTGTCATGTGTCAAAGACGTATTTAATCCAGCAGGTCTTGCGTCGTGCTTCAAATACAGGATATAATTACCAGGTGTTGAAACACGTGTTAATGGTGTCGGGAATCCGCAGGAAATAGTATCTGGAGTTAGAGCTCTCTCTGCAGGATCAATGCAAGCAATAGATTAATTATTAAGACGTTCATTGCTAGCGCGATGGGAGATGACGGATCATCCACCACCATTGGCTTATTCAAGCTCAAGGCCTGGGGGATTTCACATAACGACAAACACGACTTTTATTTCCACTGAACATTATTCAGTGTTTATGGAAAGGACTGTTGAATATACACAAACCCCCTTTTTATATACAGAAAGAGAGAACACATCGGTTGTTTTGTTTCCGACACAATGGATAATTGTGCGGAAACGCGGCAATATAGCAAGAGAACGCGGTAGTATAGTGAGGGAACGCGGTAATATAGCGAGGGAACGCGGTAAAACAGCGACAGAACGCGGTAATATAGCGATGGGACTCGGTAGTATAGCGAGGGAACGCGGTAATATAGCGCAGGAATGCGGTAGTATAGCGGTGGAACACGGTAATATAGCGAGGGAACGCGGTAGTGTAGCGACATAACGCGGTAATATAGCGAGGAACTCGGTAGTATAGCGAGGGAACGCAATAATATAGCGAGGGAACGCGGTAGTATAGCGAGGGAACGCGATAATATAGCTGAGCAAATGGGTAAAAAAGAGAGGGAACGCGGTCATAATGCGAGGGATCCCGAATATTACGCGTAGGAACGCCGTAGTGTGGCGAGGGAACACGCTAATGTAACCAGGGGACGCGGTAGTAAAGCGGGGGAACGCGGCAGTATAGCGAAGGAAATGCTATACATATATATTGACCATGTCAAGCGCATTCGTACTATACATATCCATATTCACTTTTCTTGATTATCAGATAGCAGCTTGACGATAAAGACTGGCGCCGTCAAAGCCTATGATGAAACGTATGCCATAGCTGCCAGTGGAACAATCACACTGGCCAAGGGGAGTAACCCTGTCAAACCTACCGGTACCATCCGGGGACCAAGCAAGATCGGGTCGTGCAGTGACCTATCCGTGAATGCCCTCGGCAGCAGTGGCGGGGGAGGACGGGCGCTGACCTACACATGGGCCGTGTCCCCATCAACTGGCCTCACTCTCAGTAAGTATAGTAACTAGTAATGGCGTTTGTAAATAGTAAAGCCACGAGTAACACAAGGCGTTTGCGAATAGTAAAGGCAAGAGTAACACACGCGTTTGCGAATAGTAAAGGCAAGAGTAACGCAAGGCGTTTATGAATAGTAAAGGCAAGAGTAACGCAAGGCGTTTGTGAATAGTAAAGGCAAGAGTAACGCAAGGCTTTAATGAGTAGTAAAGGCAAGAGTAACGCAAGGCGTTTGTAAATAGTAAAACCAGGAGTCATACAAACCGTGTGTGAATAGTAAAGGCCGAAAGTATTTTTTGTCTCGTTTCAGTCTTTTGTTAACACGTATTCTACCTCTTATTATGACCCGATAGAGAGAGAGTTTCTAGGGCTTCGGTCCTGCCCCACACTGAAGCATATGTAACCAGTGGCGTCACTTTGGCAAAGTGCCTCTGTTCACCCAGCAGTGAATGGGTACCCGGTAGGATGAGATGGCAATGTGGATGGTAACCTTCTAGCGCCTCAAAGGCAGCTACTTGTATCCTCGCCAGGGAGCTGGGGATGATTCTTGAGTGCACACTGATAATAGCGCTTTGAGCATGCCCCTTTGACTGGTGTGGAGATAAACGCAATATGAATGGCCTGTTATTGTTATTATTATTATGTTGCAGCCGGACAAGGTACAACTGATCTCTCCGTGACCGGCACGATGAATGGAGTGACGTACACCGTGACCTTGACCGTGTGCAACTTCATGAACGAGTGCGACAATACCCCGACGACAACCGTAGAGAAGCTTACGACAGCCATACCAGACGTTTTCGTCACAGCTGGTGCTGACGTCAGCAATGTTATCGCATCCGAGGGGTGGGTTCATTGCTGTTGTTTTTAATAATATGTGTAACATTGCATTATCTTTAAGGAACCGAGAATCTGATATTCGGGGTATGAATGGGGGTGGATGTGTGTTTGGGATGTTATTGAAAAACATAAATTGTTCCATACATTTCTTGAAAGAAATACATATGCTTACGACTGTTGAACAAAAAGGACATTGCGTGCCTCAAAAAGTACCTTCTTACAAGTTTTTTTTTCTTATAATATACATTCAGGCTCATAGTTTTAATAAAACAATATCTTATCTCCATGCACAATATCATTGATGATATTTATTGAAGATATGGTTCAAGTCCCGTAATGTAATGCCTTTTGATCACCAATTGTAATGTTTGTATATTCCAGTTTTGAGCTGAAAGCGAACGCTAAGCTGACAAGCTGTGTGGACGACACTCTGATGTTCTCATGGAGCTTCAGCGACTCCCGCGTCGACATCAACACCGTCGACCAAACGCGCAGGGTGTACAACGTCCGGGCCGGAGATCTGCCAGGTGAGGGGCCAGGACCTGTGTACAACGACACCTCGTCAGTCCAGACTCTTGAATATTGAACATACACAAGTACAATGTGACATCACCTTGATTTCATTATACCAAGGTCCTGGAATTTGATAATGCGGATTCTTGATAACTTAATAATATTTTGTAATATGGAAACGAAAAAAAGGGAGAGACGGAACTTGAACCCACTATGACAGGTTTCTAGAACACCGATAGGACGCAACCATGCACAGCGAATTGCGGTGCTATGTTGCCCTTTATGCCAAGTGGAATCAGTTTCGACAGATAATCTAGGCTGGTTTTTCTCTTGTATTGACAATTTATATTTACTCAACTGGGGCACCTGGATCCCCGATAGCCGTAACGTAGAGCAGTAATCATCCACCAAACTAACGACTAATGTTGTTTAATGGCATTTTTAAAATTGTTTCACAACAGCGTTTATGTTCTTTAAAGGCATTGTTTAAAGTTGGTTAAGGACATTGTTTAAAGATGTTAAAAGTCATTGTTTAAAGCTGTTTTAAGACATTGTTGAAGTTGTTTAATGCCATCGTTTCAAGTTGTTTAATGACATTGTATAAAGTTGTTTAAGAACAATGCTACCGGTGGGGCAGGATAAGCTCACCTTTTCGCGAACGCCTGGTATTAATACTATTTAATAGTGATTCACAAACACATTCTTATGATATAGTCGGAATCGTACAGGGGACTGCTTTTTGCAGAGCTTCCTTATGCTTATGGAAAGGGTTTTTTGTTGCTTTTATTTATTAATAAGTATAATTATCCAAGTATGTGTTTTTCTCACAGGTGATGTGACATTAACGGCGACAGTGACGGTATCACTGGCCAGCGACACCACAAGGACAGTTCAGGCCAGTATCTCCCTCGTTACCAAGTCAACGCCTCTTGTCGCTCTTATCAAAGGTAAAGGAATCATGTTTGTTTGTTTGTTTGTTTGTTGTTAACGCAGCACTCAGCAATATTCCAGCTTAATGGCGGCGGTCTGTAAATAATCGGTGTTGGCCAGACAATCCAGTGATTGATGTTTTGAGCATCGATCTACGCAATTGGAATACGATGACATGCATCAACCAAGTCAGCGGACCTGACCAGCCGATACCGTTAGTCGCCTCTTACGACAAGCATAGTCGCCTGTTATGGCAAGCATGGGTTGCTGAAGACCCATTTTACCCCGAATCTTCACGGGTCAGCAATCATGTAATGTGACAGTCGAATGTGCGAGGGGTAAATATCACTGCCACGGATCTACCAGTTAATATAATAGGCATTTGAAGTCATCGAAACACCAAGTGTTCTGCAAAATGCAATCTCGTCATTCCGGAATGTGCTGTTATGGAATCGCTGTGAGCAGTTACAACTGTACATACAGAAAGTTACCTGTTAGGAACTGGAGAGGAAAACAGCCTTTCATTACCTAGAGAATGACTATAAGATTCTAGAGAATACGGATTATTTCGCGCGACTTTACGTCACTCGTTTACGAGGAACGTCACAGGGAATAACTATTTACAGTCAAACACCGTTGTGTCGAACTTTCGTTTGTCTCTAAGAAAAAGCTGGGTCCCTGTGTATTTCTTCTTTATTCATCAGTTTCGATTGTGCAAAATCTCGGATAACTCGAAGTATTCCCGTAGGCCCCTGCAACTTCGACACAACGGTGTTTGAGTGTATATATAACAATAATCCTTTGCGTTTAAAGGAGAATAGATGTGAAATGCCAAGCCTACAAATACATTTACTGGACTGTCATATAGCACCCGAATTATGATTCGTTACGATATCCAAATATCAGAAAGCTGGTAAACTCGATCTTTCAATCCTTATTCTAGTAAACCCTTATGTTATATCATATTTCTTCCAAAAGACAATACTGAAATGCGTGCATAAGGTTAGAAATCTGGTGCAAAATATTGAGCCGTATGTTGTATCTGTGGGCGCTGAGGTAGCCTAGTGGTTAAAGTGTTCGCTCGTCCCGCCGAAGACCCGGGTTCGATTCCCACATAGGTAGGATGTGAGAAACCTATTTGTGATGTCCCCCGCCGTGATATTGTAGGAATATTTCTAAAAGCGGCGTAAAACAATACTTAATCACATGTTGCATCTGATTTGTGAAGTGTATATTGTGGCATTCGGAAGTGATGGAAGCGCCTCATAAATATCTAGCCTCAGATTGAGTTACTTTAGCTCATCTTCAAGTGTGCACACTTTTTCGCGAAGGCACACACTCATATCTTATATGCTAAAAGGATTTTGTTTAAGGCGTCAACTTTTGGTATATTCACACGACGAAATCAAGCAATTTGAACACCTGGTGTCATCACCATTTAATAGTAATCCATAAACACATGCTAATTCTTTAATCGGAATCATACAATGGCCTGTATTAAGCCGAGATTTCTTAGATTATGGAACTGGTTTTGTTGCTTTTATTGCCATGTTAAAGGATGCACCACAGAGATGTAGGGGGGGGGGGGGGGGGGGGGGTCGCTGTGTAGAGTTGCGTCCATTGGGCACGCAAGAAGAGTTTGAATCCCGTTTCGCCCCGATTATGTTCCTAGGTTTGTCAGCACCGTGCCCGTGGTAAAGGTCAGAGACCTGCATCACTTCGGGCTTTCTTCCCACATTAAGCTGACTTGCCGCGATATAACGGGAATACTGTTAAAAGCGGCGTTAAACCCAACTCACTCACTCCTTGTGTTATCTGTGATGTGTTAATTGATTCTAAGTTTGTTTGGAACTAACTTCCAAGTTTGTAGGGAGTGGGACGATTTGGGATGAAAAATGTCAACGAGTACCAGTTCTGATTAATCAAGGAACGTGAATATATAACTCGGGTCAGCAGCGTGACAGGTCCAGAATGGCCTCTGAACGTCGGTGGCCACCTGTTTGTATTGTGTAAAGTCACAGACATGACCTAGTGGATTGTTGGTTCCAGGATCGGACACGGTTACCATAGGAACACAGACGGGCCAGCTCGAGCTTGACGGAAGTAATTCCCGTGACCCGGATGGAGCTGCTGGCAGTCTTGTGTATGAGTGGGCATGCATCGTGCAGATAGCGGTAAGATGTGTGCTGATTTGGTTGTTGTTTTATGCCGCAATCACCATTATTCCAGAAACATCCCGGCGATATATATATATGTTTTATAAATAGACCCATTTTTTAGTCAATTTATAAAATGATTGAAAATGACTGAAATGACTGGATATCTACTTCTTGTACGCAACATCGTATGTGTCACGTGTGCCCAAGAAACACGTGACACATTCCACCTAAAACCTGCAAATGTTAAAGGTCATCGATATAAACTCAAAGACAATGAAAACGTTTTATGACAATTTATCAGTGACAACAAAGATCTATAGACCATATTTTCAGGTGGCAGCCAAATTGAACACTTTTCCATCCACGAATATACTTTTGGAAATTATGTTACCATCAATGCGTTTCTTGTTCAAGGGAGCATATAAACGCAGCCATGCAGATAATCTAAATGTACATATCTGTACTTCTACTCTCAGCGAATCTACAACGAATACAAATAAATCCTATGTACACATCTCCTTGTATTTTACAGTCGTCAACAGCTACATGTCTTGATCCCACCGGATCTACCTTCCCGACAAGTTCTGAGCGCTCTTCAGCAACGTTGACGATGGCGACGACTCGGTTGTTGAGCGGCAAAACCTACTTATTTACACTGACCGTCAGCAAGTCTAGCGGGAGTACCACGAGGTCCAACAGCGCCTCCGTCACAGTCGTCACTGTGGAGGGCACGCCACCAAAGGTTCGTTACATCAGAATGAGTGAGTTGGGTGTGATGTCGTTTTAAGCACCATTCCCGTCATACCACTGCAGGGAACTCAACTGTAGGCATCCAGCTTTGTACCATGATGGGATTCGAGCATTGATTTTCAATCCTTTGCTCTGTATACTGAGTGAGTAAATGAGTATGGTTTTGAGCCGCTTTGAGCAATATTCCAGCAATATCACGGCGGAAAACAGCAGAAGACGGCTTCACACGTTGTACCCATGTGGGGAATCGATCCCGGGTCTTTGGTGAGACAAGCGAACCCCTAGCTTGCCCCACCGCTACTCTTCCAAATGCTATACCTTGATACCTTGATACCTTGACCTTGATACCTTGATACTTTGACCTTGATACCTTGATACCTTGACCTTAATACCTTGATACCTTGACCTTGACCAATCGTCTAAGGAGTCGCGATTCGCTGTGCAGAGTTGCGTCCCTTGGGCACGCGCGAAACCTATGATTGCGGGTTCGAATCCCGGTTCGCCCCGATTATGTTTCTAGGTTTGTCAGCACCATACCCGTGCGCGTGGGTTTCACCGAAGTGGTAAACTTCCGAGAGCTGCATCACTTCGAGCTTTCCTCCTACATTAAGCTGACACGCTGTGATATAACTGGAATACTGTTAAAAGCGGCGTTAAACCCAATTCACTCACTCACTCACTCACCTCGACACCTTGACCTTGACCAGTCGCCTAAGGAGCTGCAGTTCGCTGTCTAGAGTTGCCTACCTTGGGCACGCCGTGCTCATGGGTGTGAAAGTTTTAATCGTCTAGGACCTGCGTCACTTCGGGCCTTCCTCCCACATTAAGCTGACACGCCTTCGAATAACTGGCATACTGTTAAAAGCGGCGTTAAAGCCAACTCACTTACCAAGTTGATATTGCTTAATAACCCTAGTGAGTTCTTGAGTGGATGTGAGTTAATGTTTGTTCATGAAATGACAGGTGTCATCAACTCTGAGAGTTTCCATCCTCTGTAAACACCATTTCCTCATTACTTTCAATGAGCCTATTACATATATCATTTCATAGGTTTAACTCGTTATATTTATATTTGCAGATCACGTTCAGAGACCTGGCCAATGACGGTAAAGTTAACTCGAACGGCGTCTTCACACTCACAGCTATCGTAGAATCTACGACGACAGTGACCTTCACCTGGGATTCAGAGGTCAAGGCTGGTATGTACAGCCGTGATATTATTTAGCGTCTTAAATGTATTCAGGGCTTTTAGTGCCTGATAATATGTACATATGCATTGCACAAGAATGTGTTTGTTTGTTGTTTAACGCCACACACAGCAATATTTCAGCTATATGACGGCGGTCTGTAAATAATCGAGTCTGGACCAGACAATCCAGTGATTGACATCATGAGCATCGATCCACGCAATTGGGACCGATGACATGCATCAACCAAGACAGAGTGCAGAGTTGCGTCCCTTTAGCACTCAAGAAACCTATGATTGTGGGTTCGAATCCCGGTTCGCCCCGATTATGTTTCTAGGTTTGTCAGCACCATACCCGTGCTCGTGGGTTTCACTGAAGTGGTAAACGTCTGAGACCTGCATCATTTCGGGCTTTCCTCCCACATTAAGCTGACACGCCGTGATATAACTGGAATACTGTTAAAAGCGGCGTTAAACCCAACTCACTCACTCACTCTTTGTACACCGCTTTAAAGCAAAAAGATGGATGTCACGTGCCATCGAGCAACTGTTTTTTATCAATTTAGAATATATTTGAATTATATTACTATGTCACATTAAAACATGTCGATAACATAAATTCGTTGTAGCAGGATCACTCGGGGAACATGGCGTTTTATGCGTCCCGGGTTAGGTTTCATACCACGCGCCTCCGGCCTCCGGTACGTGGTCTGAAACCTGACTCTGGACGCATTAAACCCCATGTACTCCCCGTGGTCCAGCTGCAACTTATAATGGATGCACTTTTTGTGGCAGACAATTTCATTTTTTTCAATAAGCTGAATTTTAATTTTTTTTCTTCAAGCATTTACTTGGGCAATCTATTTCGATAGAACCCCCTCTTTCTGTCACAGCTAAGACTGAATTTATTTCTCGTACCATAAAAAGCATAGTGCGCATTATATAATATGAAATAGTGTTATGTCATCAGGACCGACGTAAAGTGCCTTACCTCTGTCTGGTTGAGTCGGGTTCAAATAAAAATAAACTCATGTGTTTTTTTCACAGGTTATGGCTTTGTGGACTTGACCAACACCGACAACCTGCAGACCACGCCCACATTGACGACCATCTCAACCAACACATACGTCACAGTGCTGTCAATCAAAGCAGGTAGGTAGATTACACGCTTATCGTTAATATCAGATGTCACCTTTATGATAAAATAAAGAAAACGTTTCCATAATCATATGAAATTTATACTGAGAGCGGTATCCAGGGTACGATTCCGACTATATCATAAGCAGGTGTTTATGAATGAGTATCAAATAGTGACACTAGGCGTTTAAATTCCTAGACGCCGTCGTTTTGATATACTACAAGTTAAAGCTTCAAGCAAAACCATTTTAGAATATAGTGAGTGAGTGAGTGCGTTGGTTTAACACCGCTTTTAACAGTATTACAGTTATATCACAGCTTATCAGCTTAATGTGGGAAGAAAGCCCGAAGTGATGCAGGTCTCAGACGTCTACCACTTCGGTGAAACCCAAGTGCATGGGTATGGTGCTGACAAACCTAGAAACATAATCGGGGCGAACCGGGGTTCGAAACCACAATCATAGGTTTCTTGCGTGTCCAAGGGACGCAACCCTGCACAGCAAATTGCGGCGCCTTAGACGAAAGGGCCACCCGTGCCAGCTTTTAGCATATAAGATATGATTGTCTGTTTTCGAATTAGAATAGTGCATGTTGGTAGGGAGGCCTAATCCCTAGTATGGGGCGTCAATTTGGTTGCTGGCGATCTATTTCCCTTTATTTATATTGTACTGTTAACTGATAGTTTATATTTTTACATGCTCTCAAAATTCAGACACGGGAGTTACCCACCTGCGTACATTTTGGGTATTAGTTTCAGTTTGTTTTTTGTCTAACTAAATTCTGTTTGTCACAGACATCCTACAGCGAGGGACGAATTACCGCTTCAGGTGTACTGTCAACGACGCAAACGGAAAGTCTAACGTGGCAGCGAAGGAAGTCTATGTTTATAATGGCGTCACTTCCTGTTCCATCACCGCGCCCACGTCCTATCAACAACTAGATTCGGTTAGTGTCATTGTGAAGGGGCAATGTCTCCAGCATAAACTGTTTTAAACATCCTTAGTTTCGATTAATTATAGGAATATGAACGAATCGGTGGTCCTTAACTCTTTTGAGAAGAATAGTCCAAACAATCCTCTCCGGATGTTTTCTTTAGGAACATCTGCATATAATTAAAAAATAAGTGCCAGGGACCCGTTGTACAAAGCGATCTTAGCGCTAAGATGATCGTAATTCTCAGACATAGGCTTACATTTATCAAAGCGCTAAGATCGCTTTGTGGAGCGGCTCCGTGGCAGTGATTTTGTAGCCCAGAAACTATGATGAAGTCACACTTGTAATTAACATCTACATATCATATATACCTTCCTTGTTCCGGGGACGCAAGAGTTAACACAGATAAAACTGTAACTCAACACGCGTAGATGTCACCATTGGGCGTCCAACGAAACCTGTTAACAAAACCTGTTACACATGATGCGTGTATGTGAAGTTCCAAATGTGTTCATCGACCGGAATTTCGCTGTGTTTTTTAGATCAGTCTGACTGTGACCAAGTGCTTCACCGACAGTGACGGCAGTCCCCTCACCTACACCCTCTACCAGGTGAAGGGCGGCAGCGACACCTCCTTCCCCCTCTCCACAACTCAGGACAATGGGCAGTTTGTGGTCAACGTCGGCCCTAAGGATGACGGGTCTGGGAAGAACGTCTTCGCCGTTAAGGCAAGTATTCTGTCACGTCCTTCCCATCATGTAAGGACCATTTTACCGAAAAAAAATACAGGCTCAGGGAACATAACAATCAAACCAGTTGGTTCAACTTATGGATGCCAAAAATGTTTTACGTTGTTTTGATCGTGTATTTTTGCTTCTACAAAAATGACAGAAAAGAACATGCTACAAATATGAGACGAACAGTTCCAATTACTGAACATAATGAAGTACATTTTACATGCATCTAAACACATAATTTTCTGTACAACAAAAATGTTTCCATGTGGGAATTCATCAGGAATTAATTAATTAGATTTAATAACAGAAACAGGCGAATGCTGACATTAACATCTGCTCTCTTTTGGGTTAACGAATGCGAACTGAATAGCATTTATTTCAAGCATGTTTTTCATTTACATCTGAAATTGCCCTCCGTGAAGATCCAGGTTAGAATTGGTCTTCGGCAACTAATGCTTGTCGTAAGAGATGACTAACGGGATCGGGTGGTCAGGCGTAGATCGATGTTCATGACGTCAATCATGGGATTGTGTGGTCCCGACTCAATTATTTACAGACCACCGTCCTATAGCTGGAATATTGTTGAGTGTGGCTTTAAGCAACTAACAAAGATACTAAATGTTGGCCAAATTTCAATTTGCTCGATCCCATTTTTTCAGGTGTGCGCAAACAAAGGAGGCTGTACGGTTTATAAAACGGGGGACATCACCGTGACGGCAGTTACTGCAGCTGCCCTGGCGGCCAAGGAGACGGCAGTGCTCGGCAACATCAACACGCTCACGAAAGAAGGTATTTCGATTCTATCACGTAGTTATTGTACCCGTCTTCAGCAACCCATGTTTTCGTAAGAGGCCACTAACGGAAGACTATTTCCTGATGTGTTTGAAGAAGACCTTGACTCGAATATTTCTAATTTGAAACTCCGTGATGATGACGTCATGCTCTGTGGTTACATGAGACCGGGTAGGTGATAAGTCTGCCCAATTCCCGTTACAATGTCACTCGGACTACTTAGTAACCCCTGAAGATCTGGGTTATAATTGGTCTTGAGCAACCCATGCTTGTCATGCTAGGCGACTAACGTGGTCGGGTGGTCAGACTTGGTTGATGTCCTCGGTTGGTCCATCATCTGGTCCACAATCGATTATTTATAGGCCGCCGTCATATAGATGGAATATGGCTGAGTGCGGCGTTAAAAAAACCAAACAGACGTGGTTACTGCTCTGGCTTCCTTGGTTTAATGTTCTTGTGGCAATGGTCGTTATAACAACCGGCAACGCTTACTGCTTGTTCACAAGTCTATTGAAGAGACGCAAAGGTCAGCTATAGGTAAACTCAAACATGTTCCAGTAACTGACACAGACAAGTCAAACATGTTCCAGTAACTGACACAGACAAGTCAAACATCCCAGCAAGTAACTGTCCTCTCATGCCAAACATGTTGGCAACATCTAAGACATGGATGTTTTTGTTGTTGTTGTTGTTTGTTGTTTAACGCCACACTCAGCAATATTCAAGCTATATGACGGCGGTCTTTAAATAATCGGGTCTGTTCCAGACAATCCAGTGATTGACATCATGAGCATCGATCCACGCATTTGGGATACGATGACATGCATCAACCAAATCAGCGAGCCTTACCATCCGATCCCGTTAGTAGCCAATTACGACAAGCATAGTCGCCTCGTCGCCTCTTACGGCAAGCATGGGTTGCTAAAGACCAATTCTACCCCGGGTCTCCACGGGTCCTGCATGTGTTTCTATAACACTAAATGACATAAGTATTACTACAATCACTCGTATTATATTTTTGTCACAGGTAATCCCTTGGATGCTGCCGTCTCTCTCGGTATCTACATGTCTGCCGTCACCGCAAGTGTCAGCCGACGTCGACGTAGCGCTGATGAAGCCTTAGAACGTTACAGACGTAGCGCAGTCGTCACCACAGACCTTGCAACCCTACAGATAGATCTCGTCAACAAATCCCTCAATACCATAAACCTGAAAGAGTCAGTGGGAAACACGTTGTATGGTGTTCTGGGCTCGTTACCCGCGACGACAGTCAGTGACAGCGACATGCAGGTGGTGACAGGGTTCTACTTGACCATCACAAACTTTTTCCAAACAAATACAATCAAAATGCAGGTAAGCAGTGTTCAGCATTTAAACACGTGGACTGTGTCCCTGACAGCAAGATCGATAACTGGTAGTGTTGTTACGGATCTGACTGCAAAGGCAAAGAAAGCCGCCAGGCTTGGATATCAATTGGAGGAGACTCAGACCTTCACCTTGTCTCAGTCAACCCGGAAGTACATGTTCGTCATACCCGGGACTGGCCACGTCAGCAAGGACACGGACAGTACCGTGATCAGTTTTGGAGACACCCTACGGAAACAGTAGGTCTATTTCTTCCCTTACCACACGCTGCGTAGTATTGACAGAAGGGACCTAAACTGACCCAATATTTACGGTGACACTAAATATAAATGTATGTCAATGATCTGTATTCCATCGAGGCTTAGTCCGACCTCTCCAAAACCATCAACAAATCTACATGCAGAACCACACTTTACATAATATATACTGAACGAATAATTGTTTCTTTATCAATGTTGATAAGCATGTAGTAGTAGTAGTAGTAGTAGTAGTAGTAGTAGTAGTAGTAGTAGTAGTACCAGTAGTAGTAGTAGTGTGAGAGAGAGAGAATGAGTGAGTGAATGTAGTTCAAAGACATCAATATTCAGATAATATGATGACAGTCTTTTAATAATCGAGAGAAAGACGCGACTATGCTTGTCCTATTAGACGATAAACGGGATCGTGTGGTCAGACTGACTTGGTTAATGCATGTCATCTTATCCCAATTGCCTCGATCAGTGCTCAACAAACAAACAAATAATCGAGACAGACCATTGGTCAACGATGTACCCTGTCATTGTTGTAACCAAGCGATCTCATCTTTAGCGACTCTTCCCGGATCACCAATTATATTTTTATCGGTTTGTCGACACCATACCTTGCTCGTTGTTTTCGACAAGGTTATAATAGTCAAAGACCTGCATCACTGTGGGCTTTCCTCCCATATCAAACTGACAAGCCGTGATACAACTGAAATAGCGTTCAAAGCGGCGTTTAAAACGCTTCAGATAAGCATAGTGTACTGAGCATCCATGATCAAGGATGAAGCAATAGATGATTTGTTGCAGGTTTGCGTCCTGGTCGTGCAGCTCGGGAACGTGCGAGGGCGTCGGCGTCGAGATAACAACCAGCAACACCGGTGTCGACCCCTACTCGACCACCAGCGACGACATCAAGCAGAGAGCTACAGACGTCCTGGAAATATTGCTCATTGATCCAAAATCAGGTATAGAAGCATAGGTTGCAGCAACTGTTATAACGTCACGCATTGACTGTTGTATCTATCGTGTGAAGAGCAACTGGAATTTCTCTATGATGCATTCAGAAGCTGTATTACAAGTGTAGACAGGATTGACTTTTAAATAATTTTATCTTATTATTTTAATGCAATGTTTCGGCACAAGCGCCACAGCGCTAATAGCTCTAATAGAGGTACCAGCGTCTGTACTGAACGAAGTTAAAACACATAGTTGCGCCAATCCTGACTTCAGAAGATTGAATATCATTGTGCGCTATCCGTGACCTTTATGAAATGTGTAAGACTGTTTAAATGGTTCCCAGATAACTCATGTTTTTCATTTAAAATAACTTGGGCAAGGATGTCAGGTCTCATTTAATTATTATGTTGTTTTCATGTAAAGTTCATATGCTGACACATTTTATAAATATGTTAAATTGTTAAAAAATCAATTTAATCATATCATTAGACCCTTCAACATAACGTTTTGTTTTACTTCACAAGACAAATGTTTAACACGTATTTATTACAAAACTGGATCCTGCAAATAAGTACGTTTACTTCAATGCTGATGTTTTGTTTCAGGGGCTGAGATATCTAGTATCACTGGACTGAGCAGCCCTGTGACCATGACCTTCGTTGTGACGCGGCCTCAGTCTGGGACGTCCTTGACCTGCAAGTACTGGAACACGCTCAGCGCGAGATGGGAGACGGACGGAGTGACGACGTCATCACAGTCCACGAGCTCCCTCACATGTTCTAGTGACCATCTTACTGGCTTTTCAGGTTTTGCGGAAAGTAAGCATTTTTCAAAATGATAATTTGTTCTTTCTTTTTACAGTTTTTCTGTTGTTTCCTTTTAAGCTCTTGTCTGTGTTTCATTTACTCGTTTTTTAAGTCAGTAATTTCATTCGCTCACCTTTGGGGAAGATGTGTGTGCCTTAAAACATACATTGATAACCGCTGTTAACACAATCGATGGTTTTAAATATAAGCAACAAAAATCCTTTACTTGATCATAAGAAATATGTACTAAAAGCCCTGTACGATTCCGACAATATTATGAGCATGTACTTATTAAATACTATCAAATAGTGATGATACCAGGTGTTCGCCCAAAAGTGAGTGTATCCTGCCCCACATGTGGCGACCGTCACAAACACATGCAAAGGCAAGTGAAGTGATCACATACAAAACACAGGAACAGATGGTTCAGGTTACAAAAGGGAATTGCAGTGGACAAATCTTGGTCAAATTTGGAAATGTTCTCCACATGTCTAAACTCATCAAATTCTCACGTTGTTAACGGTAATGAATATTCCTTATTTCTCTTTTCCAGCAACAGATCCAGCCACAGCCAAATCAGAGCAAACAGGTTTAATCGTTGGAATCGTCTTCGGCGGTATCATTGGGATGTGTGTCATTGTAGGTGTCGCCATCGTCATAGCACTCGCCGTCAACAAGAAGAACAAGGTGAACATAGTCGAGGCCATATCTCCTCCACTCGGACCAGAGCCCTGAATGACGTCATCAGTGACGTCATGATTCGCCTGCCTATCAGGTTCTTCCTTTAATATGTTGGCTGGTAATTGGGATCTACTTTACTTGCAGTGATTTGAAGGGTTTTTAGATATTCTGACGTAAAAAGGTTGATCCTTAAGTTCGTGCGTTCCGTTTATGACAAAAGCGGAATTTATTGGAGTTTTAATTGTATCAATATTTGTATAACAAAATGATTATATATTTATACAAATGAAAGAAACTGTATCATTGATGTACGTATTACGTATAATTTGGTAAATTAGGGCACATTTTTTTATTCGTGCCCGAAATGTACGCCTGTTACACATTACATACGGTATGACGTCATATTCTCGTGGCACCATTACAACTAGCGGGATGGCATGTTGCCGAGGTGACCATGGACAGAGCACCCGTTTTATCATTGCAGTGCTGTCTGACACACACACACCCACCCCTCACCCCCCGCCCCAGCGTCTTTGCTCAAATTCAAGTTTGATGGGTACTGAGACATTAATATACAATCTCACTTCACCAGAACTCAGTATGCTTTCTATGAACCGTCATGAGACATGAACATATACCCCTGATCTAAGTATAATGTTTCCGTTTGAGTATCGAAATGTAAACAATTTAATGACATCAAGGGTATGAGTAAAAAAATAATTAAATATCCAGCGGATGATTTACAAGATAACATTGCGAGTAGTATTTGAAGAGGCTGTGCCGAGGGGTTTCCATGACATCAGCTTACCATAACGCATTATTGCTAACGGATGATGTGTTTGACTTACAACGAAGTAAACTTCAATGAAACCCGAACTTGTACATACCTGAAGCACATACAGATGTAATGTTTTTTTATAAAGTTGGTACGACTCTGTGTACGATTCTGATGCTTCGCGTTTCTGTACATGCAATCTCTTTAGTTTTAAAGTGCATCTATCGTTCATCTTCTTCAACATACGAGAGGAACGATGGTGCATTTAAACCGTAGTTCATACAAAGTGGTTTTCCTGTCGGTTATATCGCAATAAGTGTGACCGTAGACATTATTCTTTTATTTTATTGTCAGACCTGGTTGGTCTACCTTTACTCCACGTGATCTGGCAGGTCTATAAAAGTATAACTCATTTAACTGAAAAAATATATTTGTTTACAATATTGCCCATGCTTATAAAAATATCGGGTAACTCGTCCATATTTGCACTTGCGGATTTGAACGTTTTTATGGATGATAATTTTAATTGCAATATTCTATTACAGATATTTGTAGTTGACTCGTTGATTTGTAGCTTATGATGAAACTCGGTGGCTTCAGTCCACCAGCAGAAACATCGACCACGTTCATATAAATATAATACGTCATTGTCAGAACAACAAGGCACAATTATCCGACGAAAGAGATGCAATTTGGCATAAATGGCAAATAGCTGTGAAATTCTATGAAAATCAGTGATGACACCGGGTGTTTGCTGTGTTCATCCATAGGTGATTACACGACGGAGAGATTCCGTTACCCCAGCAACAATAGTTTTACTTCAGAAAGTAAAAGCGACAAAACCCTTTCCATGTCCGTAAGAAATATCTGCCCAAATCAGAGTCGATTGTCCGATTCCGCTGATATCATGAGCATGTTGCGGCGATATTTCATATATATTTCTGGATTTATTTTTTAAGCTTTTGATAGAGTTACGAAGCGGAAACCTGGCTCGCTTATCAGCATTAACTGTTTCAGTGTTTCTTGACTGAGTCGACAACGGGTCGTGATAGCCCAATAAGGGCTATCGTGGTTACCTGGGAGATATTGACCTGACACATACCACATGCATTATCAGCGAATTCCTCTGTCAGGTCATTCTGTGATCCAGTGTGAATATTTTCTGTTAAAACCGTTACATATATCCAATGTTACTGTGGCATGTACATCATACCGATTACGTAAATACGTTTTAGAGACCATTTTGCTTCCTCTAAATTGTAAAACGAAATGTACTTGTGATGTAATTTGTTGTTAGACATAGAGACAATTTTATCTAACAATTAAGAAGAGACATTGTATCAAACAATACTCCAAAAAATATATATTTGTTTAGATTGCAAGTGAAATTATGCGTTGTTCTCTTATTGGTGACGTAGTTGAACTTTCTACCGCGCACCCATTCACTGCTGGGTGAACAGAGGCGTATTTCCACCTGCCTAAGGAGACACCACATGTGCCACAACTTATCTTATTACAACAATGACTGACCTTTTTTGTCATATCATATAGCATATTTTCATATAGCATACCACCTTTTGAAGACCGTTGAATTAATTTATTCCGCAAATATTGTAAATTGGTAAAGTGCTAATTACCTGGTATTCAAACGTGTCTGTGATTTTATGACAAGTTATTGTGTTATGGAAATATGTTGTAAAATATTCGAAAGTTGCACATGTACATACCCTATGTTAATATTCCCTTTTTACCATTCCGTCCAATTCATGCTGTACCGGCGCGGCATGGCTTCTAGTTTTCGTCCCGGTTAGATAGTGTAGAAACTGTCATATTGACTTCGCTAATGCTAATTACCAGCAAGTCATGACACAGTGTTGCAGGGTCCACAGTTCATTTATGGCCTGGGTGGGGTCAGGAACAATTTACAGGAGGGTGGTCATGGGAAATGCACATCTGTAGAGGTAAATCAAAGCAGGCATCAGTGAACTGATCCGGCAATAAGGAGTGATGAAACCCTCTTAAATGAGGGGTCTGGGGAGGGCAGCCTTTTTGTACAGTCAACACCCCCACCCAACACACACACATGTAATCTGAATGTCGATTGTGAACATTTATGTTCAAGCCCGCGTACATGTACTTGCAGACGGCAGCGGTTGAAATATTTTAGACAATAGAAGATCCTATTCACTAACTTTGTGTTTATACACACTAGTCACTATATTTATATGTATTTTCACCTTGTTAATAAAGTCATGATTTTCTTAGTTGTTATAAAAGATCTACAGATATTTTTACATTTAAAATATACATTTTTCTGTGTGTAAATAAACTTGGCAATATATCTTTCATAAATACCCTTTCTGACTGTGATTTTATTGTACGTCGTTCAAATAGATACGGTCTGATGTTCGTGTTTGTCTGCACCTCGGATGTCAACCCTGTATAGTTATATTAGCTCCATGCGAGTTGCACTGCTCAACATTTGTTAGGACTATTGGGATGGAATTATTTCAGACTAGATATTTCTTCAGCTGAGGCTGCAAACCCAGATGCGCCAGATGCATTTGGTCAATGAAAAACTATGCGCCTAAATTTCTTTTTTTACATCATCTTACAACAATGTTATTTTGTGGCAGACAATTGCTTTTTATCAAGGGTCTATAGCGGAATTAGCTTTTTTCGTGCATTTCTGGGACAGTTTATGTTTTCAATAAAATTCAAGCAGCAAGAATATCGAATGGTCGGTCCCTTGAAGAAATGACAAATTATTTATTTCTATTTTTCATTTTAACCATTGTTATTTAGACATGTTGAGAAGTGTAATTTGTATCCATATTTAATGCTACAAACGTTTGTATTTGCGAATAGTTAGTTTGGGTTATTTTACCTTCGTCTAATCCGAACATTCTTTTTTGTTGCGAAAATTAAATTGTTTTAAATTTATGATTAAGTTAAGATCACTCGTTACAAGTATGTATCTTGTTGTTATCGACGAATCACAACCGACGCCTGTGATATGAATGTTTGTTTGTACTGAGCGTGTTAATTTGTTGTCATCGTTATTGTTGCATCTTCTGTGAATAAAAAAGCAATGATTTTGTCTAAGAATGACCCTTTTTTTGTCTCCCTGATCGTTCCGTGTGACGCTGGAAGGTCACTCTAATGATAAATTCGATCAAATTCTTTGAGTCATCTAACACCCAAGCATGTTCGATCATTTTCAGCTTCTGTTGGTAAGTCGACACGTTGGTCCGTCTGAAGATACCATGTCAAGTCGGCCAAAATAACACTATTATGGACCATGATCTCCATGTGAATGGAGGAAAGAATTACCAATGACCATTGAGCTTGTTTGTATGCATTGAAAGCTTATTCTAAAATTTCAATGAGTGAAGTTGCAGCTTTTTCTATAATCGCCAAGAGACTAACCATATTTTCGGGTGTTGTTATACTAAATGATGACTGCACTGTAGTGATGTGGATGTATATGTATGTCGTTACATCAGAATGAGTGAGTTGGGTGTGATGTCGTTACATCAGAATGAGTGAGTTGGGTGTGATGTTACATCAGAATGAGTGAGTTGGGTGTGATGTTACATCAGAATGAGTGAGTTGGGTGTGATGTAACATCAGAATGAATGAGTTGGGTGCGATGTCGTTACATCAGAATGAGTGAGTTGGGTGTGATGTTACATCAGAATGAGTGAGTTGGGTGTGATGTTACATCAGAATGAGTGAGTTGGGTGCGATGTCGTTACATCAGAATGAGTGAGTTGGGTGTGATGTCGTTACATCAGAATGAGTGAGTTGGGTGTGATGTCGTTACATCAGAATGAGTGAGTTGGGTATGATGTCGTTACATCAGAATGAGTGAGTTGGGTGTGATGTTACATCAGAATGAGTGAGTTGGGTGTGATGTCGTTACATCAGAATGAGTGAGTTGGGTGTGATGTTACATCAGAATGAGTGAGTTGGGTGTGATGTTACATCAGAATGAGTGAGTTGGGTGTGATGTAACATCAGAATGAATGAGTTGGGTGCGATGTCGTTACATCAGAATGAGTGAGTTGGGTGTGATGTTACATCAGAATGAGTGAGTTGGGTGTGATGTTACATCAGAATGAGTGAGTTGGGTGCGATGTCGTTACATCAGAATGAGTGAGTTGGGTGTGATGTCGTTACATCAGAATGAGTGAGTTGGGTGTGATGTTACATCAGAATGAGTGAGTTGGGTGCGATGTCGTTACATCAGAATGAGTGAGTTGAGTGTGATGTCGTTACATCAGAATGAGTGAGTTGGGTGTGATGTCGTTACATCAGAATGAGTGAGTTGGGTGTGATGTTACATCAGAATGAGTGAGTTGGGTGTGATGTCGTTACATCAGAATTAGTGAGTTGGGTGTGATGTTACATCAGAATGAGTGAGTTGGGTGTGATGTTACATCAGAATGAGTGAGTTGGGTGTGATGTTACATCAGAATGAGTGAGTTGGGTGTGATGTCGTTACATCAGAATGAGTGAGTTGGGTGTGATGTCGTTACATCAGAATGAGTGAGTTGGGTGTAATGTCGTTACACCAGAATGAGTGAGTTGGGTGTGATGTCGTTACATCAGAATGAGTGAGTTGGGAGTGATGTCGTTACATCAGAATGAGTGAGTTGGGTGTGATGTCGTTACATCAGAATGAGTGAGTTGGGTGTGATGTCGTTACACCAGAATGAGTGAGTTGGGTGTGATGTCGTTACATCAGAATGAGTGAGTTGGGTGTGATGTCGTTACATCAGAATGAGTGAGTTTGGTGTGATGTCGTTACATCAGATTGAGTGAGTTGGGTGTGATGTTGTTACATCAGAATGAGTGAGTTGGGTGTGATGTCGTTACATCAGAATGAGTGAGTTGGGTGTGATGTTACATCAGAATGAGTGAGTTGGGTGTGATGTTACATCAGAATGAGTGAGTTGGGTGCGATGTCGTTACATCAGAATGAGTGAGTTGGGTGTGATGTCGTTACATCAGAATGAGTGAGTTGGGTGTGATGTCGTTTTAAGCACCATTCCCGTCATACCACTGCAGGGAACTCAACTGTAGGCATCCAGCTTTGTACCATGATGGGATTCGAGCATTGATTTTCAATTCTTTGCTCTGTATACTGAGTGAGTGAGTGAGTATGGTTTTACGCCGCTTTTAGCAATATTCCAGCAATATCACGGCGGGGGGCACCAGTAATGGGCTTCACACGTTGTATCCATGTTGGAAATCGAACCGGGCCTTGGGCGTGACAAGCGAACGCTTTAGCCACCATGCCACCCCAACCCTATATATAAGATAGCTTCGAGATAAATCGCAAAAAACAATGAAGAACGAGACGTGGATTATGTCACGATAAAACATAATTCTGTCATGACGTCATTCCTGAAGATTCGAACATACGCTCGCAACTTGATGACGTCGCAAATTGGCATGCTAATTTTGAGAGGTTAGTGACTTGTTCCCCTTAGATGTAGCTGTGCAACAAAGATAAACACAATGGCCGAACGATCGCATCTGTAAATGGGCGAGATGTGGCAGTCTGTGACGGGAGAGAAGGTATAGATGAACGTGAGAACTGTGAGACGTTTTAGGAAATACCTGACTTAACCCCCCGTTCTTCAATTGGACTTGTTCGACATTGCCAAGATTGGGTCGTATTCAGGGAGTCATCATCATTTACATAGGGTAACTATCATAAGTTATATGAACAGCCTGAGAGACGCTGTATGTAAAGTTGATACTGGTATATCATAAGAAATATGAAACCAAAAACGTTATTCACAATTCTATGTGTATACATGTTTCCCAGCGATACTAGGTGTAGTGTTCATTATAAATTAACACATTAACTCAATCGTGAAGATCGGGGTTAGTATTGGTCTTCATGCCTTGCTATGAGAGGCAACTATGGATGCCTTAAGAGTTGACTAACGGGATCGGGAGGTCAGACTCACTGACTTGGTTGATGCATGTCATCGTATCCCAATTGTGTAGATCGATGTTTATTATGTCAATGACTGGATTGTCCGATCCAGATTTGATTATTTACAATATTTATCATAATGCTGGAATATTGCTGTGTGCGCCCTTAAACAACAAACAAACAAAAATGTCTAGTTTTGCCTTTGCAAGTATTTGTTCCCCTTCCCGTTGTTCTATAGATGACGTAATTTTACTTTAACTTTTCCGACTTGGTAGGCCGATCCATGGAAGCGACCGTTCTTCTTGCATCATTAAACAACAAACAAGCTAACTGCCACTACACGATCATGAGTCTATTTGATCCACAAGCAAATATATTGATTGATACAGTATTTTATTACGAAACATTGAGTGATATATACAGGAATCATTTTAAAACATCTCAAACAGCAATTTATACATTATATATATATCACGTATAATTTCACAAAGGCACTGTTGGACAAGTTAGTTTTTCTAATTTTATTTTTGTTATTACAATATATTTCCATGAATAACATTTGGAAAAAAATGTATCCGTCACTAAGTTTTTATCTGTATCATATATATCGAAAGGTTGGTTAGAGTTTGAGAGGAAGTGGACAGTGATATAAAAATAAGATACAATCTATATTGGACGGGACCAGATAACAGTATAAGATATAAAGCAACATTCTGTACAGAAAATATCACAGTTTGAGGTTATTGTATCAATAATCAATCAACCATATTTCATAACAACAATTATAAATTATACTGATTTCAAAGTGGCATTGACTCATCTCCACGAAATTTGTGTATTTTTGCGTTTTAAGTTATTTAATGTTACCGTCGTCAATATGCGCGTACATATGCTTGTATTACCCTCAAATATCAATTGTGCGATGATGTCATTTGACTGGCATTTTTGTTGAAACTTAAGTTTGAAGTCACTCAATAATAATTTCACAAATCTAGAAGCACTATAATAATTATTCTGCCATCATAATGTTAAATGTGTAAAGAAAAGCGTCAGCATGTACAATCGATGCCTTATTGTAAGCTATTAATAGGTTGCATGTGAACAAAATAACACATATAGTTACACAAAGAATCTAAGAATGCTTTCGTAATAACTTGCTACAAGCCAAGTATTAATACTATTGCGTATCACAAAGCTAACATGACTCTCTCACACAAATCCTACAAGAAACAGGAAGAGCAATTTCATTATTGAACCCAAACGTTTCTTTCCAAGTATTTATGCATAAAAATATAATTAGTTCTGCAAGTACATACATGTAGTATATACAAATTTAAACCTGTCTAAACGGAATCCTACGTTGTGTCATACATTCTTTTGAAATAATAGTCAGTGAGTGAGTTGGGTTTGACGCCGCTTTGAACAGTTTTCCAGTGACATCTCAGCGTGTCAGCTTAGTGTGGGAGGATGCCTTAAATAATGCAGATCTTAGACGTGTGCCAGTTTGGTGAAACCCACGAGCACGGGTATGGTGCTGACAAACCTAAAAACATAAACGGGGCGAACCCGGAGATTATAGGTGTCTGGCATGCCTTTGACGACTGAGCCAACAGTATCCGATTGAAAAATAACATTGTTTATGCAAAATATAGTGGATTAAGGTAAAGAGTGGATTTCAGAATATAACAATCATCGTCGACTGGTGTAAATATTAAGTAGATGTAGGATTCAGTACTTCTTCAACATCGCTACAAGTACTCTCGGTGAGTATTATTGCTCGCGCACTAATCACTGTCAACTTCTCGTTTCTGTTAGTAGATGTTTCTCTTGAGCCCGTCGCCTGAACCGGGACGTTTGTCGCTAGGGGAGTCTACTAGTCGATTTGGTGACTCGTTACTCATGTGAACTCTGGACTGGGACCTAGAGTTCCTTCTGGAGGTGGCGTTCATTCTTGAGTTGGCCCTGTAATAAGAAAGAGAGATATCTTCAACCAATCCATGTACCGGAAGATAGGAGTCTTTCACAACCAACGACTTAGCGACATGGCTGGTAACAAATGAAACAAGTTCTAACTTTAATAAGCAGACAGATTAAACATGTATCATCTAGATTGATGCAATGGCCACGATATCAGTTGCATGTACATCACCGGAAGAAAAACTCTCTTTTTGCTGGAGTGAGTGAGTTAGGTTTTACGCCACTTTGAACAGTAATCCAGTTATATCACGGCGTGCCAGTTTCAATTGGGGAGAAAGCCAGAAGCGATGTTGGTCTCAGACGTTTACCACTATCCTGAACCCCACGAGCACGGGTCAGCATAACAAACAAAGAATTCGAATTCTCGATCATAGGTTTTTGGCTTGCCATTTGGCGAATTGCGGCGCCTTAGACGACTGGGCAACCCGTATCCCCTCTTTTGCTGGAAAGATGTGTGGAATGAACGCTAATTCCAAACTTATCAAGAGACGAATGATTTCCTTTTCAGTGATATTTAATATACAGCTGATCCAACTTATAACATTGTTTTGTGTCACCTGTCTCTTTAATATATACTACTTTACTCGTTCACGCCTATTTACACAGGTATCTACGTTGTACTTCGCATAAGGAAAAACAACAAATGGAAGGGACAATTGAGAAAAAGATTCGCTCAAAAACTTAACATTGTCGTCTAAAAGAAGAGATTTTACTAAAGCAACCAAATAGATCTTTATGGATCAAGTTCAAAGCTTACCTGGAAATGTCTAGGACTTTGTTCCGTGTGCACCTGTAAACTATGAAGACGATGAGAAGGATGATGACGATCATGAGGACGATGATGCCGAGGACGATGCCGACAATCATACCTGTGTTGTGGTCGTCGTTGTAGGCTGTGAAGACATCACAATGCAAATAAATGTGTCATAGACAACCGATGAGGTGAAGAATATCCCACGTTAAACTCTGAGCTCGATAATTGTAACAACAAAAATCAAGATAATCAAGTCTGTGATGCCAGAAGACAGTCAAGTCTGTTATGACAGAAGACCATCAAGTCTGTGATGTAAGAAAACAATCAAGTCTGTGATGTAAGAAGACAGTCAAGTATGTGATGCCTGAAGACAATCAAGTCTGGGATGTAAGAAGACAATCAAGTATGAGATGCCAGAAGACAGTCAAGTATGTGATGTAAGAAAACAATCAAGTATGTGATGCCAGAAGACAATCAAGTATGTGATGCCAGAAGACAATCAAGTCTGTGATGGAATAAGACAATCAAGTATGTGATGCCAGAAGACAATCAAGTATGTGATGCCAGAAGACAATCAAGTATGTGATGCCAGAAGACAGTCAAGTATGTGATGCCGGTAGGCAATCAAGTATGTGATGTAAGAAAACAATCAAGTCTGTGATGTAAGAAATAATCAAGTATGTGATGTAAGAAGACAATCAAGTATGTGATGTAAGAAAACAATCAAGTCTGTGATGTAAGAAAACAATCAAGTATGTGATGTAAGAAGACAATCAAGACTGTGATGTAAGAAAACAATCAAGTATGTGATGTAAGAAAACAATCAAGTATGTGATGCCAGAAGACAATCAAGTCTGTGATGTAAGAAAACAATCGAGTCTGTGATGTAAGAAAACAATCAAATCTGTGATGTAAGAAGACAGTCAAGTATGTATGTAAGAAGACAGTCAACTCTGTGATGCCAGAAAACAATCAAGTCTGGGATGTAAGAAAACAATCAAGTCTGTAATGTAAGAAGACAGTCAAGTATTTGATGCCAGAAGACAATCAAGTCTGTGATGGAATAAGACAGTCGAGTATGAGATGTAAGAAGACAGTAAAGTATGTGATGCCAGAAGACAATCAAGTCTGTGATGCCAGAAGACAGTCAAGTATTTGATGCTAGAAGACAGTCAAGTATGTGATGCCAGAAGACAATCGAGTTTGTGATGTAAGAAGACAATAAAGTATGCAATTCAAGAAGTCAGTCAAGTTTCTGATACAAGCAGATAATCAATTATGTGATGTCAGAAAACATTCAATTGTGCGATGTATGAAGACAATCAAGTCTGTGATAGAAGAGGACAATCAAATCTGTGATAGAAAAGGACAATCAAGTCTGGGATGGAATAAGACAATCAAGTATGTGATGCCAGAAGACAATCAAGTATGTGATGCCAGAAGACAGTCAAGTATGTATGTAAGAAGACAGTCAACTCTGTGATGCCAGAAAACAATCAAGTCTGGGATGTAAGAAAACAATCAAGTCTGTGATGTAAGAAGACAGTCAAGTATTTGATGCCAGAAGACAATCAAGTCTGTGATGGAATAAGACAGTCAAGTATGAGATATAAGAAGACAGTCAAGTATGTGATGCCAGAAGACAATCAAGTCTGTGATGCCAGAAGACAGTCAAGTATGTGATGCCAGAAGACAATCGAGTTTGTGATGTAAGAAGACAATAAAGTATGCAATTAAAGAAGTCAGTCAAGTTTCTGATACAAGCAGATAATCAATTATGTGATGTCAGAAAACAATCAATTGTGCGATGTATGAAGACAATTAAGTCTGTGATAGAAGAGGACAATCAAATCTGTGATAGAAAAGGACAATCAAGTCTGGGATTCAAGAAGATAATAAAGTCTGTGACGCAAAAATATCTTTACTACAAAGTGGGATACACAGAAGTGATTAACCTGTGTAGGTAATTACATAAAAACATATTTTCGAATCGATCAATGCTTCAGTGTATACTGAGCTATGTTCCAGTCTGACTGTATAGGTCAATACTTCAGTGTGTACTGATCTATGTACCGTTCTACGTGTGTAGGTCATTGCTTCAGTGTCTACTGATTTATGTACCGGTCTACGTGTGTAGGTCCTTGCTTCAGTGTATACTGATTTATGTACCGGCCTACGTGTGTAGGTCATTGCTTCAGTGTATACTGATTTATGTACCGGTCTACGTGTGTAGGTCATTGCTTCAGTGTCTACTGATTTATGTACCGGTCTACGTGTGTAGGTCATTGCTTCAGTGTCTACTGATTTATGTACCGGTCTACGTGTGTAGGTCATTGCTTCAGTGTCTACTGATTTATGTACCGGTCTACGTGTGTAGGTCATTGCTTCAGTGTATACTGATTTATGAACCGGACTACGTGTGCAGGTCATTGCTTCAGTGTATACTGATTTATGTACCGGTCTACGTGTGTAGGTCATTGCTTCAGTGTATACTGATTTATGTACCGGTCTAAGTGTGTAGGTCATTGCTTCAGTGTATACTGATTTATGTTCCGGCCTTCGTGTGTAGGTCATTGCTTCAGTGTATAGTGATTTATGTACCGGTCAACATGTGTAGGTCATTGCTTCAGTGTATACTGATTTATGTACCGGTCAACATGTGTAGGTCATTGCTTCAGTGTATACTGATTTATGTACCGGTCTACGTGTGTAGGTCATTGCTTCAGTGTCTACTGATTTATGTACCGGTCTACGTGTGTAGGTCATTGCTTCAGTGTATACTGATATTTGTACCGGTATACGTGTGTAGGTCATTGCTTTAGTGTATACTGATTTATGTACCGGTCATACGCCACGACTTACCTTGATTTGCATGTATAACGGTGTACGTGGTGAAATGAGATGCTCTGCACTCCACGTTTGTGCCGGTCTGGACTGCCGTTGTCACGCCCTCCGTTGACCAGGTGCTTGTGGCGGCGTCCCAGAACACACATAGCGCCACCTGGCCCTGGTTAGCCTGGTCGCTGTTCAGTTTCATCGAGATGGACGCCGGCGTCTCAAGCCCTGCCACTTGCTTCTGTCCATCTGGAAGTACAGAGGTGAGGTTTTATGCCGCATTAGCACTGTTGAGCCACATAGTCACGAGAAAGTGATATCGAAATGATCAGCAAATGATACATGATTTATTACATACGTCAGTGTGAAATATTGAGTTTTCTGAAATAGAGAAAAGGGATATTTTCATTTTAGTGAACATAACACTTTATATTTTACTGCAATGAACATAACACTTGATATTTCACTGCAGTAAACAAGACAATTTGACGGAACTATTGTCATACCAGAGTTACCTTCACGCAAATGTCTTCCTTTATCATACGTGTCTGGCCCGTACTGTTCACTTCCTTCTTATGTTAGTTCCACATTGACAAGGCCAAATAATGACAGATGGTCATTTATGAAGTTTATGTTTCGTTATAGACTGTAATTGTTTCATGAAACTCGTCAATCGAGACTGTTCTTCACGCAAAGAGCCATTTTTGTTACTTGACCAGCATGTATTCTTTCGCTTTCAACAGCGTTCTCGTGGACTTCAAGAATATTTTGTTGAAGTTTGTTTTTTATATAATCATATCTAAATGTATGATAAAGACCCTAATTATTTCTTGTTATATTTGCTAATTTTAAGATTTTGCAAACACGGAACTACATTTCAAGTCGCAAATACAGGAGCTAGACTAAGTTAAACGTCCCTGTGTGTTAGGTAGGCAGAATTTACGTTTCAACGTTTTACTTTTGGAATGAAATTATTTAATTTTTCCGGTAGACAACTACACAAAAAGTATAATATAAATAGGATATTCCACGTGTCTCGTGAAAAATCATCTTTCTCTCATCTTGTAACGAGGTAGTAGTACGAGCGTCTACGCCACTCGTGAAAAATATCCTTTCCCCTTTCCCTCCTTTCCTCAATTTAGTGAGTGACCGAGTGAACAGTGATTAGTCTTATCGCTGTCAGTTGTCTAAGAGTGGGAGGGTACGCTGGTACGTCACACGATGGCAGGCATGGTGCTGACAGACCAAGGATCCTAATTAAATCTGGGAGTCGAACGTGTGATCGACCTGCAGGACTAAGGGACGCAACTCTGCACATGGACCTGTGGCGCCAACTACTACTACTACTGCCACTACTACTTTCACTACAACTACCACTGCTACGAATTCTACTCCTACTACTATTGCAGCTGCTACTAGAACTACTACTACTACTGCTAATGATAATACTACTGCTGCTGAACGGGATCTGATGGTCAGGCTCGCTGATTTGGTTGATGCATGTCATCGATCTCAATGCCGTGGATCGATGCTCATGATGTTAATTATTGGATTGTCTGGTCCAGACTAGATTATTAACAGACTGCCGTCATATAGCTTGACTATTTCTGAGTGCGGTGTTAAACAACAAAGAAACAAACAAAACAAACTACTGCTGCTACTACTACCACAACTTCTACTAAAACCACTACTACTACTACTGCTACTAAAACTTCTACCACTGCTGCTGCTACTACCTCTACTACTTTTTCCCATCGAAAAAAGCCCGATGTCATGTTTTTAATCAAGGTGCCGAAGTGCTGTGATGCACCTCGCGAGGTTAAGACCCGTTTTATTACTATATAGATCTCGATTATCGATCAGATCGTCATGACTCGTCGCCGCCATTCTGTGTGATGCAAATGGAATCTGATTGGTCAATAGGAGGTAAATAGAAAGGGACATAAATCGTTATAGTCACCGGTTGCGCTACGGTCGAGCCACGAATGCCAACCAAAGTTGGATCGCCGTCATATAGCTGGAATATATCTGAGAGCGGCATTAAAGAAATAAATAAGCGGCTATTGCTTCCTCTGCTGGTATTGCTACGGCTGCACCTATTTATACTAATGCTGCTGCTGCTGCTGCTGCTGTTGCTGCTACTCACTTGTGGCCGGGTCTAAGAAGGAGACTTCAATGATTGGCGCCATAGTAGAAGACGTATCGGTGATGGCTGCAGGTTTGGTCTTGAAGGTTGTCACCTTAATGACCACGTTCTTGTAGCCAAGCCTGCAAACAAACACGTCATATCAATGTCCAAGCTGATTTACTAAACTGATCTGACTGAAAGACGTATCTGACTGGAAAACATGACGTGGAATTATCATCAGGGCACGTCCTCAAACCCCGCTGGCACCACATGTTTTCGACAAAATTTAAAATCATTCCCTTGTCAAAATAAAAAAAATAGTTCCGTCTGTTTCAAGTGTAAATTAATTGAAATATTGGTGCAAGATAATGTATATTTGACGAATACCCTGAAAGAAATGGGGCGTTTAAACAATAGAATGGCGTCACAAATATGTTTTAATATCAAGACTGGGTATTTAGCTTGGCATACGGAAGAGAAGGATTTTGCTGTCAGTCCATATACTAACAAAACGCCCACGCGGGTGGTTTCGAATGTACGTTTCTCTGTTAAAACCCTTGAATAAGACATGTTGATACCTGACACCTAATCCGACTTTACCATTACGTATCCGAATTATTTGTTGAGCAGGTCAAAAGGCAAAACTAACCAACGGCCACATGAGTTACTGGACACACCACGCACTTGCTGAATATCAGTACTATTTCATCATGATAAACGGGCAAACCGTCCAGTAATTACTAAAATGACTTTTTCAAAATGACTGCCGAGGTGGGCAAATTTAAAGATGGATCCAAACCATGTAATTTGTTGGCTTTTTTTCAGTATAACAATTACTTACAATATATGACACGTCATATGATACATCCTGAGTGCCAAATGTGATAGTTTCAATATGGCTGCCACGACGGCCATATTTAAAATTTGAATAAAATTGTAGAAAACTCTTTGGAGACCTTTGCAAGGTTTCAGAGAAAACGGACGGATGACGTGTCATGACTGGAAATAACTCTCACTTACTTCGATCTGACACTTTCACCGAATTTTATCTTCAAATCGTTGTTGCTTCCATCTTTGACCGTCAAGTCATCGCCGGGTATATCATTGACCACGCTCACACGAGATGCAGTCAGGTTATAAGTAGCAGAGTTTCCGTATTCAACCCCAGTGGACTCGGCATCATCAACTTTGGCCTCTAAGGCCGCAATCACATCACTAGAAGCACCAGCAGTCTTAGCATTGGCGAGCCAGGTGTTCACGCCCTCAAGGTATCGTTCCGGGACTTTGACGTTATTGTTGATGAAGTAGTCGATGGTGTTCATTATATGAGAAGCGAGAGTAGCAATTTCCTCACTCGTGAAAGCCTGGGGTGGGATTGCCGTCAAGGCGTCGAGGAAAGTGCTTGCGGAAGCATCGTTCATGGTCCTCTTGGCAGCTATGTCATTGACCAGGGGAATAAGCAGAGATGGGAGGGTGCTCTCGCCTGTTTTTCCGTACAACGTCACAAGAAGAACTGCGGCTTCCATGGACCGGCCTACAAAGGCGGAAAAATTAAACAAGTCAAGCATTGAATAAAGTGAAGGGGAATGGCTGCTTGCAACGGCAAAACTATAAACAAGTATTAAAAAAAGTTTGTATGTTTGTTTGTTGTTTAACGCCACACAGCTGTATGACGGCGATCTGTAAATAATCGAATATGTACCAGACAATCCATTGGTTGACATCATGAGCATCGATACATGTAATTGGGATCGGTGACCTGCATCAACTAAGTCAGTGAGCCTGACCACCCGATCCCGTTAGTCGCTTCTAACGACAAGCGTACTCGCCTTTTATGACAAGCATGGGTTGTTGAAGACATATTCTTCCCCGGATCTTCAAGGGTCAGTGTAAATTATTACATAAATGGAATTATTCGGGACCAGTATTTTTCGCTATCCTCGATTATCCAATGTATTATGTTTCCATGCTATTATGATAAATACTCTGGGGTGAGTGAGTTGGGTTTAGCGATGCTTCGAACAGTATTCAAGTTATATCACGGCGTATCGGCTGTTTTTTGGAGGAAATGATGCATGTCTTGTAAGTTTACCACTTTGATGAAACCCACGGGTATGGTGCGAACAAACCTAGAAACATTATCTGGGCGAACCGGACTCAAACTCATCATTATTAGGTTTCAGACGTGCCCAAGGGACGCAACTCTGCACAGAGAGTTGCGGTCACCCTTGCATCCTAAATACCATGGAAATTTGGGAGCATTGGTTTGAGCCTTTTTGAGCCTCGGATTTCCATGACTCTTAAAACAGCCATCCAATCAAAGAGGGCGCTAAGTTAGAGACAAAAGCGATAGAGGTGGTGAAATCTACGGCGGCGAATGTGTCTCGCATGCTTAGATATCTTGTCATATAAAATATTATTTCATAAGCTGTCAACATGATATTACATTAGCATGTTTGAGAACTATTTATCAAAACGATATTTCACTTATAAAATAAATCACACGTAAAGAACGGCATTGTGTGAAACTCTCTACCGAGATATAGTTACTTTACTTATACGAATAAATATAATCGTATTTTTATCTTATTGGTGGAAAATTGATAGAAACAATTATTAATATAAATAGATATAATAGTATTGTTTTCTTATTGGTGCAACACTGACAGATACAAGTATTTATACGAATAGATAAAATCGTATTTTTGTCTAATTGGTGAAAGACTGACATATACAATTGTTTATACGAATAGATAAAATCGTATTTTTGTGCAACACTGACAGATACAATTATTATTAAGGAAAAACGCATAGATCTATTCTCTCCTTCTACACACCATGTTTTTAACCAGCTTCCTCTACATATCTGCTGAATATCCATCGTGCACCAGATAGAACAACAGTCTTTCGCTGTCCCCAAATTTAAGTAGGAAAAATATTTGTTTTTCGAAATGTCATCATCCTGTTCACCCTGTGAATAAAAACTGAAGTCGTCCTACACATCCCTGTCATGGAATCCCTGGTGTTTCTAGGTGTTTTTTTCTGGCTGACCATCAGGTCACAATTCCTTACTTTGATTATTGAGAAGATCGATCTCTTTCTTTATTGCCGTGACCAGCGTGTCCGTACTCCCGGGGTCGTTCACAGTTGGGACCACGCAGCTCAATGTCCTGCACAGGCCGTTCTCGCCTCCCACACACACCTGGACATCAATCAATTATATATGGCTACTGACTGACCGAAACTCTTCAGCAAACTTCATCATCCGTAGTCTGCCACTCTACACTTTTGCTAGCGGGTGCGCTCTTCAGCCCGTGTAATATTATCTCCCTTGACAGCACTTCTGCTCTTCAGACGTATACAGGTTAAACGAGCTGTATTACAATACAGTAAACTACGTTTATAACGAACTGACGGATATAACGAACTTTTTTTGTCCCGGACATTTGCTGTATATATGTTGTAAATATGCCTTTAACAAAATACGGTTATAACAAACTAAAATCAGTGGTCCCTTTGAGGTCGTTGTAGCCGTAGTTTACTGTACATATGTATTTCGTCCAATAGAAAAGTCGTATCGTGTAAACTTCACATTGAAACCACATGATTCTGTTAAAACTAACTGTCATTGGAAAAGTCCTTTGAAGTTTCATATGTTGGAGGTTGCCTATCAGTAGACACAAGCATATAAACACAAACAATGTGTCTAGTTGTGTATGTATTGAATTAAGACAAACATACACGGGTGGGTGAGTATGGTTTTACGCCGCTTTTTATCACGGGAAGGGTCACCAGATATGGGTTTCACACATTGTACCCATATGGGAAATGGAAACCGGGTCTTCGGCGTGATGAGCGAACGCTTTATCCACTAGGCTACCCGACCGCCACTTATATGCAGAAACACATGATATATAAGATGTGAATAATTTTCTGTTTGCGAATAGCAACACGATATTATTCAGCAAACTAATATAAAACAACGGATCTTTTACAAATCACAATGATGACACCAGGTGCTTGTGAATCTAACACGCCTGAACTGTCCTACGAATCGTCCTCACCGCGAGTTAAAGTCAAGGTTACTGTACAAGAAGCTGTACATCAAGTTCTCGTCATCACCACGAGTCAAGGCCAAGGTCACTGTACAAGAAGATGTACATCAAGTTCTCGTCATCACCACGAGTCAAGGTCAAGGTCACTGTACAAGAAGCTGTACATCAAGTTCTCGTCATCACCACGAGTCAAGGTCAAGGTCACTGTACAAGAAGCTGTACAACATGTTCTAGTCCTCACTACGAGTCAAGGCCAAGGCCACTGTACAGGCAGCTGACGAACATGAACCAGGCCGCAAAGATGCAGATATAGTAACTGTTGTATTTTTTTCAATTAGTTGAAATTGTGAAATGTAACCACGAATTCCTCACCTCAACATGGAAGGTGTTTCCAGCAGAGCTGTAGGAGCGAGGCCCGACAACCCGGAAGTCCCCAGTGCTCTGCCTCTGAGACAAAGCCCTGAATTGTCCAGGAGAGGTCTGGACTAGGAGCATGTAAGTCATCCCTCCCGGACCGTCCACCTTCCTAGTCGTGATTGATATCTGCAACAATAAATCGATTTCTATGAACAGTGAAACCAAACCAATCGTGAGCATGCTGTCTCTGCAACAATAAATCGATTTCTAACCAAACCAATCGTGAGCATGCTGTCTCTCATGTGACCTTTCGAGACCATAACCTTTAACTACCACGCAGTGATATAACTGTAATACTGTTCCATATAACTCACTAAACAGTATCTGACATACCAACTGATTACACACATCAAACTATTTCCGTAATATTTAACGGAACTGAAAATTGTATAGTTATCGGGTTGAACTGACAGGTGACCCCTACGTCAAAATATAAGACTATATGAATACATCACCGAAAATCAGTGATGGCACCAGGTGCCTGCGACAAGGGCAAGACGTCCTACCATACCGGTGGCACCTGCTTCCCACACAACTTGCATAAACATTAAGTGTTTGTTTGTTACACAGCAGTACTCTTGCCATACGATGACGGCCTGTGAACACAGGAGTGGGTGAGTGATTTGGATTTAACGCCGCTTTTAACAGTATTCCAGTTCACACGGCGTGTCAGCTTAATGAGGGAGGAAAGCCCAAAGTGATGCACGTTCCAGACGTTTACCCCATCGGTGAAACCCAAGAGCGCGGGTATGGTGCTGACAAACCTAGAAACATAATCGGGGCAAACAGGGATTCGAACCTATAATCACAGGTTTCTGGCACCCCCCAGGACGCAACTCTGCATAGCAAAGTGCGGCGCCTTAGACGACATGACCACCCGTGCCCTCAAACAACAAAACGAGGAGATGCCAACCTACCTTGTTCAGCTCGGTGTAAGACGAAGGACATGCCAGTACCCCTCCAGACAATCCCTTCTTCACGCTCACAGTAATCGTTGTCTTGGTTTGACCGCCATTAACATCCGTAATGGTAGCCTGTAGATTGTACATATTGCCGCCTTCGACAATGCCTGGAAATACATAACTGAACTGGAGAACCACCCTACACAAGGCTCCTCAGAACCAGGTGATGAACCGTTATCAACCACCCCTGTCTGCCATTTGTTATTCTGACGGTGGGGGCTGGGGGTAGGGGGTTCTGGGATTTTATCGAAAAATACATTGTCCACGAAAATTCTTGAAAAGAAATATTGCTGCAGACTTTGGAAAAAAACAGTTGCCTGCCACAAAAATGACAATATGGCAAGGTGACTTTCTTTGATAAAATTCAGGCTCAAAGGTTTAAAGAAGAAAATATCTGGTTTTGTAGCTGTAACTGAAAAAATAGATATCTAATCACAAAACAAAAATCCCAGCTCCCCTTCCACCCCCAGCCCTCAACTCAAACCCCCTTCCCCCAAGAATAATGATCAGTCCAAAGCTATCCCGGCAAAGTCGGCCTCATTAACACAGGTAGATGTATAAAAACCATCCTCTGCATAATTCCAATTTACGTTAATAAAAAGGTACAATTATCAAATCCACGTATGGACCCTCTAAATTTAAAACACTGTGTGTTTCCCTCAACATTTAATTTGTATATTATATGGTGGGTACTGTATGTATTATGTCCTTACTGAGATTCATCGATTATTCATATACTATATGATCAAACAGTCTGGCATTTTCTTTCAGTTTGAAATACCTTACTATGTGACACCTACCTTTTCCGATTACAAGGAACATCTTATATACATTGTCAGGCAGGGCATCAGTGTACTGGTCCGCTATGGCCACGTCCAAGTCCAGGGCCATGACAGCTGAACACAAAGTAAGGACACATGATAATTTCTGATATAGCACACGTATAAAAACTGACGATTTCCCACTCTACCCAATACCTCTGACCAATTAATCACACCATTTCGAGCTCATTCCATCCTTCCCCACCACCTTGTACCATATTCCACCCCTTCTTACGACATCCCACCCCTTCTTACGACATCCCACCCCTTCTTACGACATCCCACCCCTTCTTACGACATCCCACCCCTTCTTACGACATCCCACCCCTTCTGTTCTCGCCCCATCCCATCTCACTCTGTCCTACCATGTCCTACCCCGTCCTACCCCGTCTCACCCTGCCTTACCCTATCTCACCCCATCTTACTCCGTCCCACCCCGTCTCACCATGCCCTACCCCGTATTACCCCATCCCACCCCTTCTTATAGCGTCCCACCTTCGTACACCGCCCCACCACGCTTTAACCCATCCAACCCCCACCTCACCCCTTCTTACCCTGTCTAGTATAAGCTGGTCATACCCCTTCCTACCCCGTCCAACCCCTTCTTACGCCACCCCACACCGCCCTACCCCGTCCCAAGCCGTTTTACACCGTACTACCCCAAAACCTGTGACGCCCCATCTCATCCAATCCCTCCTCACGACGTCCTATTTCCTACCCTTCCCTACCCATACCGACCCACAAGAACCCTATACAGCATGAACTGTATCTACCTCCTCGTGTCTGGCTGTTCCACACCGTGTCCCTGATGGCCACTGAGGATGTGCAGGTGACCACAAGCAACGCCCGGTCTCCTGGCCGCACAATGTGTCGATTATTTGACGCAAAACACTGTAAAGAATGATTAAAAAATCAGATACATGTGCATTTCAACAGGATTTGTGATGAAATATATTTACAGTTTAACACAATCTTTTACTTGATCTACAATTCACGGAAATTCCATATTTAATCACATGAGTATATATGTTGATCAGGTTTTCGGTCCATGTATTCAAACGCGAACGAAAAAAATCAATTTTATTTATTAATCTGTGCCTTTAAAACACATTTATCGTTGTAACTAGGTTTCCAAAAGAACGTTGTGAAGAAGTCGCTGATGTTGAAATTACGATTATTATTATTACTATTAAAGTACCGAGTACATATTTTCTTAAACGTCTTGATCGTGAGACATACAGATTATTATTCGAGCATGTGTTTCATACTGATTTTACGACACGACTGTCAGAATTCTTGTATTTTTCTATCGAGAACGAGGGTATTAATTACTAGTATATGGATTCTCACATCCGTTTCGTAAAATGAGTCCAACACACACGCGAGTGTAGTAATTTCTTATTACTCGTTTTTTCCTTATTCTTCGGAGCTACCCTTTAGAAACATGCACAGATCACGACCGCCATCTTAGAAAAGCACAATTGTCAAAAGAAATTTCAGCTATGACGTCCTTTCTAGTGTGACGTCATTCGACCTTACGTCACAATAAGATTCGAATGACGTCAACAATGCCGTCCGGATGACATAAACAATACACTAGTGATATTTGCACGAGTGCACATACAATCATTAAGGGATGACTGTGTACACAGTGCACATACAATCAATTCTTAGTAATAACTGTGTATATCATTTAACTTAAGCATTTATCCATGACATAAGCTTATGACATAAAAACATGTATGTCATACCCCAATGACATAAGTATGCAAATTAGATATGCAAATTAGATAACCGGAAGAGCGAGCGGTTTGATTTGAAACTATATATTATAAGTGAAGTTACACCAGAGATATAATCAGATTACACAGAATCGTTGTTGTTACCGTTATTAACGTTTCAATTATTCTGCAAAAGTCTGTTCAAGTATTTTGTTTAAAATAATCCGAGGAACTTTTTTTCTCAGCGAATTGTTTATTTTGGTTTACATGGCTATGGAAAACATATATCACTACGCACGATCTATACGTAAGATTTCGACAAGTTGCTGATGTTAATGTTTAATGCAATTATTCCTCAGTTTGGAAGCAAAAGTGTGAAAATGATAAATAGAATTAATCACTCGTGTTTTTTAATATGGGAAATATCAACCTAGTCCCGTTAATCGATTAACTAAGACTCGGTTGATATTTCCCATATTAAAAAACACTCGTGATGAATCCTCTATATACACTGTGTATTTTTTACAGTTTGCACATCGGTTTTTCGATTCATACCTCAATGAACCGAACAAAATACACAGTCAATCCTTAAATAACTCGGTTATTTCTAACACTCATTGTAATAAACTGAATTGTTATATCTCTACTAATCTTGCAATTCCATTGGTTAATCCGTACCATGTGACGAAACAATACATTTCAATGTTGACCCCGAAATCATGACACTGACCTCGACTATTGACTCGTCACATGATCAGTATTGATCTATCACGTGATGAATATTGACTGCTAGAAAACAAGATGGCGTCTAGTACTAACATTTCACAGTTCGCAGCTAAGTTACTGTAACGAAACAGAGGACGGTTTGAGACTTCATAATCTTTCAAATGAATTTCGGTATAACAAACGAATGGTTACTCTTTACCTGGCAAATGAACGAAAACAAGGACCCTCGGACCCGACCGCTTCGGCGGTCAGACCACCTCGGGGTTCGGGTCCTCGGGTCCTTTGTTTTCGCAAATTGATCTCGTCAAGAGTAATTAATTGTATAATATGCCTACCACTGGTGATGTTCCACTCTGGATATCCAAGGTGACGGTCTTCGAGCCGGACTTTGTAGCCGTACTGGCAGTGAGCGTCACTTCACACCGTGTCCCTGCAGACAACAGGGAAGGATCTATTGACAGCGTCTCACTGTTATTGGATGCTCCTGACCCAAGACATGAGCCAACATCGGTTCCCTGAAAATAAAACCGTAGATCTCGTTTCATTTACCATGGAATTAACATGCACCCCTTTGAGGTTAATGTGGCGACAGCGTTCATACCTTGATCCACATACGGATAACCAACTTACACGAGAGACCCGTGAAGATGCGGGGTATGTGCGTGCGTGCGTGCGTGCGTGCGTGCGTTCGTGAGTGCGTGTGTGTGTGTGTACTAATCCGGACTAACGCCGCTTTTAGAGTGATACTGACTCCAACCCGACCGGTCCGTGTTTGATCCCCGTAATCCCGAGCGCCAGGCAGTGTAACAACAAATACCATCTTTTAGCGTCTTTTGGTATGACGTGGCCGGGGATCAAACCCCGGACCTCGGCTCTCCGGGCATACGTTCTATCCACTAGACACGGAGGCTGTCTCTCGGACTAAATGAACCCGGAAGTGCCCCTGCTGCGCTTATGTTTTTGAGCGAAAATGCCATCTTTGTATGTTTATGAAGAACATGGAATTAACGCCACGTGTGCTAAGTGCTACATTCACAGTTGCCAAGTATCGAATAAGTATCTTACCAAAAAATTCCTGTGTGTTTTGTATTGGATTGGCCTGGATGGCATTGAAGTTGGATTATTTGGGATTGCCTTCAATGGGCTTTCGTAGTCTTTCCTTCTTGAACAATGTTAATTCACAAGTTACATTTACAGTTTCTCCAAAATTTCTCACTGTAAACGTATTAAAATAAAAGTTTTTTCCCTTATTTTTTCTCTCAATTATATTTTAAAAAATACCAACGAATACCATCATTAAGGCGCATATATCATTCATCATGTTATTACAATATAACACGGAGTATGAATATACCCCATCTGTTTCAAACCGATGAGGAGCGAAATATGAATTAAATCAAATACTTTCCAACTATCATTTATCATTTTATCACAATATTGCATCGAGCTGAAATACGCCATTTATTTGAAACTGAGAAAGGAAAAAAAATGTTTTTTACTTTCCATATACAATTTACCATGTCATTACAATACTGCATTGTGTTTTAATATATCTTATATCTCCCAGATAGTTTAGCATGAGGTCGTGTAAGGTTTTTGAATGAGCCGTGAGAGGCGACTTTGCTTGTCGTAAGAGGAATCCCGATATATTTGCAGTTCACTTATCATTCATAGTGGTTGTCAAATAGGAAACAGTACCACAGATGTTCTCGAGCTGACGGTCGTGGCAGTGAAAGATATCCGTAGATTGCTGTATATTCTTCCATGACATTGAAGGGTGATCTAATTCTATTGGTTACTGTTACTAAATTTGAACCCGTGAAGATCCGGGTTAGCATCGGTCTTCAGTAACCACTGCTTGTCAGGTGGTCAGACTCGCTGACATTGTTGATGCATGTCATGGTATCCCAGTTATGTGGATCGATGCTCATGATGTCAATCACTGGATTGTCTGGACCAGACTCGATTGCTTATAGACCGCCGTCATATAGCTGGAATAGTGCTGAGTGCGGCGTTAAACAACAAACAAACAAACAAAACTTACACTGCTGTCTCGCCCCACTGCTGTCCACAAGAAGAATAAGCTTGCCGTAGGGTCATCCGGGTCCTTCGTAAAACTAGCATCAAACACCTGCAGTCCGCTGTTGACACTTGCCGCACGTTCTTCACCACCTGCAACACGTGCACACACGTCAGTCACATCCGTTATATGTGAATCGTAGAATTAAAGAGGTTAATAATGTTATCAACAATAAAAACTCCAAGAACAGAGCCATCTCGTGTTTGCCGCGAACGGGAGTGACCGTGCAAAGGGCAAATGATCCGTCGTAGGTAACTGTCTCTGTTTTATTTTCTGAGCCATCAAGTTTATTCCATATATAATTCTTCTGAGTGAGGGACAGAACTGGGTTGTATGCCGCTTAATTCACGGCAATGTCACGGCTGGGTAAACACAACATACCATCGCCGCACTCGGGTTGACCTAGCCTCTTATGAGCATGAGTCTCTGGTGCTGTGCGAGAACAGACTGACCCGCAATAATGGCTGTAGAAGGGTAGCCTAGTTGGCCTACCAGTGCATGGTTTGGTTCCTACTGTGAATTCAGTCCATTACAATTGTTCCCCATCTTGATTTGGTGAATATTGCCTCAGAGGCGGAAAACCCTACACACTGTCATTGTCTCACTAGCTCAATATCCGCTCAGAATGTTGTGATGGCAATACGATCGCGAGAACGCTTGAATTGACAAGTTGACATTTCGAGATTTTGCACCATGTCCAAATAGCGCATTCTCACATTCTTGCATTCTCGCATCACACAAAAACACTATGTACACGAGAATGCGGGATCGCGAGGAAGAGATATTCTGGCCAAATCTCAAGTTGTCGTGATCTCGCATTCTCGCACTTTGGGCATATTTAGCTCGCGAGATCACAATAATGCAAGCAGGCAAAAATAGCAATTACATTATTCCATAGTTCGACGACGAATTGCGACAACGAGGATAAAACGATGGGAAGGTTAAACTCCTTTTGTTTGGCAGCGCTAAAGACTCGAACAGGGGAACAGTTTATCAAAACGAAGAAAGCAATTATATAACGGTCCTACCAATTAGGCCATCAGTTTGTAAACTTGGTACAAAATATATAATGCTGCATGACCTAGAACAATTGTGTTAGAATGAAATTTTAATAATTCTTCACAATACAAAGTTTCAAATAAACAATACAAAGTTTCAAATAAACAATATATATATTGACTGGAATCAATTTTGATTTCGGCAAATTTTCTTTTCGTGAGTGAGTGAGTGAGTATGGTTTAACGCCGCTTTTAGCAATATTCCATCAATATCACGGCATGGGAGACCAGAAACGGGCTTCACTCATTGTACCAAAGTCGGGAATCGAACCCGGGTCTTCGGCGTGTCGAGCGAACGCTTCGTCCACTAGGTTACCCGACCGCCCCTTCTTTTTATGAAGTAGATTCTAAACGAACTATGCTACCTGTGACAATCTTTAAATATTTAGGACGCTTTGAAGCAGGCAGTCGCATCTTCATAGAGCAACCCATTTGAAAACAACAAAAACAAACGTATAGTCAACTCCAGTTTTTTGTTGTCAAAATTCTGATAAATGGAAATATGTACACGTCGCCGTGTTACAGCTCGAATAGTGCTGACTGTGACGTCAACCAACTTCCGGTCATTCACTTTGAATTCACGCCATGGGGATTCTAGGTTTGAATTGGTTCCTAGCAACCTGTACTGGTTGTACGTTCTGCTTGTTTGTTGTTTAACGCCGCACTCAGCAATATTCCAGCTATGTGACGGCGGTCTGAAAATAATACAGTTTGGACCAGACAATCCAATGATTGACATTATGAGTATCGATCTACGCAATGGGGATACCATGACATGCATCAACCAAGTCAGCTAACCTGACCACCTGATTAGTGTCCTCTTAGTGACCAGCAAGGGTTACTGAAGACCTATTCAAACCCGGAATCTTCACAGACTGGTCGTAAGAGGCAACCAAATGGATAGGTTGTCATGCCCTGTGACGTGGTTGATATCGTGTCAACGTGACCTGACATCGTGAATCACTGTTCATGATATCACTCACTAGTTTGTGTAGTCCAGACTCATTTATTTACCACCGCCGTCATATACGGCAATATTGGTGAGCGCGGCGACACACATCAAACACATAAACAAAAGACACAGAAAACAAAGCTTATGGTTATACATACCATCGATAAATACCTCCAGTGCAGTGCTGATTGTGACGATTTCCAATTCCCTCGACGCGGAGACAGATGGATCCGACGTCAGGGACACCACCAGAGCTACCGATATGGTTTGTCCGGCTGCAAAGAGGGAGGATGTCTTTAAAAGGTTCCAACAGTTTTGATGCGCCAGAATTATATCATCGTATCCGTTCCTGACATGGACTTGGAGTGAGTGAGTGAGTTAAAGTTTTACGTCACATCGGCAGTATCTCAGCCATATAGTGACGAGAACAAATTGAAAGATAAATATCTGTCACAAAGGACAGTAAAACATTAGCATGATATCACAGATTGAAATCTAACACTAAATTCAACACTAAAACCTCCAACAAACATATATACATCACATGAACTTGGAAATACACTGCCGAGCTAAAGAAAGTTGCTTGCAAAGTTGATTTGACAAAGAATTACAAACGTCACCAAAACGCCACTAGGCTGAAAATAGTCACCGAAACCCCGCAAACGTAAGGTCCAAAGCACAACTATGATCAAATACGACACCATCGAATAACCGTTTCTTGTTTGTTCCATGTTTAGCCACCATCAAACATGGCTGCATATTTCCTTTTGACCGGTCGTATAGATATGTCGCTGATTCGTTGATGTCGAAGTTAGTTTAGAGCATGATTAACAGAAGGCGTAGCAGTAGCAGTAGCCTCTGTAGATGCTGCAGTACCAGTCACGGCAGCAATAGAAGCAGTGTCCTGAAGCACTGTGAGGTGATTAGAGATGATCGATGGGAAGATAACCATAGCATACTATGTTTTCACCAAAGAACTATATCACCTTGAAAAATAACCTCGTTAAATTGAATTTGAAATCTCTGATTGTTCGATTAGAATCAAGTATTTTCCAAATTCCTAGTCGAGTTTGGGTTTAATTCTGAAGATTGATTTGAGTATTACTGAGTACTGAAAGATACTGATCACATCAACCGAGGCAAACCAGGCAGAGGCTGAATGATACTATTGCCTCCTTGAGACACAAACAACTGACTGTAGAATTGTAAACATTTTAAATAGCTTTTATTTTTGTAACTGAAACAGTTGAAACCTTGCGTCGTTAGTATTGTAGTGGTAGCAGTACGAGTAGAAGCATTTAGTGGAGCATTATTAGTAGAAGCATTTAGAGAAGCAGTACTAGTTTATTTGCCCTACATACGAAAATCTAAGAGACAAGTACTTACCGCAGTGGTCTCTATCTCATTTTAATGCTAAAAGATTGTCTTCATTACTGTCTTGCAAGGATCTTATAACACAACATCAACTGGCTTTGTACAAACATAATGCTTTTTTGTTACGAAGTGAATTGTTACCTTGACTTTGTATTTTATAAAATATGTTATGTAACTCCGTTGTATATGGGCCTGTGGCCTTTCATACAATAAAGAATTGAATTGAATTGAATTGAAGCAGTACTAGAAGAAACATTTAAAGGAGCAGTATCAGTGGAAGCATTTAGTGGAGCAGTACAAGTATAATTATTTAGTGGAGCAGTACTAGTAGAAGGATTTAGTAGAAAAGCACTAGTAGAAGCATTTAGAGGCGCAGTATTGGTAGAAGCATTCAGAGAAGCAGTACTAGTAGAAGCATTTAGAGGAGCAATATCAGTGGAAGCATTTAATGGAGCAGTACTAATAGAAGCATTTGGGGGAGCAGTACTAGTACAAGCATTTAGAGGAGCAGTACCAATAGAAGAATTTCGTGGAGCAGTACTAGTAGAAACATTTAGTGGAGCAGTACTGGTAGAATCGTTTAGTGGTGCACTCCTAGAAGAAGCGTTTAGTGGTACAGTACTGGTAAAAGCGTTTAGTGGAGCAGTCCTAGTAGAAGTGTTTAGTGGTACAGTCCTAGTAGAAGTGTTTAGTGGTACAGTCCTAGTAGGAGCGTTTAGTGGTGCAGTCCTAGTAGAAGTGTTTAGTGGTGCAGTCCTAGTAGAAGTGTTTAGTGGTGCAGTCCTAGTAGAAGTGTTTAGTGGTGCAGTCCTAGTAGAAGCGTTTAGTGGAGCAGTCCTTGTACAAGCGTTTAGTGGTACAGTCCTAGTAGGAGCGTTTAGTGGTGCAGTCCTAGTAGAAGTGTTTAGTGGTGCAGTCCTAGTAGAAGTGTTTAGTGGTGCAGTCCCAGTAGAAGTGTTTAGTGGTGCAGTCCTAGTAGAAGCGTTTAGTGGAGCAGTCCTAGTAGAAGTGTTTAGTGGTGCAGTCCTAGTAGAAGCGTTTAGTGGTACAGTCCTAGTAGAAGTGTTTAGTGGTGCAGTCCTAGTAGAAGCGTTTAGTGGTACAGTCCTAGTAGAAGCGTTTAGTGGTGGAGTCCTAGTAGAAGTGTTTAGTGGTACAGTCCTAGTAGAAGTGTTTAGGGTACAGTCCTAGTAGAAGCGTTTAGTGGTGCAGTCCTAGTAGAAGTGTTTAGTGGTGCAGTCCTAGTAGAAGTGTTTAGTGGTGCAGTCCTAGTAGAAGTGTTTAGTGGTGCAGTCCTAGTAGAAGCGTTTAGTGGAGCAGTCCTAGTAGAAGCGTTTAGTGGTGCAGTCCTAGAAGAAGCGTTTAGTGGTACAGTCCTAGTAGAAGTGTTTAGTGGTGTGGTCCTAGTAGAAGCGTTTAGTGGTGCAGTCCTTGTAGAAGTGTTTAGTGGTGCAGTCCTAGTAGAAGCGTTTAGTGATACAGTCCTAGTAGAAGCGTTTAGTGGTGCAGTCCTAGTAGAAGTGTTTAGTGTTACAATCCTAGTAGACGTGTTTAGTGATGCAGTACTGGTAGAAGCGTTTAGTGGTGCAGTCCTAGTAGAAGTGTTTAGTGGTGCAGTCCTAGTAGAAGCGTTTAGTGGTGCAGTCCTAGTAGAAGCGTTTAGTGGTACAGTCCTAGTAGAAGCGTTTAGTGGTGCAGTACTGGTAGAAGCGTTTAGTGGTGCAGTCCTAGTAGGAGCGTTTAGTGGTGCAGTCCTAGTAGAAGCGTTTAGTGGTGCAGTCCTAGTAGAAGTGTTTAGTGGTGCAGTCCTAGTAGAAGCGTTTAGTGGTGCAGTCCTAGTAGAAGCGTTTAGTGGTACAGTCCTAGTAGAAGCGTTTAGTGGTGCAGTACTGGTAGAAGCGTTTAGTGGTGCAGTCCTAGTAGGAGCGTTTAGTGGTGCAGTCCTTGTAGAAGCGTATAGTGGTGGAGTCCTAGTAGAAGCGTTTAGTGGTGCAGTCCTAGTAGAAGCGTTTAGTGGTGCAGTCCTAGTAGAAGTGTTTAGTGGTGCAGTCCTAGTAGAAGTGTTTAGTGGTGCAGTCCTAGTAGGAGCGTTTAGTGGTGCAGTCCTGGTAGAAGTGTTTAGTGGAGCAGTACTAGTAGAAGCTTATAGTGGTGCAGTCCTAGTAGAAGTGTTTAGTGGTGCAGTCCTAGTAGGAGCGTTTAGTGGTGCAGTCCTAGTAGAAGTGTTTAGTGGTGCAGTCCTAGTAGAAGTGTTTAGTGATGCAGTCCTAGTAGAAGTGTTTAGTGGTACAGTCCTAGTAGAAGCGTATAGTGGTGCAGTCCTAGTAGAAGCGTTTAGTGGTGCAGTCCTAGTAGAAGCGTTTAGTGGTGCAGTCCTAGTAGAAGTGTTTAGTGGAGCAGTCCTAGTAGAAGTGTTTAGTGGTGCAGTCCAAGTAGAAGCGTTTAGTGGTGCAGTCCTAGTAGAAGTGTTTAGTGGTGCAGTCCTAGTAGAAGCGAAGCAGAACATGCAACAGTAGATGTAACAGTGCAAGTAGTGATGCCAGTAGTTGCAGCAACACTGGTAGTGATAGTAGACGATGTGCGTTGTAGCAGTTTTAGCAGTGCGAGCGGTTGCAGTTGTCGTTGTTATTATTCATGACTACATACGTGGGAAATCTCCCTCCCTGACTTGATAGACTTGGTCATTCTGTCTATCTGCGTTGATCTTCAGCCCAGGAGTGTTACTGAACGTCCAGCTGTAGGTCAAGCTTGTCTCCACGGGTGCCCCAGGACATTGGGAGGGCAATGCAAAACCGAATAGTTCAAATCTGAAGGTATGAATAGTATGAACATAATATAAAATATATGTTGTGTATAAGCATTAGACACTAGGCGCACTTTCTGGAGGTCTCAACCCAAGGCCCTCCAATCTACTGGAGATAAATGGAATAAATGAGTGAGTGAATTTTCCTTAACGCCGCATCAGCAATTTTGCAGCTTTTCGCGGCGAGGAGAAAGAATAAAAGAATAATAATGATAATAACAGTATAACACAATTATAATTACCAGCAATATTCGCTGGTAATTATAACAGTTACTGTTACTATTCAGATATAATTGGAATTGTGTGATTGTGTTATGGAAGCAATATATAGTAGGGCATGGATACCTTGGCTTTAAATATTACATCCTACGAGGGAGATACCTAATTAATGGGGCTGATTACAATTCTTACTTAAAAACCGTAAGCAATGGTGGATAGGATCTTGCACTGAGCAATAAACCCGACAAAGTCCGTTCTATTGTAGGATTCCGACCAGATCATGAGCATATATTTATGAATCTCTGTCTCTAGATGTTCGCGAAAAAATTATCACCCTTCACAAACACATGCAAAGGCAAGTCAATTGCTCACCTTGTGTTAAAAGCCAAAGATGGGTTTACATCAGACATCATTTTTGTCACATGTCAAGTTTGGACACATGTAGACAACACAACCTTTTTTAAAGCTTTACTAAGGCCTTGAATGCTGTTTGTTTGTTTGTTGTTAACGCGGCATTCAGCAATATTCCAGCTATATGACGGCGGTCTGTAAATTATCGAGTCTGGACCAGACAATCCAGTGATTAACATCACGAGCATCGATCCACGACATTGGGATACGATTCCGTTAGTCCTTTTACGGCAAGCACAGTTGCCTTTTACGGCAAGCAAAGTTGCCTTTTACGGCAAGCATAGTTGCCTTTTACGGCTAGCATAGTTGCATTTTACGGCAAGCAAAGTTGCCTTTTACGGCAAGCGTAGTTGCCTTTTATGACAAGCACAGTTGCCTTTTACGGCGAGCACTGTTGCCTTTTGCGGCGAGCATAGTTGCCTTTTACGGCGAGCATAGTTGCCTTTTGCGGCAAGCATAGTTGCCTTTTGCGGCAAGCATAGTTGCCTTTTACGGCAAGCAAAGTTGCCATTTACGGCAAGCATAGTTGCCTTTTACGACAAGCACAGTTGCCTTTTACGGCGAGCACAGTTGCCTTTTGCGGCAAGCGTAGTTGCCTTTTACGGCAAGCATAGTTGCCTTTTGCGGCAAGCATAGTTGCCTTTTGCGGCAAGCATAGTTGCCTTTTACGGCAAGCATGCTTTGAATTGTGTAGCCCTGAGTCAACAACTTTTGAACAGTTGTGTGACGGCTTTGTAAGTTTAACAAGCGCCTTACTCTGTGTTGGCCGGGGCAGCATTGACGTCCACGGCTGTCTCAATGCTCACTTCGGGAGGGTACGACGACGTCTTTGTCACCGTTTCCTGGCACGATGTGCATATGTCGAATAGTGTACACACCCGCAGTGTCACGGTGTACGAAGTACCGGCCACAAGGCCCGTCCATTCGGCATAACCATTCAAGGGTTCAGCTGGAATCAGATGGACAGTGACGCTATACTTGTGTATACATACATGTAATATAACGTTATTAAATTCTGTCTATTAAGTATATTTTGTAGAAATCGTTTTAGAAATAGTAAAAACAATTAAATCAGAACGGTATCCCAATGAAACCGTCCAGATCTTCATGAGAACTGTGTGGCGTGAAGGGAGATGTGGACCGTAGAAGTTTTATTGGTTTTCGTAACCAGGGGTATCCATATCCAATGGGCGAAAATTACGGAGGCTAAGAACATATAAATTCTCAATGCAAGAAAATAACCATCCTAGATTTTCTGCCGAAACAGATTCCACTTGGCGTAAAGGGCAAATGGAAATAACATGAATGGACCGCTGAAAATCCGTGATGACACCGGGTATTCCCGAAAAAGGTAAGCATGTCCTGCCCTACCCGTGGAACCCGCCATCCATACAATTTGCACAATAAAAGTCAGTATTTAAAGCCTGACGCAGCACAGCAGTGCTACGTGTTGCTCACTTAATGCGTCACTTGTGGAAGGAGAAATGGTCCAGTGGTATGTCAGTCCAAGCGTTCCACCTCCTCTGCTGCTGACGCCGTTCATCATTAAATCAGTGCACGAATCAATGGAGGTAGGTCCGGTAATCACACACGTCGGACTGTCACTGGACTCTGAAACGTTGAAACCAAATAAATGTGTTTTACATTGGGGAATTAAACCTATATCAGTCAACAAATCTTCAAGCTTTAATTCAAAAACTAAACATCGTTGTAAATGACAATGACACCAGACAACCAACTCTCATGGTGTAGTCGATTTATAAAAGCAAACATTTATTCAAAACAGATATCGCCCTCTAAGGTATCCAAGCGGGAGATACCTTATCTAATACTGGGCAACCAACTGTCCACCGACATAGATGATAGTCGTACTGGACTCTAGCAGAATGTCAGGTCACATCAAGATTCTAAATGGCAACTGTTTGCCTGGGTCGGAGAACGGAGGACATGTTATTTCCCCAGAGCTTCACAATATGCATGTATAATTAGCAATACCAGTTGACTGAATCTAACAAATAATAAATGACCCAAGATTAGGCCATAAAAACATAATTATTAGATTGTCATCCAAATATAGTTTATCTTCTATCAATAAACTGTTCAATCATCAGTGATGCGTAGGACTATTATTTATCATCCAAAACTGGCTCCCACGGGAGATATTGCTTGGGTGAGATCAAGCGACATCTACATTCTAGATGTGTCTGCAATGAAATTGCATCACAATACTTTGCAGGCCACTGTGGCGTCATTGGTTACCATGACGTCACAATCAAATGACATCACTAATGGCTCCGCTAGTGAAGCTGTTAGCAGTACTTTTTACACTTAAGACACTGCTTATTACTGTCTTCAGACTGGAAAAGTTGGAAGAATGATGTTGGATGATTAATGAAGTCTCACTCTCGTGTCTTTTGATATAAATGTATCAACACTCCTTGATATATTAGATATCAAAAGACACTCGGGTGAGATTCTCTATACGTCAACACCAGAGAGTAACTAGTCTCGATTATCCAACAAAACAGGTGATATGAGGTAAAATAGGGTTTAACGTCGCGTCCAAGATAATTGCACTAATATAGCGACATACATGCACGTGTGTGTGTGTGTGTGTGTGTGTGTGTGTGTGTGTGTGTGCGTGCGTGTGTGTGTGTGTGTGTGTGTGTGTGTGTGTGTGTGGCCTCTTAATGCCCAGCGCCAGGCAGGGTAACAACAAGTACCATCTTTTAACGTCTTTTGGAATGACGCGACCGGTGATCGAACCCTAGAATTTCCGCTCTCCGGGCGGACGCTCTACCACTAGACCACAGAGGCGGTCTCCGTCAAAACAGATTCCATTGGGCTTAAAGAAGAAAATTATATTTAAATAATTACATTAAAATTAAATTATAAATATATGAATGGATCATTGAAAATCAGTGATCACACCCGGTGTTCGGGAACACGCTTAACGATTTCCTGGCGTGCAGGTACTTTGAGACCATAACATGTGTGCCAGTGTCTATTTATTTATTACACTGTAGCCATGATTATATACATGAACATCCATTGGACATTGTACAATTCCGACTATGTCATAAGCATGTTTTTTTATGAATCACCATCAGAGAAGTATTCCTTTATATACCTGATGCCTCGTAGACTGTGAACTTTCCAGTACTGGTACCCAGAGCTGCTACAGCCGTCACCCTACACTGCAGCATGTAATCTCCAACTGTAGAACAGAGGAACATCATTCAAAAATCATTATATTTCATCAGCCGCTGATAGTCTCTTAATGGAAATATAAAACGTCAGCGCCAGAGAATATCTGTGTTCGCGAAAATGCCCGTTCCACAAAGATACCTAAGCTACGATGACGGTAATACCACCGTAACATAGTCTTACGATTTTCGTAGCGCTAAGGTCGCTCCGTGGAACGGGACGGCCATACAGCATTACGGTATTTCAAAACGTTAACGTTGAGTCTGTATGTAATACAATAAATGGAACGGATCTATTCTAACCAGCTGAAGTTTCCAAAGAGCACCAACCTGAAACGTATTGCAATTTTACAAAGTTCAACCTTGTTCCTGATTGTAGGTGTCTTCCCAACAAGAAGACGAAACCCCCAAACCATTGAACATAGGTATAACACAGCCACAGCCGCAGTTGTTTGTTAACTATAGCCTTGATCATGTGGACTCCCCGCAAATCTACGAGTGAGTGAGCATGGCTTTTCATGGATACTTTAACTACTGCGAAAGTGTATTGCAATTGATCAAAATACAATTGCGACACTATTGCAATAGGTTTACTCATATTGAGTGAGTGAGTGTGGTTTTCCAGCAATATCACGGCGGGGGACACCAGAAATGGGCTTCACACATTGTTCCCATGTGGGAAATCGGACCCGGGTCTTTGGCGTGACGAGCGAACGCTTTAACCACAACGCTGCCCAACCGCCCCCCTTACTCATATTGAAGTAATCTGTGTAATAGTATGACGCGTACATTGATCCACCCACTGCAGATTCATGGCATATCCGACGCCAGGACAAGATCGCGGCTATAGGTTCAGTATTGTTCTAGGTTCTTTTAGGGATAAAATGAACACAGGCATAAAGTAAAGTTATGCATAGATACATGCATGTTTCGTTAGGGTGTAAATCATTATACCAGCGCTTATATGTTACCTTTTAATAGTTCATCCATGCTCAAAACAAGACACAAAACACAACAATTGTTATCAGACCAACCTTTGCTGTAAGAAAAACGGAAGTGAGGATATGTATAGCGCCACACAATTACATCTACCTTCTAATGAATTCGCTTCAACGGTGACTTCTATGGATGTTACACTGTTACGCGTTGTTATGGGTACCCGGTGTTCTGTGGAAGTGTCTGTGTTTGTGGCCACACACTGCACTGATGCCGAAAACAAGCTTGTGCCAGTCACTGTCAAAACCTGAAATTATTCAGAACCATGGACCAATTGCAGATTCTGCAATTGTAAGACTAGTGGGGGCTTTAGGGAATGTCCGCTTTTAATGTTCAAAGTGAGCAAACAAATGACGCGTGGTGATTGGTGAAACAATAGAGAATTATAGGGACCGTCTCACAGGCAAGTGAGCAAAGGTATAAGGATGGTGAACTAAGTCCACACAAAGACGTACATATATGTAAATTCATGAACTAACAAATGATATAGGTGAATTCATTAACTAGATTCACTCAATTCACTAGGATATTCACAATTTTCACTTATACTTTTCATTCATTTCACCAATGATTTTCACTAAATTCACTATGATATTCACACTGTTCACTTATAATATTCACTCATTTCTATAATGATATTCACTAAGTTCACTAATGATATTCACTCAATTCATAAATGATATTCACTCAGTTGTGACATAAAGGTTTGACGTTTAGAATTCGTCTTCATTTCAATGTGGCGAATGTTCAGCTTGTGATAGGTCGACGAAGATTGTAAAGGTTTCTGGTGTTGTTACACATCTTGGAACGTAAGTGTGTATTTACATTACAGAGTACTGACATACCTGATTCCGGTCAGTACGAACTAGTACAGGGCTGACAGCGGTGACGGCTATGCAGGTTGTGCCGTCGCCATCACAAACGTCACAAGCATCCTTCACCTTAGCTCTCACACCAGTGGTTCCCCCTAATGGTTAAAAGATTGCAATTAAAATTATTTTAAGCAGCAATATTATTTCTGCGTTTTGTACTCTTCTTGTCATCGGATATGCAGCAGGCAAACCAGTTCTGTTACTGTTTTTCTCACAAAAACGGGGCATATAAATGAATATTTAAAATAGATTGTCATGTTTGTCAAAATATTTATAATGTGCTCACCTGAGCAGATACCATCGCAGTCAAGAGTAGCTGCCCCATCACATACATCGGCGCAATCATAGGAACATTCTGAAAAAATCATTCAAAAATTGAAATCACTTTGTAAGATAGTCCGGCTAACTGTGAAGACCATTTCTGGTGTCCCCCGCCATAAAATTGCTGGAATATTGCTAAAAATGTTAAACCATACTCACTCACTGTCAGAAAGACAATGTACAATGCACAGGCTTAGCAGAAAAGCATATTAGTTTGTTATAATTATTCTACTGAAATTAGCAAGTTTCGTAAAACACTCATTCTATGGGGTGTGTAATAAGGAGATCACGTCACACACGGAAATGTATTTTTAAAATGTGCAGGTATGTAAGAATTCCTAATGCCAACAACATATTTCTGAACTGAAGAGTAACATACTCTTTACACACTGTGTCTTTCTAGTTGTCGAAACGTTTTACTAAATGGCAGTACATATTCTCAGTGCAACATACTGCAAGGCCATTTTTCAATAAAATTCTTGACTTCGCAGTCGTATCGAAAGATTTAAGAAGATAGGATATGAAGTCAAAGTTGACTCTATATTATACTGAATATGTGATCCGGATTTTAGTAGTGATACTATTTATATATTAAAATCCAATGCTCATCGAAGTTGAAAACGAAAATTTGGAAGATACTTTAACAAACTGAAATATTTCTGCTATTAATGAATGTTAGATAGCGGAGGGGGGGATTAAATACAGACATAAAAATATCCACACCGAAATCGATAAATACATGAGTACTTCTGACAATTGAACAAAAGGAAGTGTGAGCCACATCAAAATGCTTTGTTGCAAGCTGACTTTTGTATTAAAGAAATTAGACTCATAGTTTCAATTTTTAAAATAGCTGTTTTTACATATGTTGCTGATAAACTTCAAAATCCCAGAATACAATAGAGTATGAAAGACTAATTGCCCAGGTCACGAACGAAAGGCCCATAATACTTCAAACGTGAAAGAAAGAACATATATTTTCTTTCAGCTGTGCATAAATGTCACACAGAGAAAGTTTCTTTCAACTTTATATGTGAAGACTGGAGTGATGAATCACATTAGTATATTCACTCATGAAACGAAAACTAAAGGTACCTGTACATGTCACTCCGTTCCCCGTCAACCCAGCATCACAGGTACAGCTGTAGCTATCAAGAAGATTGCCACACGTTGCATTCATATGACATGGACTGGAATCACACTCGTTGATATCTGTAAATTTACAAGCATTCAATATTACATCACCGAACATTTATTCCCGAGTGGATAAAGCTTATGCTCATCACGCCAAAGATTTGGGCACGATTTGCCACATAGGTACATTGAGTGAAGCCTCTATGATTGGTTGGTTTGTTGTTTTACGCCACACTCAGCAATATTCCGGCTATATGACGGCGGTCTGTAAATAATCGAGTCTGGACCAGACAATTCAGTATTGACAACATAAGAATCGATCCACGCAATTGGGATCGATGACATGTTTCAACCAAGTCAGCGAGCCTGACCACCCGGTCCCGTTAGTCGCCTCTTACGACAAGCTTAGTTGCCTTTTACTGCAAGCATGGGTTGCTGAAGACCTATTCTACCCCGGATCTTCACGTGTCGAAGCCTCTATGAGATCATGTCACGTTCACAACAAAAGGTTTGAAAATTACTCAGTTCATTCTATGTGAGGCTTAAAACTTATCAACAAACTCTCGAACTTCAGCTCTTCTCTGAAAACGACCGTTTCCACAACTGAGTCACACTTGTTTCCATAAAATTTTAAAAACTTTGCACTTTCAAAAGGCACAAATTCCATGGCTTGAAAATATTTGCAACGCTTCATAACGGAAGGCTGAATTCGTATTATCATCTTTGAAGATGGACGGATGAAGAGACGGAAAAACGCATCCATACACAAGGCAATCATAATGTAGAACTCATGGAAGAATTGTAAAGACTGTAAAGTTTACATAGTTTATCCATAGATATTAATCAATATTACAAACCTGTACATGTCATGCCATTCCCTGTATATCCAGCATTACAGGTACAACTGTAGCTATCAACAAGATTACTACAAGCTGCGTTACTGTCGCATGGATTGGAATCACACTCGTTGATATCTGTGAATGACAACCATCAAATATTCCCTCCTAGTTAAATTACAAATACCATAAAAAAATACAGATACTTGTTTCCATCATATACTGAATACATTGTATATATTTTGCTGATAACGTATGCCTTTAGATAAAGTTTTATTTAACACATTTAATCACAAATACAACAATAAAATACAATGAAACAATGTTAAATGTTACCATTTGTTTGAATCATACATTTAATACGATGTAATGCTCTTTATTTGTTACACCCTTGAAGTAGCCTTGCACTGGGAAACCTAATAACAAGGTGGTACCTTCAGAGAGTTCAAACAAACCAAATTAAAAGTGATAACAAAACATCAAAACTTAAAAAGAATCAAACGGCAACAAAATGAACCCATGAGAGCTTACTACGCTTGAACCATACCCCATTGTTTTTGCATTTAGAGTTATCTGACCTTTCTCAGATTGTTTGTTGGTTTGCTGTTTCACCCTGTATATTTCAACATGAAGTTATAATGGTCACACCTTATTCTAGTTCCTCGTTCATTACAGGATATGTACAGTACTGCTAAGACAAGTAAACCTACAGGTCTATGCAATATCTATAAGCCATCATTCTTTTATATCCCTATGGATGAAAAACAAAAACAACAAACCTGTACACGCCATTCCATTCCCTGTATAGCCAGCATTACAGGTACAACTGTAGCTATTCAAGAGATTTCCACAAAGTGCGTTAGTGTCGCATGGACTGGGATCACATTCGTTGATATCTGGAAATGTTTGAACGAATAAAACTTTAGTTCTTCTAGTCCTTTAGTATATCTAATTATGAGTAACATACAACATAGGACAAAAAATCTCACCCATTTGCTTCTTCAATGAAGCGGTACATTTCTGCATAAAAATCTTTAAAATAAACTGCGAGGTTAGATTGGCTTATATTTATTTAAATAACGATAATTGGGACAATTAATTTCATCTTCAAGCTGCTTGTAGTCCAGCATTGTCATAAACGTCCTCAAAACAGATGGAGTTTCCTTATTCAGACAATTTTCATATAAGAAACAAGGCCCTTTTTATTCAAATGTGATCATTTGAATACGTGATCGTTTACAAGGTATTTTGGAACACCATGGAACACATTCGCCTTTAAACATAATTCTTAGATACACAAGTGACAGATAAGATCCATTAATATCTATCTAAAATAAAAAATAACATTATTTCCATTCAAACCTAAGGCCCGTCTCATTCAAATGTTATCAACTGTATTTCAACATGTATATTCCTTCGGAAAGCAAATAATTTGTGTAACCTTATTTGGTTCAATGCACATTGTGCCCATTAAGAGTGATCATTCATTATAGTGACTATATTGGTTCTGTTATTTTGCAGGATATAATCTTATTGTAACCATTACCATACTTTCAACGTATGATACTCAGTGTATTTTCTAGCTTATATACATTAAATTTATAATGTTAACTGCTGTGCGATGTGTGTCCAGGGAACGGGGCACGATACACCATTCATCATTTACACTAATATTAGTCGAAATATGTGTATGTATCTAAAATAACACATGACAAACCTATACACGAAAGTTCATTTTTGTCTATGTAAATGGTAGAGAAATACAACGAACCTGTACATGTCATTCCATCCCCTGTATAGCCAGCATTACAGGTACAACTGTAACTATCAACTAGATCACCACAAAGTGCGTTAGTGTCGCATGGACTGGAACTACACTCGTTGATATCTGGAAATGTTTAACAGAAGTAAAACCTATAAAATATACTTCAAAATATAAATAAAACGCATTGGCTATTTAAATACAGAGGTACATTTCTCCATACAAATCTTTAAAATATACTGATGAGTTAGATAGGCTTATATTTATTTAAATAACAACGTGTTTTTGAACAATTAATTTCATCTTCAAGCTGCTTGTATTCCAGCATTGTCACAAAAGTCCCCAAAACAGATGGAATTTCCTTATTCAGACAATCAAATTTCAAGAAGAAACAAGGCCCTTTTTATTCAAATGTGATCATTTGAATACGTGATCGTACACTAAGTTTTTTGGAACACCATGGAACAGCCTCTCCTTTGCTTCTTCCATAGAAGGGGCGGTCGGGTAACCTAGTGGTTAAAGCGTTCGCTCGTCACGCCGAAGACCCGGGTTCGACTCCCGACATGGGTACAATGTGTGAAGCCCATTTCTGGTGTCCCCCGCCGTGATATTGCTGGAATATTGCTAAAAGCGGCGTAAAACCATATTCACTCACTCACTCTTCCATAGAAAATGAACACATTCGCTTTTAAACATAATTCTTAAATACACAAGTGACAGATAAGATCCATTAATATCTATCTAAAATAAAAAATAACATTATTTCCATTCAAACCTAAGGCCCGTCTCATTCAAATGTTATCAACTGTATTTCAACATGTATATTCCTTCGGAAAGCAAATAATTTGTGTAACCTTATTTGGTTCAATGCACATTGTGCCCATTAAGAGTGATCATTCATTATAGTGACTATATTGGTTCTGTTATTTTGCAGGATATAATCTAATTGTAACCATTACCATACTTTCAACATATGATACTCAGTGTATTTTCTAGCTTATATACATTAAATTTACAATGCGATGTGTGTACAGGGAGCGGGGCACGATACACCATTCATCATTTACACTAATATTAGTCGAAATATGTGTATGTATCTAAAATAACACATGACAAACCTATACAGGAAAGTTCATTTTTGTCTATGTAGATGGTAGAGAAATACAACGAACCTGTACATGTCATTCCATCCCCTGTATAGCCAGCATTACAGGTACAACTGTAACTATCAACTAGATCACCACAAAGTGCGTTAGTGTCGCATGGACTGGAACTACACTCGTTGATATCTGGAAATGTTTAACAGAAGTAAAACCTATAAAATATACTTCAAAATATAAATAAAACGCATTGGCTATTTAAATACAGAGGTACATTTCTCCATACAAATCTTTAAAATATACTGATGAGTTAGATAGGCTTATATTTATTTAAATAACAACGTGTTTTTGAACAATTAATTTCATCTTCAAGCTGCTTGTATTCCAGCATTGTCACAAAAGTCCCCAAAACAGATGGAATTTCCTTATTCAGACAATCAAATTTCAAGAAGAAACAAGGCCCTTTTTATTCAAATGTGATCATTTGAATACGTAATCGTACACTAAGTTTTTTGGAACACCATGGAACAGCCTCTCCTTTGCTTCTTCCATAGAAGGGGCGGTCGGGTAGCCTAGTGGTTAAAGCGTTCGCTCGTCACGCCGAAGACCCGCGTTCGACTCCCGACATGGGTACAATGTGTGAAATCCATTTCTGGTGTCCCCCGCCGTGATATTGCTGGAATATTGCTAAAAGCGGCGTAAAACCATATTCACTCACTCACTCTTCCATAGAAAATGAACACATTCGCTTTTGAACATAATTCTTAAATACACAAGTGACAGATAAGATCCATTAATATCTATCTAAAATAAAAAATAACATTATTTCCATTCAAACCTAAGGCCCGTCTCATTCAAATGTTATCAATTGTATTTCAACATGTATATTCCTTCGGAAAGCAAATAATTTGTGTAACCTTATTTGGTTCAATGCACATTGTGCCCATTAAGAGTGATCATTCATTATAGTGACTATATTGGTTCTGTTATTTTGCAGGATATAATCTAATTGTAACCATTACCATACTTTCAACGTATGATACTCAGTGTATTTTCTAGCTTATATACATTAAATGTACAATGCGATGTGTGTACAGGGAGCGGGGCACGATACACCATTCATCATTTACACTAATATTAGTCGAAATATGTGTATGTATCTAAAATAATACATGACAAACCTATACACGAAAGTTCATTTTTGTCTATGTAAATGGTAGAGAAATACAACGAACCTGTACATGTCATTCCATCCCCTGTATAGCCAGCATTACAGGTACAACTGTAACTATCAACTAGATCACCACAAAGTGCGTTAGTGTCGCATGGACTGGAACTACACTCGTTGATATCTGGAAATGTTTAACAGAAGTAAAACCTATAAAATATACTGCAAAATATAAATAAAACGCATTGGCTATTTAAATACAGAGGTACATTTCTCCATACAAATCTTTAAAATATACTGATGAGTTAGATAGGCTTATATTTATTTAAATAACAACGTGTTTTTGAACAATTAATTTCATCTTCAAGCTGCTTGTATTCCAGCATTGTCACAAAAGTCCCCAAAACAGATGGAATTTCCTTATTCAGACAATCAAATTTCAAGAAGAAACAAGGCCCTTTTTATTCAAATGTGATCATTTGAATACGTAATCGTACACTAAGTTTTTTGGAACACCATGGAACAGCCTCTCCTTTGCTTCTTCCATAGAAAATGAACACATTCGCTTTTAAACATAATTCTTCAATACACAAGTGTCAGATAAGATCCATTAATATCTATCTAAAATAAAAAATAACATTATTTCCATTCAAACCTAAGGCCCGTCTCATTCAAATGTTATCAATTGTATTTCAACATGTATATTCCTTCGGAAAGCAAATAATTTGTGTAACCTTATTTGGTTCAATGCACATTGTGCCCATTAAGAGTGATCATTCATTATAGTGACTATATTGGTTCTGTTATTTTGCAGGATATAATCTAATTGTAACCATTACCATACTTTCAACGTATGATACTCAGTGTATTTTCTAGCTTATATACATTAAATTTACAATGCGATGTGTGTACAGGGAGCGGGGCACGATACACCATTCATCATTTACACTAATATTAGTCGAAATATGTGTATGTATCTAAAATAACACATGACAAACCTATACACGAAAGTTCATTTTTTTCTATGTAAATGGTAGAGAAATACAACGAACCTGTACATGTCATTCCATCCCCTGTATAGCCAGCATTACAGGTACAACTGTAACTATCAACTAGATCACCACAAAGTGCGTTAGTGCCGCATGGACTGGAACTACACTCGTTGATATCTGGAAATGTTTAACAGAAGTAAAACCTATAAAATATACTGCAAAATATAAATAAAACGCATTGGCTATTTAAATACAGAGGTACATTTCTCCATACAAATCTTTAAAATATACTGATGAGTTAGATAGGCTTATATTTATTTAAATAACAACGTGTTTTTGAACAATTAATTTCTTCTTCAAGCTGCTTGTATTCCAGCATTGTCACAAAAGTCCCCAAAACAGATGGAATTTCCTTATTCAGACAATCAAATTTCAAGAAGAAACAAGGCCCTTTTTATTCAAATGTGATCATTTGAATACGTGATCGTACACTAAGTTTTTTGGAATACCATGGAACAGCCTCTCCTTTGCTTCTTCCATAGAAAATGAACACATTCGCTTTTAAACATAATTCTTAAATACACAAGTGACAGATAAGATCCATTAATATCTATCTAAAATAAAAAATAACATTATTTCCATTCAAACCTAAGGCCCGTCTCATTCAAATGTTATCAATTGTATTTCAACATGTATATTCCTTCGGAAAGCAAATAATTTGTGTAACCTTATTTGGTTCAATGCACATTGTGCCCATTAAGAGTGATCATTCATTATAGTGACTATATTGGTTCTGATATTTTGCAGGATATAATCTAATTGTAACCATTACCATACTTTCAACGTATGATACTCAGTGTATTTTCTAGCTTATATACATTAAATTTACAATGCGATGTGTGTACAGGGAGCGGGGCACGATACACCATTCATCATTTACACTAATATTAGTCGAAATATGTGTATGTATCTAAAATAACACATGACAAACCTATACACGAAAGTTCATTTTTGTCTATGTAAATGGTAGAGAAATACAACGAACCTGTACATGTCATTCCATCCCCTGTATAGCCAGCATTACAGGTACAACTGTAACTATCAACTAGATCACCACAAAGTGCGTTAGTGTCGCATGGACTGGAACTACACTCGTTGATATCTGGAAATGTTTAACAGAAGTAAAACCTATAAAATATACTTCAAAATATAAATAAAACGCATTGGCTATTTAAATACAGAGGTACATTTCTCCATACAAATCTTTAAAATATACTGATGAGTTAGATAGGCTTATATTTATTTAAATAACAACGTGTTTTTGAACAATTAATTTCAGCTTCAAGCTGCTTGTATTCCAGCATTGTCACAAAAGTCCCCAAAACAGATGGAATTTCCTTATTCAGACAATCAAATTTCAAGAAGAAACAAGGCCCTTTTTATTCAAATGTGATCATTTGAATACGTAATCGTACACTAAGTTTTTTGGAACACCATGGAACAGCCTCTCCTTTGCTTCTTCCATAGAAAATGAACACATTCGCTTTTAAACATAATTCTTCAATACACAAGTGTCAGATAAGATCCATTAATATCTATCTAAAATAAAAAATAACATTATTTCCATTCAAACCTAAGGCCCGTCTCATTCAAATGTTATCAATTGTATTTCAACATGTATATTCCTTCGGAAAGCAAATAATTTGTGTAACCTTATTTGGTTCAATGCACATTGTGCCCATTAAGAGTGATCATTCATTATAGTGACTATATTGATTCTGTTATTTTGCAGGATATAATCTAATTGTAACCATTACCATACTTTCAACGTATGATACTCAGTGTATTTTCTAGCTTATATACATTAAATTTACAATGCGATGTGTGTACAGGGAGCGGGGCACGATACACCATTCATCATTTACACTAATATTAGTCGAAATATGTGTATGTATCTAAAATAACACATGACAAACCTATACACGAAAGTTCATTTTTTTCTATGTAAATGGTAGAGAAATACAACGAACCTGTACATGTCATTCCATCCCCTGTATAGCCAGCATTACAGGTACAACTGTAACTATCAACTAGATCACCACAAAGTGCGTTAGTGTCGCATGGACTGGAACTACACTCGTTGATATCTGGAAATGTTTAACAGAAGTAAAACCTATAAAATATACTGCAAAATATAAATAAAACGCATTGGCTATTTAAATACAGAGGTACATTTCTCCATACAAATCTTTAAAATATACTGATGAGTTAGATAGGCTTATATTTATTTAAATAACAACGTGTTTTTGAACAATTAATTTCTTCTTCAAGCTGCTTGTATTCCAGCATTGTCACAAAAGTCCCCAAAACAGATGGAATTTCCTTATTCAGACAATCAAATTTCAAGAAGAAACAAGGCCCTTTTTATTCAAATGTGATCATTTGAATACGTGATCGTACACTAAGTTTTTTGGAATACCATGGAACAGCCTCTCCTTTGCTTCTTCCATAGAAAATGAACACATTCGCTTTTAAACATAATTCTTCAATACACAAGTGACAGATAAGATCCATTAATATCTATCTAAAATAAAAAATAACATTATTTCCATTCAAACCTAAGGCCCGTCTCATTCAAATGTTATCAATTGTATTTCAACATGTATATTCCTTCGGAAAGCAAATAATTTGTGTAACCTTATTTGGTTCAATGCACATTGTGCCCATTAAGAGTGATCATTCATTATAGTGACTATATTGGTTCTGATATTTTGCAGGATATAATCTAATTGTAACCATTACCATACTTTCAACGTATGATACTCAGTGTATTTTCTAGCTTATATACATTAAATTTACAATGCGATGTGTGTACAGGGAGCGGGGCACGATACACCATTCATCATTTACACTAATATTAGTCGAAATATGTGTATGTATCTAAAATAACACATGACAAACCTATACACGAAAGTTCATTTTTTTCTATGTAAATGGTAGAGAAATACAACGAACCTGTACATGTCATTCCATCCCCTGTATAGCCAGCATTACAGGTACAACTGTAACTATCAACTAGATCACCACAAAGTGCGTTAGTGTCGCATGGACTGGAACTACACTCGTTGATATCTGGAAATGTTTAACAGAAGTAAAACCTATAAAATATACTGCAAAATATAAATAAAACGCATTGGCTATTTAAATACAGAGGTACATTTCTCCATACAAATCTTTAAAATATACTGATGAGTTAGATAGGCTTATATTTATTTAAATAACAACGTGTTTTTGAACAATTAATTTCTTCTTCAAGCTGCTTGTATTCCAGCATTGTCACAAAAGTCCCCAAAACAGATGGAATTTCCTTATTCAGACAATCAAATTTCAAGAAGAAACAAGGCCCTTTTTATTCAAATGTGATCATTTGAATACGTGATCGTACACTAAGTTTTTTGGAATACCATGGAACAGCCTCTCCTTTGCTTCTTCCATAGAAAATGAACACATTCGCTTTTAAACATAATTCTTCAATACACAAGTGACAGATAAGATCCATTAATATCTATCTAAAATAAAAAATAACATTATTTCCATTCAAACCTAAGGCCCGTCTCATTCAAATGTTATCAATTGTATTTCAACATGTATATTCCTTCGGAAAGCAAATAATTTGTGTAACCTTATTTGGTTCAATGCACATTGTGCCCATTAAGAGTGATCATTCATTATAGTGACTATATTGGTTCTGATATTTTGCAGGATATAATCTAATTGTAACCATTACCATACTTTCAACGTATGATACTCAGTGTATTTTCTAGCTTATATACATTAAATTTACAATGCGATGTGTGTACAGGGAGCGGGGCACGATACACCATTCATCATTTACACTAATATTAGTCGAAATATGTGTATGTATCTAAAATAATACATGACAAACCTATACACGAAAGTTCATTTTTGTCTATGTAAATGGTAGAGAAATACAACGAACCTGTACATGTCATTCCATCCCCTGTATAGCCAGCATTACAGGTACAACTGTAACTATCAACTAGATCACCACAAAGTGCGTTAGTGTCGCATGGACTGGAACTACACTCGTTGATATCTGGAAATGTTTAACAGAAGTAAAACCTATAAAATATACTTCAAAATATAAATAAAACGCATTGGCTATTTAAATACAGAGGTACATTTCTCCATACAAATCTTTAAAATATACTGATGAGTTAGATAGGCTTATATTTATTTAAATAACAACGTGTTTTTGAACAATTAATTTCTTCTTCAAGCTGCTTGTATTCCAGCATTGTCACAAAAGTCCCCAAAACAGATGGAATTTCCTTATTCAGACAATCAAATTTCAAGAAGAAACAAGGCCCTTTTTATTCAAATGTGATCATTTGAATACGTGATCGTACACTAAGTTTTTTGGAATACCATGGAACAGCCTCTCCTTTGCTTCTTCCATAGAAAATGAACACATTCGCTTTTAAACATAATTCTTAAATACACAAGTGACAGATAAGATCCATTAATATCTATCTAAAATAAAAAATAACATTATTTCCATTCAAACCTAAGGCCCGTCTCATTCAAATGTTATCAATTGTATTTCAACATGTATATTCCTTCGGAAAGCAAATAATTTGTGTAACCTTATTTGGTTCAATGCACATTGTGCCCATTAAGAGTGATCATTCATTATAGTGACTATATTGGTTCTGATATTTTGCAGGATATAATCTAATTGTAACCATTACCATACTTTCAACGTCTGATACTCAGTGTATTTTCTAGCTTATATACATTAAATTTACAATGCGATGTGTGTACAGGGAGCGGGGCACGATACACCATTCATCATTTACACTAATATTAGTCGAAATATGTGTATGTATCTAAAATAATACATGACAAACCTATACACGAAAGTTCATTTTTGTCTATGTAAATGGTAGAGAAATACAACGAACCTGTACATGTCATTCCATCCCCTGTATAGCCAGCATTACAGGTACAACTGTAACTATCAACTAGATCACCACAAAGTGCGTTAGTGTCGCATGGACTGGAACTACACTCGTTGATATCTGGAAATGTTTAACAGAAGTAAAACCTATAAAATATACTTCAAAATATAAATAAAACGCATTGGCTATTTAAATACAGAGGTACATTTCTCCATACAAATCTTTAAAATATACTGATGAGTTAGATGGGCTTATATTTAATTAAATAACAACGTGTTTTTGAACAATTAATTTCATCTTCAAGCTGCTTGTATTGCAGCATTGTCACAAAAGTCCCCAAAACAGATGGAATTTCCTTATTCAGACAATCAAATTTCAAGAAGAAACAAGGCCCTTTTTATTCAAATGTGATCATTTGAATACGTGATCGTACACTAAGTTTTTTGGAACACCATGGAACAGCCTCTCCTTTGCTTCTTCCATAGAAAATGAACACATTCGCTTTTAAACATAATTCTTAAATACACAAGTGACAGATAAGATCCATTAATATCTATCTAAAATAAAAAATAACATTATTTCCATTCAAACCTAAGGCCCGTCTCATTCAAATGTTATCAATTGTATTTCAACATGTATATTCCTTCGGAAAGCAAATAATTTGTGTAACCTTATTTGGTTCAATGCACATTGTGCCCATTAAGAGTGATCATTCATTATAGTGACTATATTGGTTCTGTTATTTTGCAGGATATAATCTAATTGTAACCATTACCATACTTTCAACGTATGATACTCAGTGTATTTTCTAGCTTACATGTAAATACATTAAGTTTACAATGCGATGTGTGTACAGGGAACCGGGCACGATACACCATTCATCATTTACACTAATATTAGTCGAAATATGTGTATGTATCTAAAATAACACATGACAAACCTATACACGAAAGTTCATTTTTGTCTATGTAAATGGTAGAGAAATACAACGAACCTGTACATGTCATTCCATCCCCTGTATAGCCAGCATTACAGGTACAACTGTAACTATCAACTAGATCACCACAAAGTGCGTTAGTGTCGCATGGACTGGAACTACACTCGTTGATATCTGGAAATGTTTAACAGAAGTAAAACCTATAAAATATACTGCAAAATATAAATAAAACGCATTGGCTATTTAAATACAGAGGTACATTTCTCCATACAAATCTTTAAAATATACTGATGAGTTAGATAGGCTTATATTTATTTAAATAACAACGTGTTTTTGAACAATTAATTTCATCTTCAAGCTGCTTGTATTCCAGCATTGTCACAAAAGTCCCCAAAACAGATAGAATTTCCTTATTCAGACAATCAAATTTCAAGAAGAAACAAGGCCCTTTTTATTCAAATGAGATCATTTGAATACGTGATCGTACACTAAGTTTTTTGGAACACCATGGAACAGCCTCTCCTTTGCTTCTTCCATAGAAAATGAACACATTCGCTTTTAAACATAATTCTTAAATACACAAGTGACAGATAAGATCAATTAATATCTATCTAAAATAAAAAATAACATTATTTCCATTCAAACCTAAGGCCCGTCTCATTCAAATGTTATCAATTGTATTTCAACATGTATATTCCTTCGGAAAGCAAATAATTTGTGTAACCTTATTTGGTTCAATGCACATTGTGCCCATTAAGAGTGATCATTCATTATAGTGACTATATTGGTTCTGTTATTTTGCAGGATATAATCTAATTGTAACCATTACCATACTTTCAACGTATGATACTCAGTGTATTTTCTAGCTTACATGTATAAACATTAAATTTACAATGCGATGTGTGTACAGGGAGCGGGGCACGATACACCATTCATCATTTACACTAATATTAGTCGAAATATGTGTATATATCTAAAATAACACATGACAAACCTATACACGAAAGTTCATTTTTTTCTATGTAAATGGTAGAGAAATACAACGAACCTGTACATGTCATTCCATCCCCTGTATAGCCAGCATTACAGGTACAACTGTAACTATCAACTAGATCACCACAAAGTGCGTTAGTGTCGCATGGACTGGAACTACACTCGTTGATATCTGGAAATGTTTAACAGAAGTAAAACCTATAAAATATACTGCAAAATATAAATAAAACGCATTGGCTATTTAAATACAGAGGTACATTTCTCCATACAAATCTTTAAAATATACTGATGAGTTAGATAGGCTTATATTTATTTAAATAACAAGGTGTTTTTGAACAATTAATTTCATCTTCAAGCTGCTTGTATTCCAGCATTGTCACAAAAGTCCCCGAAACAGATAGAATTTCCTTATTCAGACAATCAAATTTCAAGAAGAAACAAGGCCCTTTTTATTCAAATGTGATCATTTGAATACGTGATCGTACACTAAGTTTTTTGGAACACCATGGAACAGCCTCTCCTTTGCTTCTTCCGTAGAAAATGAACACATTCGCTTTTAAACAAAATTCTTAAATACACAAGTGACAGATAAGATCCATTAATATCTATCTAAAATAAAAAATAACATTATTTCCATTCAAACCTAAGGCCCGTCTCATTCAAATGTTATCAATTGTATTTCAACATGTATATTCCTTCGGAAAGCAAATAATTTGTGTAACCTTATTTGGTTCAATGCACATTGTGCCCATTAAGAGTGATCATTCATTATAGTGACTATATTGGTTCTGTTATTTTGCAGGATATAATCTAATTGTAACCATTACCATACTTTCAACGTATGATACTCAGTGTATTTTCTAGCTTACATGTATAAACATTAAATTTACAATGCGATGTGTGTACAGGGAGCGGGGCACGATACACCATTCATCATTTACACTAATATTAGTCGAAATATGTGTATGTATCTATAATAACACATGACAAACCTATACACGAAAGTTCATTTTTTTCTATGTAAATGGTAGAGAAATACAACGAACCTGTACATGTCATTCCATCCCCTGTATAGCCAGCATTACAGGTACAACTGTAACTATCAACTAGATCACCACAAAGTGCGTTAGTGTCGCATGGACTGGAACTACACTCGTTGATATCTGGAAATGTTTAACAGAAGTAAAACCTATAAAATATACTGCAAAATATAAATAAAACGCATTGGCTATTTAAATACAGAGGTACATTTCTCCATACAAATCTTTAAAATATACTGATGAGTTAGATAGGCTTATATTTATTTAAATAACAAGGTGTTTTTGAACAATTAATTTCATCTTCAAGCTGCTTGTATTCCAGCATTGTCACAAAAGTCCCCGAAACAGATAGAATTTCCTTATTCAGACAATCAAATTTCAAGAAGAAACAAGGCCCTTTTTATTCAAATGTGATCATTTGAATACGTGATCGTACACTAAGTTTTTTGGAACACCATGGAACAGCCTCTCCTTTGCTTCTTCCATAGAAAATGAACACATTCGCTTTTAAACATAATTCTTAAATACACAAGTGACAGATAAGATCCATTAATATCTATCTAAAATAAAAAATAACATTATTTCCATTCAAACCTAAGGCCCGTCTCATTCAAATGTTATCAATTGTATTTCAACATGTATATTCCTTCGGAAAGCAAATAATTTGTGTAACCTTATTTGGTTCAATGCACATTGTGCCCATTAAGAGTGATCATTCATTATAGTGACTATATTGGTTCTGTTATTTTGCAGGATATAATCTAATTGTAACCATTACCATACTTTCAACGTATGATACTCAGTGTATTTTCTAGCTTACATGTATAAACATTAAATTTACAATGCGATGTGTGTACAGGGAGCGGGGCACGATACACCATTCATCATTTACACTAATATTAGTCGAAATATGTGTATGTATCTATAATAACACATGACAAACCTATACACGAAAGTTCATTTTTTTCTATGTAAATGGTAGAGAAATACAACGAACCTGTACATGTCATTCCATCCCCTGTATAGCCAGCATTACAGGTACAACTGTAACTATCAACTAGATCACCACAAAGTGCGTTAGTGTCGCATGGACTGGAACTACACTCGTTGATATCTGGAAATGTTTAACAGAAGTAAAACCTATAAAATATACTGCAAAATATAAATAAAACGCATTGGCTATTTAAATACAGAGGTACATTTCTCCATACAAATCTTTAAAATATACTGATGAGTTAGATAGGCTTATATTTATTTAAATAACAAGGTGTTTTTGAACAATTAATTTCATCTTCAAGCTGCTTGTATTCCAGCATTGTCACAAAAGTCCCCGAAACAGATAGAATTTCCTTATTCAGACAATCAAATTTCAAGAAGAAACAAGGCCCTTTTTATTCAAATGTGATCATTTGAATACGTGATCGTACACTAAGTTTTTTGGAACACCATGGAACAGCCTCTCCTTTGCTTCTTCCATAGAAAATGAACACATTCGCTTTTAAACATAATTCTTAAATACACAAGTGACAGATAAGATCCATTAATATCTATCTAAAATAAAAAATAACATTATTTCCATTCAAACCTAAGGCCCGTCTCATTCAAATGTTATCAATTGTATTTCAACATGTATATTCCTTCGGAAAACAAATAATTTGTGTAACCTTATTTGGTTCAATGCACATTGTGCCCATTAAGAGTGATCATTCATTATAGTGACTATATTGGTTCTGTTATTTTGCAGGATATAATCTAATTGTAACCATTACCATACTTTCAACGTATGATACTCAGTGTATTTTCTAGCTTACATGTATAAACATTAAATTTACAATGCGATGTGTGTACAGGGAGCGGGGCACGATACACCATTCATCATTTACACTAATATTAGTCGAAATATGTGTATGTATCTAAAATAACACATGACAAACCTATACACGAAAGTTCATTTTTTTCTATGTAAATGGTAGAGAAATACAACGAACCTGTACATGTCATTCCATCCCCTGTATAGCCAGCATTACAGGTACAACTGTAACTATCAACTAGATCACCACAAAGTGCGTTAGTGTCGCATGGACTGGAACTACACTCGTTGATATCTGGAAATGTTTAACAGAAGTAAAACCTATAAAATATACTGCAAAATATAAATAAAACGCATTGGCTATTTAAATACAGAGGTACATTTCTCCATACAAATCTTTAAAATATACTGATGAGTTAGATAGGCTTATATTTATTTAAATAACAACGTGTTTTTGAACAATTAATCTCATCTTCAAGCTGCTTGTATTCCAGCATTGTCACAAAAGTCCCCAAAACAGATGGAATTTCCTTATTCAGACAATCAAATTTCAAGAAGAAACAAGGCCCTTTTTATTCAAATGTGATCATTTGAATACGTGATCGTACACTAAGTTTTTTGGAACACCATGGAACAGCCTCTCCTTTGCTTCTTCCATAGAAAATGAACACATTCGCTTTTAAACATAATTCTTAAATACACAAGTGACAGATAAGATCCATTAATATCTATCTAAAATAAAAAATAACATTATTTCCATTCAAACCTAAGGCCCGTCTCATTCAAATGTTATCAATTGTATTTCAACATGTATATTCCTTCGGAAAGCAAATAATTTGTGTAACCTTATTTGGTTCAATGCACATTGTGCCCATTAAGAGTGATCATTCATTATAGTGACTATATTGGTTCTGTTATTTTGCAGGATATAATCTAATTGTAACCATTACCATACTTTCAACGTATGATACTCAGTGTATTTTCTAGCTTATATACATTAAATTTACAATGCGATGTGTGTACAGGGAGCGGGGCACGATACACCATTCATCATTTACACTAATATTAGTCGAAATATGTGTATGTATCTAAAATAACACATGACAAACCTATACACGAAAGTTCATTTTTTTCTATGTAAATGGTAGAGAAATACAACGAACCTGTACATGTCATTCCATCCCCTGTATAGCCAGCATTACAGGTACAACTGTAACTATCAACTAGATCACCACAAAGTGCGTTAGTGTCGCATGGACTGGAACTACACTCGTTGATATCTGGAAATGTTTAACAGAAGTAAAACCTATAAAATATACTGCAAAATATAAATAAAACGCATTGGCTATTTAAATACAGAGGTACATTTCTCCATACAAATCTTTAAAATATACTGATGAGTTAGATAGGCTTATATTTATTTAAATAACAACGTGTTTTTGAACAATTAATCTCATCTTCAAGCTGCTTGTATTCCAGCATTGTCACAAAAGTCCCCAAAACAGATGGAATTTCCTTATTCAGACAATCAAATTTCAAGAAGAAACAAGGCCCTTTTTATTCAAATGTGATCATTTGAATACGTGATCGTACACTAAGTTTTTTGGAACACCATGGAACAGCCTCTCCTTTGCTTCTTCCATAGAAAATGAACACATTCGCTTTTAAACATAATTCTTAAATACACAAGTGACAGATAAGATCCATTAATATCTATCTAAAATAAAAAATAACATTATTTCCATTCAAACCTAAAGCCCGTCTCATTCAAATGTTATCAATTGTATTTCAACATGTATATTCCTTCGGAAAGCAAATAATTTGTGTAACCTTATTTGGTTCAATGCACATTGTGCCCATTAAGAGTGATCATTCATTATAGTGACTATATTGGTTCTGTTATTTTGCAGGATATAATCTTATTGTAACCATTACCATACTTTCAACGTATGATACTCAGTGTATTTTCTAGCTTACATGTATAAACATTAAATTTACAATGCGATGTGTGTACAGGGAGCGGGGAACGATACACCATTCATCATTTACACTAATATTAGTCGAAATATGTGTATGTATCTAAAATAACACATGACAAACCTATACACGAAAGTTCATTTTTTTCTATGTAAATGGTAGAGAAATACAACGAACCTGTACATGTCATTCCATCCCCTGTATAGCCAGCATTACAGGTACAACTGTAACTATCAACTAGATCACCACAAAGTGCGTTAGTGTCGCATGGACTGGAACTACACACGTTGATATCTGGAAATGTTTAACAGAAGTAAAACCTATAAAATATACTGCAAAATATAAATAAAACGCATTGGCTATTTAAATACAGAGGTACATTTCTCCATACAAATCTTTAAAATATACTGATGAGTTAGATAGGCTTATATTTATTTAAATAACAACGTATTTATGAACAATTAATTTCATCTTCAAGCTGCTTGTATTGCAGCATTGTCACAAAAGTCCCCAAAACAGATGGAATTTCCTTATTCAGACAATCAAATTTCAAGAAGAAACAAGGCCCTTTTTTATTCAAATGTGATCATTTGAATACGTGATCGTACACTAAGTTTTTTGGAACACCATGGAACAGCCTCTCCTTTGCTTCTTCCATAGAAAATGAACACATTCGCTTTTAAACATAATTCTTAAATACACAAGTGACAGATAAGATCCATTAATATCTATCTAAGATAAAAAATAACATTATTTCCATTCAAACCTAAGGCCCGTCTCATTCAAATGTTATCAATTGTATTTCAACATGTATATTCCTTCGGAAAGCAAATAATTTGTGTAACCTTATTTGGTTCAATGCACATTGTGCCCATTAAGAGTGATCATTCATTATAGTGACTATATTGGTTCTGTTATTTTGCAGGATATAATCTAATTGTAACCATTACCATACTTTCAACGTATGATACTCAGTGTATTTTCTAGCTTACATGTCTAAACATTAAATTTACAATGCGATGTGTGTACAGGGAGCGGGGAACGATACACCATTCATCATTTACACTAATATTAGTCGAAATATGTGTATGTATCTAAAATAACACATGACAAACCTATACACGAAAGTTCATTTTTTTCTATGTAAATGGTAGAGAAATACAACGAACCTGTACATGTCATTCCATCCCCTGTATAGCCAGCATTACAGGTACAACTGTAACTATCAACTAGATCACCACAAAGTGCGTTAGTGTCGCATGGACTGGAACTACACTCGTTGATATCTGGAAATGTTTAACAGAAGTAAAACCTATAAAATATACTTCAAAATATAAATAAAACGCATTGGCTATTTAAATACAGAGGTACATTTCTCCATACAAATCTTTAAAATATACTGATGAGTTAGATAGGCTTATATTTATTTAAATAACAACGTGTTTTTGAACAATTAATTTCAGCTTCAAGCTGCTTGTATTCCAGCATTGTCACAAAAGCCCCCAAAACAGATGGAATTTCCTTATTCAGACAATCAAATTTCAAGAAGAAACAAGGCCCTTTTTATTCAAATGTGATCATTTGAATACGTGATCGTACACTAAGTTTTTTGGAACACCATGGAACAGCCTCTCCTTTGCTTCTTCCATAGAAAATGAACACATTCGCTTTTAAACATAATTCTTAAATACACAAGTGACAGATAAGATCCATTAATATCTATCTAAAATAAAAAATAACATTATTTCCATTCAAACCTAAGGCCCGTCTCATTCAAATGTTATCAATTGTATTTCAACATGTATATTCCTTCGGAAAGCAAATACTTTGTGTAACCTTATTTGGTTCAATGCACATTGTGCCCATTAAGAGTGATCATTCATTATAGTGACTATATTGGTTCTGTTATTTTGCAGGATATAATCTAATTGTAACCATTACCATACTTTCAACGTATGATACTCAGTGTATTTTCTAGCTAATATACATTAAATTTACAATGCGATGTGTGTACAGGGAGCGGGGCACGATACACCATTCATCATTTACACTAATATTAGTCGAAATATGTGTATATATCTAAAATAACACATGACATACCTATACACGAAAGTTCATTTTTTTCTATGTAAATGGTAGAGAAATACAACGAACCTGTACATGTCATTCCATCCCCTGTATAGCCAGCATTACAGGTACAACTGTAACTATCAACTAGATCACCACAAAGTGCGTTAGTGTCGCATGGACTGGAACTACACTCGTTGATATCTGGAAATGTTTAACAGAAGTAAAACCTATAAAATATACTGCAAAATATAAATAAAACGCATTGGCTATTTAAATACAGAGGTACATTTCTCCATACAAATCTTTAAAATATACTGATGAGTTAGATAGGCTTATATTTATTTAAATAACAAGGTGTTTTTGAACAATTAATCTCATCTTCAAGCTGCTTGTATTCCAACATTGTCACAAAAGTCCCCAAAACAGATGGAATTTCCTTATTCAGACAATCAAATTTCAAGAAGAAACAAGGCCCTTTTTATTCAAATGTGATCATTTGAATACGTGATCGTACACTTAGTTTTTTGGAACACCATGGAACAGCCTCTCCTTTGCTTCTTCCATAGAAAATGAACACATTCGCTTTTAAACATAATTCTTAAATACACAAGTGACAGATAAGATCCATTAATATCTATCTAAAATAAAAAATAACATTATTTCCATTCAAACCTAAGGCCCGTCTCATTCAAATGTTATCAATTGTATTTCAACATGTATATTCCTTCGGAAAGCAAATAATTTGTGTAACCTTATTTGGTTCAATGCACATTGTGCCCATTAAGAGTGATCATTCATTATAGTGACTATATTGGTTCTGTTATTTTGCAGGATATAATCTAATTGTAACCATTACCATACTTTCAACGTATGATACTCAGTGTATTTTCTAGCTTATATACATTAAATTTACAATGCGATGTGTGTACAGGGAGCGGGGCACGATACACCATTCATCATTTACACTAATATTAGTCGAAATATGTGTATGTATCTAAAATAACACATGACAAACCTATACACGAAAGTTCATTTTTTTCTATGTAAATGGTAGAGAAATACAACGAACCTGTACATGTCATTCCATCCCCTGTATAGCCAGCATTACAGGTACAACTGTAACTATCAACTAGATCACCACAAAGTGCGTTAGTGTCGCATGGACTGGAACTACACTCGTTGATATCTGGAAATGTTTAACAGAAGTAAAACCTATAAAATATACTGCAAAATATAAATAAAACGCATTGGCTATTTAAATACAGAGGTACATTTCTCCATACAAATCTTTAAAATATACTGATGAGTTAGATAGGCTTATATTTATTTAAATAACAAGGTGTTTTTGAACAATTAATTTCATCTTCAAGCTGCTTGTATTGCAGCATTGTCACAAAAGTCCCCAAAACAGATGGAATTTCCTTATTCAGACAATCAAATTTCAAGAAGAAACAAGGCCCTTTTTATTCAAATGTGATCATTTGAATACGTGATCGTACACTAAGTTTTTTGGAACACCATGGAACAGCCTCTCCTTTGCTTCTTCCATAGAAAATGAACACATTCGCTTTTAAACATAATTCTTAAATACACAAGTGACAGATAAGATCCATTAATATCTATCTCAAATAAAAAATAACATTATTTCCATTCAAACCTAAGGCCCGTCTCATTCAAATGTTATCAATTGTATTTCAACATGTATATTCCTTCGGAAAGCAAATAATTTGTGTAACCTTATTTGGTTCAATGCACATTGTGCCCATTAAGAGTGATCATTCATTATAGTGACTATATTGGTTCTGTTATTTTGCAGGATATAATCTAATTGTAACCATTACCATACTTTCAACGTATGATACTCAGTGTATTTTCTAGCTTACATGTATAAACATTAAATTTACAATGCGATGTGTGTACAGGGAGCGGGGCACGATACACCATTCATCATTTACACTAATATTAGTCGAAATATGTGTATATATCTAAAATAACACATGACAAACCTATACACGAAAGTTCATTTTTTTCTATGTAAATGGTAGAGAAATACAACGAACCTGTACATGTCATTCCATCCCCTGTATAGCCAGCATTACAGGTACAACTGTAACTATCAACTAGATCACCACAAAGTGCGTTAGTGTCGCATGGACTGGAACTACACTCGTTGATATCTGGAAATGTTTAACAGAAGTAAAACCTATAAAATATACTGCAAAATATAAATAAAACGCATTGGCTATTTAAATACAGAGGTACATTTCTCCATACAAATCTTTAAAATATACTGATGAGTTAGATAGGCTTATATTTATTTAAATAACAACGTGTTTTTGAACAATTAATCTCATCTTCAAGCTGCTTGTATTCCAGCATTGTCACAAAAGTCCCCAAAACAGATGGAATTTCCTTATTCAGACAATCAAATTTCAAGAAGAAACAAGGCCCTTTTTATTCAAATGTGATCATTTGAATACGTGATCGTACACTTAGTTTTTTGGAACACCATGGAACAGCCTCTCCTTTGCTTCTTCCATAGAAAATGAACACATTCGCTTTTAAACATAATTCTTAAATACACAAGTGACAGATAAGATCCATTAATATCTATCTAAAATAAAAAATAACATTATTTCCATTCAAACCTAAGGCCCGTCTCATTCAAATGTTATCAATTGTATTTCAACATGTATATTCCTTCGGAAAGCAAATAATTTGTGTAACCTTATTTGGTTCAATGCACATTGTGCCCATTAAGAGTGATCATTCATTATAGTGACTATATTGGTTCTGTTATTTTGCAGGATATAATCTAATTGTAACCTTTACCATACTTTCAACGTATGATACTCAGTGTATTTTCTAGCTTACATGTATAAACATTAAATTTACAATGCGATGTGTGTACAGGGAGCGGGGCACGATACACCATTCATCATTTACACTAATATTAGTCGAAATATGTGTATGTATCTAAAATAACACATGACAAACCTATACACGAAAGTTCATTTTTTTCTATGTAAATGGTAGAGAAATACAACGAACCTGTACATGTCATTCCATCCCCTGTATAGCCAGCATTACAGGTACAACTGTAACTATCAACTAGATCACCACAAAGTGCGTTAGTGTCGCATGGACTGGAACTACACTCGTTGATATCTGGAAATGTTTAACAGAAGTAAAACCTATAAAATATACTGCAAAATATAAATAAAACGCATTGGCTATTTAAATACAAAGGTACATTTCTCCATACAAATCTTTAAAATATACTGATGAGTTAGATAGGCTTATATTTATTTAAATAACAAGGTGTTTTTGAACAATTAATTTCATCTTCAAGCTGCTTGTATTCCAGCATGGTCACAAAAGTCCCCAAAACAGATGGAATTTCCTTATTCAGACAATCAAATTTCAAGAAGAAACAAGGCCCTTTTTATTCAAATGTGATCATTTGAATACGTGATCGTACACTTAGTTTTTTGGAACACCATGGAACAGCCTCTCCTTTGCTTCTTCCATAGAAAATGAACACATTCGCTTTTAAACATAATTCTTAAATACACAAGTGACAGATAAGATCCATTAATATCTATCTAAAATAAAAAATAACATTATTTCCATTCAAACCTAAGGCCCGTCTCATTCAAATGTTATCAATTGTATTTCAACATGTATATTCCTTCGGAATGCAAATAATTTGTGTAACCTTATTTGGTTCAATGCACATTGTGCCCATTAAGAGTGATCATTCATTATAGTGACTATATTGGTTCTGTTATTTTGCAGGATATAATCTAATTGTAACCTTTACCATACTTTCAACGTATGATACTCAGTGTATTTTCTAGCTTATATACATTAAATTTACAATGCGATGTGTGTACAGGGAGCGGGGCACGATACACCATTCATCATTTACACTAATATTAGTCGAAATATGTGTATGTATCTAAAATAACACATGACAAACCTATACACGAAAGTTCATTTTTTTCTATGTAAATGGTAGAGAAATACAACGAACCTGTACATGTCATTCCATCCCCTGTATAGCCAGCATTACAGGTACAACTGTAACTATCAACTAGATCACCACAAAGTGCGTTAGTGTCGCATGGACTGGAACTACACTCGTTGATATCTGGAAATGTTTAACAGAAGTAAAACCTATAAAATATACTGCAAAATATAAATAAAACGCATTGGCTATTTAAATACAGAGGTACATTTCTCCATACAAATCTTTAAAATATACTGATGAGTTAGATAGGCTTATATTTATTTAAATAACAAGGTGTTTTTGAACAATTAATTTCATCTTCAAGCTGCTTGTATTCCAGCATTGTCACAAAAGTCCCCAAAACAGATGGAATTTCCTTATTCAGACAATCAAATTTCAAGAAGAAACAAGGCCCTTTTTATTCAAATGTGATCATTTGAATACGTGATCGTACACTAAGTTTTTTGGAACACCATGGAACAGCCTCTCCTTTGCTTCTTCCATAGAAAATGAACACATTCGCTTTTAAACATAATTCTTAAATACACAAGTGACAGATAAGATCCATTAATATCTATCTAAGATAAAAAATAACATTATTTCCATTCAAACCTAAGGCCCGTCTCATTCAAATGTTATCAATTGTATTTCAACATGTATATTCCTTCGGAAAGCAAATAATTTGTGTAACCTTATTTGGTTCAATGCACATTGTGCCCATTAAGAGTGATCATTCATTATAGTGACTATATTGGTTCTGTTATTTTGCAGGATATAATCTAATTGTAACCATTACCATACTTTCAACGTATGATACTCAGTGTATTTTCTAGCTTATATACATTAAATTTACAATGCGATGTGTGTACAGGGAGCGGGGCACGATACACCATTCATCATTTACACTAATATTAGTCGAAATATGTGTATGTATCTAAAATAACACATGACAAACCTATACACGAAAGTTCATTTTTTTCTATGTAAATGGTAGAGAAATACAACGAACCTGTACATGTCATTCCATCCCCTGTATAGCCAGCATTACAGGTACAACTGTAACTATCAACTAGATCACCACAAAGTGCGTTAGTGTCGCATGGACTGGAACTACACTCGTTGATATCTGGAAATGTTTAACAGAAGTAAAACCTATAAAATATACTGCAAAATATAAATAAAACGCATTGGCTATTTAAATACAGAGGTACATTTCTCCATACAAATCTTTAAAATATACTGATGAGTTAGATAGGCTTATATTTATTTAAATAACAACGTGTTTTTGAACAATTAATTTCATCTTCAAGCTGCTTGTATTCCAGCATTGTCACAAAAGTCCCCAAAACAGATGGAATTTCCTTATTCAGACAATCAAATTTCAAGAAGAAACAAGGCCCTTTTTATTCAAATGTGATCATTTGAATACGTGATCGTAAACTAAGTTTTTTGGAACACCATGGAACAGCCTCTCCTTTGCTTCTTCCATAGAAAATGAACACATTCGCTTTTAAACATAATTCTTAAATACACAAGTGACAGATAAGATCCATTAATATCTATCTAAAATAAAAAATAACATTATTTCCATTCAAACCTAAGGCCCGTCTCATTCAAATGTTATCAATTGTATTTCAACATGTATATTCCTTCGGAAAGCAAATAATTTGTGTAACCTTATTTGGTTCAATGCACATTGTGCCCATTAAGAGTGATCATTCATTATAGTGACTATATTGGTTCTGTTATTTTGCAGGATATAATCTAATTGTAACCATTACCATACTTTCAACGTATGATACTCAGTGTATTTTCTAGCTTATATACATTAAATTTACAATGCGATGTGTGTACAGGGAGCGGGGCACGATACACCATTCATCATTTACACTAATATTAGTCGAAATATGTGTATGTATCTAAAATAACACATGACAAACCTATACACGAAAGTTCATTTTTTTCTATGTAAATGGTAGAGAAATACAACGAACCTGTACATGTCATTCCATCCCCTGTATAGCCAGCATTACAGGTACAACTGTAACTATCAACTAGATCACCACAAAGTGCGTTAGTGTCGCATGGACTGGAACTACACTCGTTGATATCTGGAAATGTTTAACAGAAGTAAAACCTATAAAATATACTGCAAAATATAAATAAAACGCATTGGCTATTTAAATACAGAGGTACATTTCTCCATACAAATCTTTAAAATATACTGATGAGTTAGATAGGCTTATATTTATTTAAATAACAAGGTGTTTTTGAACAATTAATTTCATCTTCAAGCTGCTTGTATTCCAGCATTGTCACAAAAGTCCCCAAAACAGATGGAATTTCCTTATTCAGACAATCAAATTTCAAGAAGAAACAAGGCCCTTTTTATTCAAATGTGATCATTTGAATACGTGATCGTACACTAAGTTTTTTGGAACACCATGGAACAGCCTCTCCTTTGCTTCTTCCATAGAAAATGAACACATTCGCTTTTAAACATAATTCTTAAATACACAAGTGACAGATAAGATCCATTAATATCTATCTAAAATAAAAAATAACATTATTTCCATTCAAACCTAAGGCCCGTCTCATTCAAATGTTATCAATTGTATTTCAACATGTATATTCCTTCGGAAAGCAAATAATTTGTGTAACCTTATTTGGTTCAATGCACATTGTGCCCATTAAGAGTGATCATTCATTATAGTGACTATATTGGTTCTGTTATTTTGCAGGATATAATCTAATTGTAACCATTACCATACTTTCAACGTATGATACTCAGTGTATTTTCTAGCTTATATACATTAAATTTACAATGCGATGTGTGTACAGGGAGCGGGGCACGATACACCATTCATCATTTACACTAATATTAGTCGAAATATGTGTATGTATCTAAAATAACACATGACAAACCTATACACGAAAGTTCATTTTTTTCTATGTAAATGGTAGAGAAATACAACGAACCTGTACATGTCATTCCATCCCCTGTATAGCCAGCATTACAGGTACAACTGTAACTATCAACTAGATCACCACAAAGTGCGTTAGTGTCGCATGGACTGGAACTACACTCGTTGATATCTGGAAATGTTTAACAGAAGTAAAACCTATAAAAAATATACTGCAAAATATAAATAAAACGCATTGGCTATTTAAATACAGAGGTACATTTCTCCATACAAATCTTTAAAATATACTGATGAGTTAGATAGGCTTATATTTATTTAAATAACAACGTGTTTTTGAACAATTAATTTCATCTTCAAGCTGCTTGTATTCCAGCATTGTCACAAAAGTCCCCAAAACAGATGGAATTTCCTTATTCAGACAATCAAATTTCAAGAAGAAACAAGGCCCTTTTTATTCAAATGTGATCATTTGAATACGTGATCGTACACTAAGTTTTTTGGAACACTATGGAACAGCCTCTCCTTTGCTTCTTCCATAGAAAATGAACACATTCGCTTTTAAACATAATTCTTAAATACACAAGTGACAGATAAGATCCATTAATATCTATCTCAAATAAAAAATAACATTATTTCCATTCAAACCTAAGGCCCGTCTCATTCAAATGTTATCAATTGTATTTCAACATGTATATTCCTTCGGAAAGCAAATAATTTGTGTAACCTTATTTGGTTCAATGCACATTGTGCCCATTAAGAGTGATCATTCATTATAGTGACTATATTGGTTCTGTTATTTTGCAGGATATAATCTAATTGTAACCATTACCATACTTTCAACGTATGATACTCAGTGTATTTTCTAGCTTATATACATTAAATTTACAATGCGATGTGTGTACAGGGAGCGGGGCACGATACACCATTCATCATTTACACTAATATTAGTCGAAATATGTGTATGTATCTAAAATAACACATGACAAACCTATACACGAAAGTTCATTTTTTTCTATGTAAATGGTAGAGAAATACAACGAACCTGTACATGTCATTCCATCCCCTGTATAGCCAGCATTACAGGTACAACTGTAACTATCAACTAGATCACCACAAAGTGCGTTAGTGTCGCATGGACTGGAACTACACTCGTTGATATCTGGAAATGTTTAACAGAAGTAAAACCTATAAAATATACTGCAAAATATAAATAAAACGCATTGGCTATTTAAATACAGAGGTACATTTCTCCATACAAATCTTTAAAATATACTGATGAGTTAGATAGGCTTATATTTATTTAAATAACAAGGTGTTTTTGAACAATTAATTTCATCTTCAAGCTGCTTGTATTCCAGCATTGTCACAAAAGTCCCCTAAACAGATGGAATTTCCTTATTCAGACAATCAAATTTCAAGAAGAAACAAGGCCCTTTTTATTCAAATGTGATCATTTGAATACGTGATCGTACACTAAGTTTTTTGGAACACCATGGAACAGCTTCTCCTTTGCTTCTTCCATAGAAAATGAACACATTCGCTTTTAAACATAATTCTTAAATACACAAGTGACAGATAAGATCCATTAATATCTATCTAAAATAAAAAATAACATTATTTCCATTCAAACCTAAGGCCCGTCTCATTCAAATGTTATCAATTGTATTTCAACATGTATATTCCTTCGGAAAGCAAATAATTTGTGTAACCTTATTTGGTTCAATGCACATTGTGCCCATTAAGAGTGATCATTCATTATAGTGACTATATTGGTTCTGTTATTTTGCAGGATATAATCTAATTGTAACCATTACCATACTTTCAACGTATGATACTCAGTGTATTTTCTAGCTTATATACATTAAATTTACAATGCGATGTGTGTACAGGGAGCGGGGCACGATACACCATTCATCATTTACACTAATATTAGTCGAAATATGTGTATGTATCTAAAATAACACATGACAAACCTATACACGAAAGTTCATTTTTTTCTATGTAAATGGTAGAGAAATACAACGAACCTGTACATGTCATTCCATCCCCTGTATAGCCAGCATTACAGGTACAACTGTAACTATCAACTAGATCACCACAAAGTGCGTTAGTGTCGCATGGACTGGAACTACACTCGTTGATATCTGGAAATGTTTAACAGAAGTAAAACCTATAAAAATATACTGCAAAATATAAATAAAACGCATTGGCTATTTAAATACAGAGGTACATTTCTCCATACAAATCTTTAAAATATACTGATGAGTTAGATAGGCTTATATTTATTTAAATAACAAGGTGTTTTTGAACAATTAATTTCATCTTCAAGCTGCTTGTATTCCAGCATTGTCACAAAAGTCCCCAAAACAGATGGAATTTCCTTATTCAGACAATCAAATTTCAAGAAGAAACAAGGCCCTTTTTATTCAAATGTGATCATTTGAATACGTGATCGTACACTAAGTTTTTTGGAACACCATGGAACAGCCTCTCCTTTGCTTCTTCCATAGAAAATGAACACATTCGCTTTTAAACATAATTCTTAAATACACAAGTGACAGATAAGATCCATTAATATCTATCTCAAATAAAAAATAACATTATTTCCATTCAAACCTAAGGCCCGTCTCATTCAAATGTTATCAATTGTATTTCAACATGTATATTCCTTCGGAAAGCAAATAATTTGTGTAACCTTATTTGGTTCAATGCACATTGTGCCCATTAAGAGTGATCATTCATTATAGTGACTATATTGGTTCTGTTATTTTGCAGGATATAATCTAATTGTAACCATTACCATACTTTCAACGTATGATACTCAGTGTATTTTCTAGCTTATATACATTAAATTTACAATGCGATGTGTGTACAGGGAGCGGGGCACGATACACCATTCATCATTTACACTAATATTAGTCGAAATATGTGTATGTATCTAAAATAACACATGACAAACCTATACACGAAAGTTCATTTTTTTCTATGTAAATGGTAGAGAAATACAACGAACCTGTACATGTCATTCCATCCCCTGTATAGCCAGCATTACAGGTACAACTGTAACTATCAACTAGATCACCACAAAGTGCGTTAGTGTCGCATGGACTGGAACTACACTCGTTGATATCTGGAAATGTTTAACAGAAGTAAAACCTATAAAAATATACTGCAAAATATAAATAAAACGCATTGGCTATTTAAATACAGAGGTACATTTCTCCATACAAATCTTTAAAATATACTGATGAGTTAGATAGGCTTATATTTATTTAAATAACAAGGTGTTTTTGAACAATTAATTTCATCTTCAAGCTGCTTGTATTCCAGCATTGTCACAAAAGTCCCCAAAACAGATGGAATTTCCTTATTCAGACAATCAAATTTCAAGAAGAAACAAGGCCCTTTTTATTCAAATGTGATCATTTGAATACGTGATCGTACACTAAGTTTTTTGGAACACCATGGAACAGCCTCTCCTTTGCTTCTTCCATAGAAAATGAACACATTCGCTTTTAAACATAATTCTTAAATACACAAGTGACAGATAAGATCCATTAATATCTATCTAAAATAAAAAATAACATTATTTCCATTCAAACCTAAGGCCCGTCTCATTCAAATGTTATCAATTGTATTTCAACATGTATATTCCTTCGGAAAGCAAATAATTTGTGTAACCTTATTTGGTTCAATGCACATTGTGCCCATTAAGAGTGATCATTCATTATAGTGACTATATTGGTTCTGTTATTTTGCAGGATATAATCTAATTGTAACCATTACCATACTTTCAACGTATGATACTCAGTGTATTTTCTAGCTTATATACATTAAATTTACAATGCGATGTGTGTACAGGGAGCGGGGCACGATACACCATTCATCATTTACACTAATATTAGTCGAAATATGTGTATGTATCTAAAATAACACATGACAAACCTATACACGAAAGTTCATTTTTTTCTATGTAAATGGTAGAGAAATACAACGAACCTGTACATGTCATTCCATCCCCTGTATAGCCAGAATTACAGGTACAACTGTAACTATCAACTAGATCACCACAAAGTGCGTTAGTGTCGCATGGACTGGAACTACACTCGTTGATATCTGGAAATGTTTAACAGAAGTAAAACCTATAAAATATACTGCAAAATATAAATAAAACGCATTGGCTATTTAAATACAGAGGTACATTTCTCCAAACAAATCTTTAAAATATACTTATGAGTTAGATAGGCTTATATTTATTTAAATAACAAGGTGTTTTTGAACAATTAATTTCATCTTCAAGCTGCTTGTATTCCAGCATTGTCACAAAAGTCCCCAAAACAGATGGAATTTCCTTATTCAGACAATCAAATTTCAAGAAGAAACAAGGCCCTTTTTATTCAAATGTGATCATTTGAATACGTGATCGTACACTAAGTTTTTTGGAACACCATGGAACAGCCTCTCCTTTGCTTCTTCCATAGAAAATGAACACATTCGCTTTTAAACATAATTCTTAAATACACAAGTGACAGATAAGATCCATTAATATCTATCTCAAATAAAAAATAACATTATTTCCATTCAAACCTAAGGCCCGTCTCATTCAAATGTTATCAATTGTATTTCAACATGTATATTCCTTCGGAAAGCAAATAATTTGTGTAACCTTATTTGGTTCAATGCACATTGTGCCCATTAAGAGTGATCATTCATTATAGTGACTATATTGGTTCTGTTATTTTGCAGGATATAATCTAATTGTAACCATTACCATACTTTCAACGTATGATACTCAGTGTATTTTCTAGCTTATATACATTAAATTTACAATGCGATGTGTGTACAGGGAGCGGGGCACGATACACCATTCATCATTTACACTAATATTAGTCGAAATATGTGTATGTATCTAAAATAACACATGACAAACCTATACACGAAAGTTCATTTTTTTCTATGTAAATGGTAGAGAAATACAACGAACCTGTACATGTCATTCCATCCCCTGTATAGCCAGCATTACAGGTACAACTGTAACTATCAACTAGATCACCACAAAGTGCGTTAGTGTCGCATGGACTGGAACTACACTCGTTGATATCTGGAAATGTTTAACAGAAGTAAAACCTAGAAAATATACTGCAAAATATAAATAAAACGCATTGGCTATTTAAATACGGAGGTACATTTCTCCATACAAATCTTTAAAATATACTGATGAGTTAGATAGGCTTATATTTATTTAAACAACAAGGTGTTTTTGAACAATTAATTTCATCTTCAAGCTGCTTGTATTCCAGCATTGTCACAAAAGTCCCCAAAACAGATGGAATTTCCTTATTCAGACAATCAAATTTCAAGAAGAAACAAGGCCCTTTTTATTCAAATGTGATCATTTGAATACGTGATCGTACACTAAGTTTTTTGGAACACCATGGAACAGCCTCTCCTTTGCTTCTTCCATAGAAAATGAACACATTCGCTTTTAAACATAATTCTTAAATACACAAGTGACAGATAAGATCCATTAATATCTATCTCAAATAAAAAATAACATTATTTCCATTCAAACCTAAGGCCCGTCTCATTCAAATGTTATCAATTGTATTTCAACATGTATATTCCTTCGGAAAGCAAATAATTTGTGTAACCTTATTTGGTTCAATGCACATTGTGCCCATTAAGAGTGATCATTCATTATAGTGACTATATTGGTTCTGTTATTTTGCAGGATATAATCTAATTGTAACCATTACCATACTTTCAACGTATGATACTCAGTGTATTTTCTAGCTTATATACATTAAATTTACAATGCGATGTGTGTACAGGGAGCGGGGCACGATACACCATTCATCATTTACACTAATATTAGTCGAAATATGTGTATGTATCTAAAATAACACATGACAAACCTATACACGAAAGTTCATTTTTTTCTATGTAAATGGTAGAGAAATACAACGAACCTGTACATGTCATTCCATCCCCTGTATAGCCAGCATTACAGGTACAACTGTAACTATCAACTAGATCACCACAAAGTGCGTTAGTGTCGCATGGACTGGAACTACACTCGTTGATATCTGGAAATGTTTAACAGAAGTAAAACCTATAAAAATATACTGCAAAATATAAATAAAACGCATTGGCTATTTAAATACGGAGGTACATTTCTCCATACAAATCTTTAAAATATACTGATGAGTTAGATAGGCTTATATTTATTTAAACAACAAGGTGTTTTTGAACAATTAATTTCATCTTCAAGCTGCTTGTATTCCAGCATTGTCACAAAAGTCCCCAAAACAGATGGAATTTCCTTATTCAGACAATCAAATTTCAAGAAGAAACAAGGCCCTTTTTATTCAAATGTGATCATTTGAATACGTGATCGTACACTAAGTTTTTTGGAACACCATGGAACAGCCTCTCCTTTGCTTCTTCCATAGAAAATGAACACATTCGCTTTTAAACATAATTCTTAAATACACAAGTGACAGATAAGATCCATTAATATCTATCTAAAATAAAAAATAACATTATTTCCATTCAAACCTAAGGCCCGTCTCATTCAAATGTTATCAATTGTATTTCAACATGTATATTCCTTCGGGAAGCAAATAATTTGTGTAACCTTATTTGGTTCAATGCACATTGTGCCCATTAAGAGTGATCATTCATTATAGTGACTATATTGGTTCTGTTATTTTGCAGGATATAATCTAATTGTAACCATTACCATACTTTCAACGTATGATACTCAGTGTATTTTCTAGCTTATATACATTAAATTTACAATGCGATGTGTGTACAGGGAGCGGGGCACGATACACCATTCATCATTTACACTAATATTAGTCGAAATATGTGTATGTATCTAAAATAACACATGACAAACCTATACACGAAAGTTCATTTTTTTCTATGTAAATCGTAGAGAAATACAACGAACCTGTACATGTCATTCCATCCCCTGTATAGCCAGCATTACAGGTACAACTGTAACTATCAACTAGATCACCACAAAGTGCGTTAGTGCCGCATGGACTGGAACTACACTCGTTGATATCTGGAAATGTTTAACAGAAGTAAAACCTGTAAAATATACTGCAAAATATAAATAAAACGCATTGGCTATTTAAATACAGAGGTACATTTCTCCATACAAATCTTTAAAATATACTGATGAGTTAGATAGGCTTATATTTATTTAAATAACAAGGTGTTTTTGAACAATTAATTTTATCTTCAAGCTGCTTGTATTCCAGCATCGTCACAAAAGTCCCCAAAACAGATGGAATTTCCTTATTCAGACAATCAAATTTCAAGAAGAAACAAGGCCCTTTTTATTCAAATGTAATCATTTGAATACGTGATCGTACACTAAGTTTTTTGGAACACCATGGAACAGCCTCTCCTTTGCTTCTTCCATAGAAAATGAACACATTCGCTTTTAAACATAATTCTTAAATACACAAGTGACAGATAAGATCCATTAATATCTATCTAAAATAAAAAATAACATTATTTCCATTCAAACCTAAGGCCCGTCTCATTCAAATGTTATCAATTGTATTTCAACATGTATATTCCTTCGGGAAGCAAATAATTTGTGTAACCTTATTTGGTTCAATGCACATTGTGCCCATTAAGAGTGATCATTCATTATAGTGACTATATTGGTTCTGTTATTTTGCAGGATATAATCTAATTGTAACCATTACCATACTTTCAACGTATGATACTCAGTGTATTTTCTAGCTTATATACATTAAATTTACAATGCGATGTGTGTACAGGGAGCGGGGCACGATACATCATTCATCATTTACACTAATATTAGTCGAAATATGTGTATGTATCTAAAATAACACATGACAAACCTATACACGAAAGTTCATTTTTTTCTATGTAAATGGTAGAGAAATACAACGAACCTGTACATGTCATTCCATCCCCTGTATAGCCAGCATTACAGGTACAACTGTAACTATCAACTAGATCACCACAAAGTGCGTTAGTGTCGCATGGACTGGAACTACACTCGTTGATATCTGGAAATGTTTAACAGAAGTAAAACCTAGAAAATATACAGCAAAATATAAATAAAACGCATTGGCTATTTAAATAGAGGTACATTTCTCCATACAAATCTTTAAAATATACTGATGAGTTAGATAGGCTTATATTTATTTAAATAACAAGGTGTTTTTGAACAATTAATTTCATCTTCAAGCTGCTTGTATTCCAGTGTTGTCACAAAAGTCCCCAAAACAGATGGAATTTCCTTATTCAGACAATCGAATTTCAAGAAGAAACAAGGACCTTTTTATTCAAATGTGATCATTTGAATACGTGATCGTACACTAAGTTTTTTGGAACACCATGGAACAGCCTCTCCTTTGCTTCTTCCATAGAAAATGAACACATTCGCTTTTAAACATAATTCCTAAATACACAAGTGACAGATAAGATCAATTAATATCTATCTAAAATAAAAAATAACATTATTTCCATTCAAACCTAAGGCCCGTCTCATTCAAATGTTATCAATTGTATTTCAACATGTATATTCCTTCGGGAAGCAAATAATTTGTGTAACCTTATTTGGTTCAATGCACATTGTGCCCATTAAGAGTGATCATTCATTATAGTGACTATATTGGTTCTGTTATTTTGCAGGATATAATCTAATTGTAACCATTACCATACTTTCAACGTATGATACTCAGTGTATTTTCTAGCTTATATACATTAAATTTACAATGCGATGTGTGTACAGGGAGCGGGGCACGATACACCATTCATCATTTACACTAATATTAGTCGAAATATGTGTATGTATCTAAAATAACACATGACAAACCTATACACGAAAGTTCATTTTTTTCTATGTAAATGGTAGAGAAATACAACGAACCTGTACATGTCATTCCATCCCCTGTATAGCCAGCATTACAGGTACAACTGTAACTATCAACTAGATCACCACAAAGTGCGTTAGTGCCGCATGGACTGGAACTACACTCGTTGATATCTGGAAATGTTTAACAGAAGTAAAACCTATAAAATATACTGCAAAATATAAATAAAACGCATTGGCTATTTAAATACAGAGGTACATTTCTCCATACAAATCTTTAAAATATACTGATGAGTTAGATAGGCTTATATTTATTTAAATAACAAGGTGTTTTTGAACAATTAATTTTATCTTCAAGCTGCTTGTATTCCAGCATTGTCACAAAAGTCCCCAAAACAGATGGAATTTCCTTATTCAGACAATCAAATTTCAAGAAGAAACAAGGCCCTTTTTATTCAAATGTGATCATTTGAATACGTGATCGTACACTAAGTTTTTTGGAACACCATGGAACAGCCTCTCCTTTGCTTCTTCCATAGAAAATGAACACATTCGCTTTTAAACATAATTCTTAAATACACAAGTGACAGATAAGATCCATTAATATCTATCTAAAATAAAAAATAACATTATTTCCATTCAAACCTAAGGCCCGTCTCATTCAAATGTTATCAATTGTATTTCAACATGTATATTCCTTCGGGAAGCAAATAATTTGTGTAACCTTATTTGGTTCAATGCACATTGTGCCCATTAAGAGTGATCATTCATTATAGTGACTATATTGGTTCTGTTATTTTGCAGGATATAATCTAATTGTAACCATTACCATACTTTCAACGTATGATACTCAGTGTATTTTCTAGCTTATATACATTAAATTTACAATGCGATGTGTGTACAGGGAGCGGGGCACGATACATCATTCATCATTTACACTAATATTAGTCGAAATATGTGTATGTATCTAAAATAACACATGACAAACCTATACACGAAAGTTCATTTTTTTCTATGTAAATGGTAGAGAAATACAACGAACCTGTACATGTCATTCCATCCCCTGCATAGCCAGCATTACAGGTACAACTGTAACTATCAACTAGATCACCACAAAGTGCGTTAGTGTCGCATGGACTGGAACTACACTCGTTGATATCTGGAAATGTTTAACAGAAGTAAAACCTAGAAAATATACAGCAAAATATAAATAAAACGCATTGGCTATTTAAATAGAGGTACATTTCTCCATACAAATCTTTAAAATATACTGATGAGTTAGATAGGCTTATATTTATTTAAATAACAACGTGTTTTTGAACAATTAATTTCATCTTCAAGCTGCTTGTATTCCAGCATTGTCACAAAAGTCCCCAAAACAGATGGAATTTCCTTATTCAGACAATCAAATTTCAAGAAGAAACAAGGCCCTTTTTATTCAAATGTGATCATTTGAATACGTGATCGTACACTAAGTTTTTTGGAACACCATGGAACAGCCTCTCCTTTGCTTCTTCCATAGAAAATGAACACATTCGCTTTTAAACATAATTCTTAAATACACAAGTGACAGATAAGATCCATTAATATCTATCTAAAATAAAAAATAACATTATTTCCATTCAAACCTAAGGCCCGTCTCATTCAAATGTTATCAATTGTATTTCAACATGTATATTCCTTCGGGAAGCAAATAATTTGTGTAACCTTATTTGGTTCAATGCACATTGTGCCCATTAAGAGTGATCATTCATTATAGTGACTATATTGGTTCTGTTATTTTGCAGGATATAATCTAATTGTAACCATTACCATACTTTCAACGTATGATACTCAGTGTATTTTCTAGCTTATATACATTAAATTTACAATGCGATGTGTGTACAGGGAGCGGGGCACGATACATCATTCATCATTTACACTAATATTAGTCGAAATATGTGTATGTATCTAAAATAACACATGACAAACCTATACACGAAAGTTCATTTTTTTCTATGTAAATGGTAGAGAAATACAACGAACCTGTACATGTCATTCCATCCCCTGTATAGCCAGCATTACAGGTACAACTGTAACTATCAACTAGATCACCACAAAGTGCGTTAGTGTCGCATGGACTGGAACTACACTCGTTGATATCTGGAAATGTTTAACAGAAGTAAAACCTAGAAAATATACAGCAAAATATAAATAAAACGCATTGGCTATTTAAATAGAGGTACATTTCTCCATACAAATCTTTAAAATATACTGATGAGTTAGATAGGCTTATATTTATTTAAATAACAACGTGTTTTTGAACAATTAATTTCATCTTCAAGCTGCTTGTATTCCAGCGTTGTCACAAAAGTCCCCAAAACAGATGGAATTTCCTTATTCAGACAATCGAATTTCAAGAAGAAACAAGGACCTTTTTATTCAAATGTGATCATTTGAATACGTGATCGTACACTAAGTTTTTTGGAACACCATGGAACAGCCTCTCCTTTGCTTCTTCCATAGAAAATGAACACATTCGCTTTTAAACATAATTCCTAAATACACAAGTGACAGATAAGATCCATTAATATCTATCTAAAATAAAAAATAACATTATTTCCATTCAAACCTAAGGCCCGTCTCATTCAAATGTTATCAATTGTATTTCAACATGTATATTCCTTCGGGAAGCAAATAATTTGTGTAACCTTATTTGGTTCAATGCACATTGTGCCCATTAAGAGTGATCATTCATTATAGTGACTATATTGGTTCTGTTATTTTGCAGGATATAATCTAATTGTAACCATTACCATACTTTCAACGTATGATACTCAGTGTATTTTCTAGCTTATATACATTAAATTTACAATGCGATGTGTGTACAGGGAGCGGGGCACGATACACCATTCATCATTTACACTAATATTAGTCGAAATATGTGTATGTATCTAAAATAACACATGACAAACCTATACACGAAAGTTCATTTTTTTCTATGTAAATCGTAGAGAAATACAACGAACCTGTACATGTCATTCCATCCCCTGTATAGCCAGCATTACAGGTACAACTGTAACTATCAACTAGATCACCACAAAGTGCGTTAGTGCCGCATGGACTGGAACTACACTCGTTGATATCTGGAAATGTTTAACAGAAGTAAAACCTATAAAATATACAGCAAAATATAAATAAAACGCATTGGCTATTTAAATACAGAGGTACATTTCTCCATACAAATCTTTAAAATATACTGATGAGTTAGATAGGCTTATATTTATTTAAATAACAAGGTGTTTTTGAACAATTAATTTTATCTTGAAGCTGCTTGTATTCCAGCATTGTCACAAAAGTCCCCAAAACAGATGGAATTTCCTTATTCAGACAATCAAATTTCAAGAAGAAACAAGGCCCTTTTTATTCAAATGTGATCATTTGAATACGTGATCGTACACTAAGTTTTTTGGAACACCATGGAACAGCCTCTCCTTTGCTTCTTCCATAGAAAATGAACACATTCGCTTTTAAACATAATTCTTAAATACACAAGTGACAGATAAGATCCATTAATATCTATCTAAAATAAAAAATAACATTATTTCCATTCAAACCTAAGGCCCGTCTCATTCAAATGTTATCAATTGTATTTCAACATGTATATTCCTTCGGGAAGCAAATAATTTGTGTAACCTTATTTGGTTCAATGCACATTGTGCCCATTAAGAGTGATCATTCATTATAGTGACTATATTGGTTCTGTTATTTTGCAGGATATAATCTAATTGTAACCATTACCATACTTTCAACGTATGATACTCAGTGTATTTTCTAGCTTATATACATTAAATTTACAATGCGATGTGTGTACAGGGAGCGGGGCACGATACATCATTCATCATTTACACTAATATTAGTCGAAATATGTGTATGTATCTAAAATAACACATGACAAACCTATACACGAAAGTTCATTTTTTTCTATGTAAATGGTAGAGAAATACAACGAACCTGTACATGTCATTCCATCCCCTGCAAAGCCAGCATTACAGGTACAACTGTAACTATCAACTAGATCACCACAAAGTGCGTTAGTGTCGCATGGACTGGAACTACACTCGTTGATATCTGGAAATGTTTAACAGAAGTAAAACCTAGAAAATATACAGCAAAATATAAATAAAACGCATTGGCTATTTAAATAGAGGTACATTTCTCCATACAAATCTTTAAAATATACTGATGAGTTAGATAGGCTTATATTTATTTAAATAACAACGTGTTTTTGAACAATTAATTTCATCTTCAAGCTGCTTGTATTCCAGCGTTGTCACAAAAGTCCCCAAAACAGATGGAATTTCCTTATTCAGACAATCGAATTTCAAGAAGAAACAAGGCCCTTTTTATTCAAATGTGATCATTTGAATACGTGATCGTACACTAAGTTTTTTGGAACACTATGGAACAGCCTCTCCTTTGCTTCTTCCATAGAAAATGAACACATTCGCTTTTAAACATAATTCCTAAATACACAAGTGACAGATAAGATCAATTAATATCTATCTAAAATAAAAAATAACATTATTTCCATTCAAACCTAAGGCCCGTCTCATTCAAATGTTATCAATTGTATTTCAACATGTATATTCCTTCGGGAAGCAAATAATTTGTGTAACCTTATTTGGTTCAATGCACATTGTGCCCATTAAGAGTGATCATTCATTATAGTGACTATATTGGTTCTGTTATTTTGCAGGATATAATCTAATTGTAACCATTACCATACTTTCAACGTATGATACTCAGTGTATTTTCTAGCTTATATACATTAAATTTACAATGCGATGTGTGTACAGGGAGCGGGGCACGATACACCATTCATCATTTACACTAATATTAGTCGAAATATGTGTATGTATCTAAAATAACACATGACAAACCTATACACGAAAGTTCATTTTTTTCTATGTAAATCGTAGAGAAATACAACGAACCTGTACATGTCATTCCATCCCCTGTATAGCCAGCATTACAGGTACAACTGTAACTATCAACTAGATCACCACAAAGTGCGTTAGTGCCGCATGGACTGGAACTACACTCGTTGATATCTGGAAATGTTTAACAGAAGTAAAACCTATAAAATATACTGCAAAATATAAATAAAACGCATTGGCTATTTAAATACAGAGGTACATTTCTCCATACAAATCTTTAAAATATACTGATGAGTTAGATAGGCTTATATTTATTTAAATAACAAGGTGTTTTTGAACAATTAATTTTATCTTGAAGCTGCTTGTATTCCAGCATTGTCACAAAAGTCCCCAAAACAGATGGAATTTCCTTATTCAGACAATCAAATTTCAAGAAGAAACAAGGCCCTTTTTATTCAAATGTGATCATTTGAATACGTGATCGTACACTAAGTTTTTTGGAACACCATGGAACAGCCTCTCCTTTGCTTCTTCCATAGAAAATGAACACATTCGCTTTTAAACATAATTCTTAAATACACAAGTGACAGATAAGATCCATTAATATCTATCTAAAATAAAAAATAACATTATTTCCATTCAAACCTAAGGCCCGTCTCATTCAAATGTTATCAATTGTATTTCAACATGTATATTCCTTCGGGAAGCAAATAATTTGTGTAACCTTATTTGGTTCAATGCACATTGTGCCCATTAAGAGTGATCATTCATTATAGTGACTATATTGGTTCTGTTATTTTGCAGGATATAATCTAATTGTAACCATTACCATACTTTCAACGTATGATACTCAGTGTATTTTCTAGCTTATATACATTAAATTTACAATGCGATGTGTGTACAGGGAGCGGGGCACGATACATCATTCATCATTTACACTAATATTAGTCGAAATATGTGTATGTATCTAAAATAACACATGACAAACCTATACACGAAAGTTCATTTTTTTCTATGTAAATGGTAGAGAAATACAACGAACCTGTACATGTCATTCCATCCCCTGCAAAGCCAGCATTACAGGTACAACTGTAACTATCAACTAGATCACCACAAAGTGCGTTAGTGTCGCATGGACTGGAACTACACTCGTTGATATCTGGAAATGTTTAACAGAAGTAAAACCTAGAAAATATACAGCAAAATATAAATAAAACGCATTGGCTATTTAAATAGAGGTACATTTCTCCATACAAATCTTTAAAATATACTGATGAGTTAGATAGGCTTATATTTATTTAAATAACAACGTGTTTTTGAACAATTAATTTCATCTTCAAGCTGCTTGTATTCCAGCGTTGTCACAAAAGTCCCCAAAACAGATGGAATTTCCTTATTCAGACAATCGAATTTCAAGAAGAAACAAGGCCCTTTTTATTCAAATGTGATCATTTGAATACGTGATCGTACACTAAGTTTTTTGGAACACTATGGAACAGCCTCTCCTTTGCTTCTTCCATAGAAAATGAACACATTCGCTTTTAAACATAATTCCTAAATACACAAGTGACAGATAAGATCCATTAATATCTATCTAAAATAAAAAATAACATTATTTCCATTCAAACCTAAGGCCCGTCTCATTCAAATGTTATCAATTGTATTTCAACATGTATATTCCTTCGGGAAGCAAATAATTTGTGTAACCTTATTTGGTTCAATGCACATTGTGCCCATTAAGAGTGATCATTCATTATAGTGACTATATTGGTTCTGTTATTTTGCAGGATATAATCTAATTGTAACCATTACCATACTTTCAACGTATGATACTCAGTGTATTTTCTAGCTTATATACATTAAATTTACAATGCGATGTGTGTACAGGGAGCGGGGCACGATACACCATTCATCATTTACACTAATATTAGTCGAAATATGTGTATGTATCTAAAATAACACATGACAAACCTATACACGAAAGTTCATTTTTTTCTATGTAAATGGTAGAGAAATACAACGAACCTGTACATGTCATTCCATCCCCTGTATAGCCAGCATTACAGGTACAACTGTAACTATCAACTAGATCACCACAAAGTGCGTTAGTGTCGCATGGACTGGAACTACACTCGTTGATATCTGGAAATGTTTAACAGAAGTAAAACCTATAAAATATACAGCAAAATATAAATAAAACGCATTGGCTATTTAAATACAGAGGTACATTTCTCCATACAAATCTTTAAAATATACTGATGAGTTAGATAGGCTTATATTTATTTAAACAACAAGGTGTTTTTGAACAATTAATTTCATCTTCAAGCTGCTTGTATTCCAGCATTGTCACAAAAGTCCCCAAAACAGATGGAATTTCCTTATTCAGACAATCAAATTTCAAGAAGAAACAAGGCCCTTTTTATTCAAATGTGATCATTTGAATACGTGATCGTACACTAAGTTTTTTGGAACACCATGGAACAGCCTCTCCTTTGCTTCTTCCATAGAAAATGAACACATTCGCTTTTAAACATAATTCTTAAATACACAAGTGACAGATAAGATCCATTAATATCTATCTAAAATAAAAAATAACATTATTTCCATTCAAACCTAAGGCCCGTCTCATTCAAATGTTATCAATTGTATTTCAACATGTATATTCCTTCGGGAAGCAAATAATTTGTGTAACCTTATTTGGTTCAATGCACATTGTGCCCATTAAGAGTGATCATTCATTATAGTGACTATATTGGTTCTGTTATTTTGCAGGATATAATCTAATTGTAACCATTACCATACTTTCAACGTATGATACTCAGTGTATTTTCTAGCTTATATACATTAAATTTACAATGCGATGTGTGTACAGGGAGCGGGGCACGATACACCATTCATCATTTACACTAATATTAGTCGAAATATGTGTATGTATCTAAAATAACACATGACAAACCTATACACGAAAGTTCATTTTTTTCTATGTAAATCGTAGAGAAATACAACGAACCTGTACATGTCATTCCATCCCCTGTATAGCCAGCATTACAGGTACAACTGTAACTATCAACTAGATCACCACAAAGTGCGTTAGTGCCGCATGGACTGGAACTACACTCGTTGATATCTGGAAATGTTTAACAGAAGTAAAACCTATAAAATATACTGCAAAATATAAATAAAACGCATTGGCTATTTAAATACAGAGGTACATTTCTCCATACAAATCTTTAAAATATACTGATGAGTTAGATAGGCTTATATTTATTTAAATAACAAGGTGTTTTTGAACAATTAATTTTATCTTCAAGCTGCTTGTATTCCAGCATCGTCACAAAAGTCCCCAAAACAGATGGAATTTCCTTATTCAGACAATCAAATTTCAAGAAGAAACAAGGCCCTTTTTATTCAAATGTGATCATTTGAATACGTGATCGTACACTAAGTTTTTTGGAACACCATGGAACAGCCTCTCCTTTGCTTCTTCCATAGAAAATGAACACATTCGCTTTTAAACATAATTCTTAAATACACAAGTGACAGATAAGATCCATTAATATCTATCTAAAATAAAAAATAACATTATTTCCATTCAAACCTAAGGCCCGTCTCATTCAAATGTTATCAATTGTATTTCAACATGTATATTCCTTCGGGAAGCAAATAATTTGTGTAACCTTATTTGGTTCAATGCACATTGTGCCCATTAAGAGTGATCATTCATTATAGTGACTATATTGGTTCTGTTATTTTGCAGGATATAATCTAATTGTAACCATTACCATACTTTCAACGTATGATACTCAGTGTATTTTCTAGCTTATATACATTAAATTTACAATGCGATGTGTGTACAGGGAGCGGGGCACGATACATCATTCATCATTTACACTAATATTAGTCGAAATATGTGTATGTATCTAAAATAACACATGACAAACCTATACACGAAAGTTCATTTTTTTCTATGTAAATGGTAGAGAAATACAACGAACCTGTACATGTCATTCCATCCCCTGTATAGCCAGCATTACAGGTACAACTGTAACTATCAACTAGATCACCACAAAGTGCGTTAGTGTCGCATGGACTGGAACTACACTCGTTGATATCTGGAAATGTTTAACAGAAGTAAAACCTATAAAATATACAGCAAAATATAAATAAAACGCATTGGCTATTTAAATAGAGGTACATTTCTCCATACAAATCTTTAAAATATACTGATGAGTTAGATAGGCTTATATTTATTTAAATAACAAGGTGTTTTTGAACAATTAATTTCATCTTCAAGCTGCTTGTATTCCAGCGTTGTCACAAAAGTCCCCAAAACAGATGGAATTTCCTTATTCAGACAATCGAATTTCAAGAAGAAACAAGGACCTTTTTATTCAAATGTGATCATTTGAATACGTGATCGTACACTAAGTTTTTTGGAACACCATGGAAAAGCCTCTCCTTTGCTTCTTCCATAGAAAATGAACACATTCGCTTTTAAACATAATTCCTAAATACACAAGTGACAGATAAGATCAATTAATATCTATCTAAAATAAAAAATAACATTATTTCCATTCAAACCTAAGGCCCGTCTCATTCAAATGTTATCAATTGTATTTCAACATGTATATTCCTTCGGGAAGCAAATAATTTGTGTAACCTTATTTGGTTCAATGCACATTGTGCCCATTAAGAGTGATCATTCATTATAGTGACTATATTGGTTCTGTTATTTTGCAGGATATAATCTAATTGTAACCATTACCATACTTTCAACGTATGATACTCAGTGTATTTTCTAGCTTATATACATTAAATTTACAATGCGATGTGTGTACAGGGAGCGGGGCACGATACACCATTCATCATTTACACTAATATTAGTCGAAATATGTGTATGTATCTAAAATAACACATGACAAACCTATACACGAAAGTTCATTTTTTTCTATGTAAATGGTAGAGAAATACAACGAACCTGTACATGTCATTCCATCCCCTGTATAGCCAGCATTACAGGTACAACTGTAACTATCAACTAGATCACCACAAAGTGCGTTAGTGCCGCATGGACTGGAACTACACTCGTTGATATCTGGAAATGTTTAACAGAAGTAAAACCTATAAAATATACTGCAAAATATAAATAAAACGCATTGGCTATTTAAATACAGAGGTACATTTCTCCATACAAATCTTTAAAATATACTGATGAGTTAGATAGGCTTATATTTATTTAAATAACAAGGTGTTTTTGAACAATTAATTTTATCTTGAAGCTGCTTGTATTCCAGCATTGTCACAAAAGTCCCCAAAACAGATGGAATTTCCTTATTCAGACAATCAAATTTCAAGAAGAAACAAGGCCCTTTTTATTCAAATGTGATCATTTGAATACGTGATCGTACACTAAGTTTTTTGGAACACCATGGAACAGCCTCTCCTTTGCTTCTTCCATAGAAAATGAACACATTCGCTTTTAAACATAATTCTTAAATACACAAGTGACAGATAAGATCCATTAATATCTATCTAAAATAAAAAATAACATTATTTCCATTCAAACCTAAGGCCCGTCTCATTCAAATGTTATCAATTGTATTTCAACATGTATATTCCTTCGGGAAGCAAATAATTTGTGTAACCTTATTTGGTTCAATGCACATTGTGCCCATTAAGAGTGATCATTCATTATAGTGACTATATTGGTTCTGTTATTTTGCAGGATATAATCTAATTGTAACCATTACCATACTTTCAACGTATGATACTCAGTGTATTTTCTAGCTTATATACATTAAATTTACAATGCGATGTGTGTACAGGGAGCGGGGCACGATACATCATTCATCATTTACACTAATATTAGTCGAAATATGTGTATGTATCTAAAATAACACATGACAAACCTATACACGAAAGTTCATTTTTTTCTATGTAAATGGTAGAGAAATACAACGAACCTGTACATGTCATTCCATCCCCTGCATAGCCAGCATTACAGGTACAACTGTAACTATCAACTAGATCACCACAAAGTGCGTTAGTGTCGCATGGACTGGAACTACACTCGTTGATATCTGGAAATGTTTAACAGAAGTAAAACCTAGAAAATATACAGCAAAATATAAATAAAACGCATTGGCTATTTAAATAGAGGTACATTTCTCCCTACAAATCTTTAAAATATACTGATGAGTTAGATAGGCTTATATTTATTTAAATAACAAGGTGTTTTTGAACAATTAATTTCATCTTCAAGCTGCTTGTATTCCAGCGTTGTCACAAAAGTCCCCAAAACAGATGGAATTTCCTTATTCAGACAATCGAATTTCAAGAAGAAACAAGGCCCTTTTTATTCAAATGTGATCATTTGAATACGTGATCGTACACTAAGTTTTTTGGAACACTATGGAACAGCCTCTCCTTTGCTTCTTCCATAGAAAATGAACACATTCGCTTTTAAACATAATTCCTAAATACACAAGTGACAGATAAGATCAATTAATATCTATCTAAAATAAAAAATAACATTATTTCCATTCAAACCTAAGGCCCGTCTCATTCAAATGTTATCAATTGTATTTCAACATGTATATTCCTTCGGGAAGCAAATAATTTGTGTAACCTTATTTGGTTCAATGCACATTGTGCCCATTAAGAGTGATCATTCATTATAGTGACTATATTGGTTCTGTTATTTTGCAGGATATAATCTAATTGTAACCATTACCATACTTTCAACGTATGATACTCAGTGTATTTTCTAGCTTATATACATTAAATTTACAATGCGATGTGTGTACAGGGAGCGGGGCACGATACACCATTCATCATTTACACTAATATTAGTCGAAATATGTGTATGTATCTAAAATAACACATGACAAACCTATACACGAAAGTTCATTTTTTTCTATGTAAATCGTAGAGAAATACAACGAACCTGTACATGTCATTCCATCCCCTGTATAGCCAGCATTACAGGTACAACTGTAACTATCAACTAGATCACCACAAAGTGCGTTAGTGTCGCATGGACTGGAACTACACTCGTTGATATCTGGAAATGTTTAACAGAAGTAAAACCTAGAAAATATACAGCAAAATATAAATAAAACGCATTGGCTATTTAAATACAGAGGTACATTTCTCCCTACAAATCTTTAAAATATACTGATGAGTTAGATAGGCTTATATTTATTTAAATAACAAGGTGTTTTTGAACAATTAATTTCATCTTCAAGCTGCTTGTATTCCAGCGTTGTCACAAAAGTCCCCAAAACAGATGGAATTTCCTTAGTCAGACAATCGAATTTCAAGAAGAAACAAGGACCTTTTTATTCAAATGTGATCATTTGAATACGTGATCGTACACTAAGTTTTTTGGAACACCATGGAACAGCCTCTCCTTTGCTTCTTCCATAGAAAATGAACACATTCGCTTTTAAACATAATTCTTAAATACACAAGTGACAGATAAGATCCATTAATATCTATCTCAAATAAAAAATAACATTATTTCCATTCAAACCTAAGGCCCGTCTCATTCAAATGTTATCAATTGTATTTCAACATGTATATTCCTTCGGAAAGCAAATAATTTGTGTAACCTTATTTGGTTCAATGCACATTGTGCCCATTAAGAGTGATCATTCATTATAGTGACTATATTGGTTCTGTTATTTTGCAGGATATAATCTTATTGTAACCATTACCATACTTTCAACGTATGATACTCAGTGTATTTTCTAGCTTATATACATTAAATTTACAATGCGATGTGTGCACAGGGAGCGGGGCACGATACACCATTCATCATTTACACTAATATTAGTCGAAATATGTGTATGTATCTAAAATAACACATGACAAACCTATACACGAAAGTTCATTTTTTTCTATGTAAATCGTAGAGAAATACAACGAACCTGTACATGTCATTCCATCCCCTGTATAGCCAGCATTACAGGTACAACTGTAACTATCAACTAGATCACCACAAAGTGCGTTAGTGCCGCATGGACTGGAACTACACTCGTTGATATCTGGAAATGTTTAACAGAAGTAAAACCTATAAAATAAACTGCAAAATATAAATAAAACGCATTGGCTATTTAAATACAGAGGTACATTTCTCCATACAAATCTTTAAAATATACTGATGAGTTAGATAGGCTTATATTTATTTAAATAACAAGGTGTTTTTGAACAATTAATTTTATCTTGAAGCTGCTTGTATTCCAGCATTGTCACAAAAGTCCCCAAAACAGATGGAATTTCCTTATTCAGACAATCAAATTTCAAGAAGAAACAAGGCCCTTTTTATTCAAATGTGATCATTTGAATACGTGATCGTACACTAAGTTTTTTGGAACACCATGGAACAGCCTCTCCTTTGCTTCTTCCATAGAAAATGAACACATTCGCTTTTAAACATAATTCTTAAATACACAAGTGACAGATAAGATCAATTAATATCTATCTAAAATAAAAAATAACATTATTTCCATTCAAACCTAAGGCCCATCTCATTCAAATGTTATCAATTGTATTTCAACATGTATATTCCTTCGGGAAGCAAATAATTTGTGTAACCTTATTTGGTTCAATGCACATTGTGCCCATTAAGAGTGATCATTCATTATAGTGACTATATTGGTTCTGTTATTTTGCAGGATATAATCTAATTGTAACCATTACCATACTTTCAACGTATGATACTCAGTGTATTTTCTAGCTTATATACATTAAATTTACAATGCGATGTGTGTACAGGGAGCGGGGCACGATACATCATTCATCATTTACACTAATATTAGTCGAAATATGTGTATGTATCTAAAATAACACATGACAAACCTATACACGAAAGTTCATTTTTTTCTATGTAAATGGTAGAGAAATACAACGAACCTGTACATGTCATTCCATCCCCTGCATAGCCAGCATTACAGGTACAACTGTAACTATCAACTAGATCACCACAAAGTGCGTTAGTGTCGCATGGACTGGAACTACACTCGTTGATATCTGGAAATGTTTAACAGAAGTAAAACCTAGAAAATATACAGCAAAATATAAATAAAACGCATTGGCTATTTAAATAGAGGTACATTTCTCCATACAAATCTTTAAAATATACTGATGAGTTAGATAGGCTTATATTTATTTAAATAACAACGTGTTTTTGAACAATTAATTTCATCTTCAAGCTGCTTGTATTCCAGCATTGTCACAAAAGCCCCCAAAACAGATGGAATTTCCTTATTCAGACAATCAAATTTCAAGAAGAAACAAGGCCCTTTTTATTCAAATGTGATCATTTGAATACGTGATCGTACACTAAGTTTTTTGGAACACCATGGAACAGCCTCTCCTTTGCTTCTTCCATAGAAAATGAACACATTCGCTTTTAAACATAATTCCTAAATACACAAGTGACAGATAAGATCCATTAATATCTATCTCAAATAAAAAATAACATTATTTCCATTCAAACCTAAGGCCCGTCTCATTCAAATGTTATCAATTGTATTTCAACATGTATATTCCTTCGGGAAGCAAATAATTTGTGTAACCTTATTTGGTTCAATGCACATTGTGCCCATTAAGAGTGATCATTCATTATAGTGACTATATTGGTTCTGTTATTTTGCAGGATATAATCTAATTGTAACCATTACCATACTTTCAACGTATGATACTCAGTGTATTTTCTAGCTTATATACATTAAATTTACAATGCGATGTGTGTACAGGGAGCGGGGCACGATACACCATTCATCATTTACACTAATATTAGTCGAAATATGTGTATGTATCTAAAATAACACATGACAAACCTATACACGAAAGTTCATTTTTTTCTATGTAAATCGTAGAGAAATACAACGAACCTGTACATGTCATTCCATCCCCTGTATAGCCAGCATTACAGGTACAACTGTAACTATCAACTAGATCACCACAAAGTGCGTTAGTGTCGCATGGACTGGAACTACACTCGTTGATATCTGGAAATGTTTAACAGAAGTAAAACCTAGAAAATATACAGCAAAATATAAATAAAACGCATTGGCTATTTAAATACAGAGGTACATTTCTCCCTACAAATCTTTAAAATATACTGATGAGTTAGATAGGCTTATATTTATTTAAATAACAAGGTGTTTTTGAACAATTAATTTCATCTTCAAGCTGCTTGTATTCCAGCGTTGTCACAAAAGTCCCCAAAACAGATGGAATTTCCTTATTCAGACAATCGAATTTCAAGAAGAAACAAGGACCTTTTTATTCAAATGTGATCATTTGAATACGTGATCGTACACTAAGTTTTTTGGAACACCATGGAACAGCCTCTCCTTTGCTTCTTCCATAGAAAATGAACACATTCGCTTTTAAACATAATTCTTAAATACACAAGTGACAGATAAGATCCATTAATATCTATCTCAAATAAAAAATAACATTATTTCCATTCAAACCTAAGGCCCGTCTCATTCAAATGTTATCAATTGTATTTCAACATGTATATTCCTTCGGAAAGCAAATAATTTGTGTAACCTTATTTGGTTCAATGCACATTGTGCCCATTAAGAGTGATCATTCATTATAGTGACTATATTGGTTCTGTTATTTTGCAGGATATAATCTTATTGTAACCATTACCATACTTTCAACGTATGATACTCAGTGTATTTTCTAGCTTATATACATTAAATTTACAATGCGATGTGTGCACAGGGAGCGGGGCACGATACACCATTCATCATTTACACTAATATTAGTCGAAATATGTGTATGTATCTAAAATAACACATGACAAACCTATACACGAAAGTTCATTTTTTTCTATGTAAATGGTAGAGAAATACAACGAACCTGTACATGTCATTCCATCCCCTGTATAGCCAGCATTACAGGTACAACTGTAACTATCAACTAGATCACCACAAAGTGCGTTAGTGTCGCATGGACTGGAACTACACTCGTTGATATCTGGAAATGTTTAACAGAAGTAAAACCTAGAAAATATACAGCAAAATATAAATAAAACGCATTGGCTATTTAAATACAGAGGTACATTTCTCCATACAAATCTTTAAAATATACTGATGAGTTAGATAGGCTTATATTTATTTAAATAACAACGTGTTTTTGAACAATTAATTTCATCTTCAAGCTGCTTGTATTCCAGCATTGTCACAAAAGCCCCCAAAACAGATGGAATTTCCTTATTCAGACAATCAAATTTCAAGAAGAAACAAGGCCCTTTTTATTCAAATGTGATCATTTGAATACGTGATCGTACACTAAGTTTTTTGGAACACCATGGAACAGCCTCTCCTTTGCTTCTTCCATAGAAAATGAACACATTCGCTTTTAAACATAATTCCTAAATACACAAGTGACAGATAAGATCAATTAATATCTATCTAAAATAAAAAATAACATTATTTCCATTCAAACCTAAGGCCCGTCTCATTCAAATGTTATCAATTGTATTTCAACATGTATATTCCTTCGGGAAGCAAATAATTTGTGTAACCTTATTTGGTTCAATGCACATTGTGCCCATTAAGAGTGATCATTCATTATAGTGACTATATTGGTTCTGTTATTTTGCAGGATATAATCTAATTGTAACCATTACCATACTTTCAACGTATGATACTCAGTGTATTTTCTAGCTTATATACATTAAATTTACAATGCGATGTGTGTACAGGGAGCGGGGCACGATACACCATTCATCATTTACACTAATATTAGTCGAAATATGTGTATGTATCTAAAATAACACATGACAAACCTATACACGAAAGTTCATTTTTTTCTATGTAAATCGTAGAGAAATACAACGAACCTGTACATGTCATTCCATCCCCTGTATAGCCAGCATTACAGGTACAACTGTAACTATCAACTAGATCACCACAAAGTGCGTTAGTGTCGCATGGACTGGAACTACACTCGTTGATATCTGGAAATGTTTAACAGAAGTAAAACCTAGAAAATATACAGCAAAATATAAATAAAACGCATTGGCTATTTAAATACAGAGGTACATTTCTCCCTACAAATCTTTAAAATATACTGATGAGTTAGATAGGCTTATATTTATTTAAATAACAACGTGTTTTTGAACAATTAATTTCATCTTCAAGCTGCTTGTATTCCAGCGTTGTCACAAAAGTCCCCAAAACAGATGGAATTTCCTTAGTCAGACAATCGAATTTCAAGAAGAAACAAGGACCTTTTTATTCAAATGTGATCATTTGAATACGTGATCGTACACTAAGTTTTTTGGAACACCATGGAACAGCCTCTCCTTTGCTTCTTCCATAGAAAATGAACACATTCGCTTTTAAACATAATTCTTAAATACACAAGTGACAGATAAGATCCATTAATATCTATCTCAAATAAAAAATAACATTATTTCCATTCAAACCTAAGGCCCGTCTCATTCAAATGTTATCAATTGTATTTCAACATGTATATTCCTTCGGGAAGCAAATAATTTGTGTAACCTTATTTGGTTCAATGCACATTGTGCCCATTAAGAGTGATCATTCATTATAGTGACTATATTGGTTCTGTTATTTTGCAGGATATAATCTAATTGTAACCATTACCATACTTTCAACGTATGATACTCAGTGTATTTTCTAGCTTATATACATTAAATTTACAATGCGATGTGTGTACAGGGAGCGGGGCACGATACATCATTCATCATTTACACTAATATTAGTCGAAATATGTGTATGTATCTAAAATAACACATGACAAACCTATACACGAAAGTTCATTTTTTTCTATGTAAATGGTAGAGAAATACAACGAACCTGTACATGTCATTCCATCCCCTGCATAGCCAGCATTACAGGTACAACTGTAACTATCAACTAGATCACCACAAAGTGCGTTAGTGTCGCATGGACTGGAACTACACTCGTTGATATCTGGAAATGTTTAACAGAAGTAAAACCTAGAAAATATACAGCAAAATATAAATAAAACGCATTGGCTATTTAAATAGAGGTACATTTCTCCATACAAATCTTTAAAATATACTGATGAGTTAGATAGGCTTATATTTATTTAAATAACAACGTGTTTTTGAACAATTAATTTCATCTTCAAGCTGCTTGTATTCCAGCATTGTCACAAAAGCCCCCAAAACAGATGGAATTTCCTTATTCAGACAATCAAATTTCAAGAAGAAACAAGGCCCTTTTTATTCAAATGTGATCATTTGAATACGTGATCGTACACTAAGTTTTTTGGAACACCATGGAACAGCCTCTCCTTTGCTTCTTCCATAGAAAATGAACACATTCGCTTTTAAACATAATTCCTAAATACACAAGTGACAGATAAGATCAATTAATATCTATCTAAAATAAAAAATAACATTATTTCCATTCAAACCTAAGGCCCGTCTCATTCAAATGTTATCAATTGTATTTCAACATGTATATTCCTTCGGGAAGCAAATAATTTGTGTAACCTTATTTGGTTCAATGCACATTGTGCCCATTAAGAGTGATCATTCATTATAGTGACTATATTGGTTCTGTTATTTTGCAGGATATAATCTAATTGTAACCATTACCATACTTTCAACGTATGATACTCAGTGTATTTTCTAGCTTATATACATTAAATTTACAATGCGATGTGTGTACAGGGAGCGGGGCACGATACACCATTCATCATTTACACTAATATTAGTCGAAATATGTGTATGTATCTAAAATAACACATGACAAACCTATACACGAAAGTTCATTTTTTTCTATGTAAATCGTAGAGAAATACAACGAACCTGTACATGTCATTCCATCCCCTGTATAGCCAGCATTACAGGTACAACTGTAACTATCAACTAGATCACCACAAAGTGCGTTAGTGTCGCATGGACTGGAACTACACTCGTTGATATCTGGAAATGTTTAACAGAAGTAAAACCTAGAAAATATACAGCAAAATATAAATAAAACGCATTGGCTATTTAAATACAGAGGTACATTTCTCCCTACAAATCTTTAAAATATACTGATGAGTTAGATAGGCTTATATTTATTTAAATAACAAGGTGTTTTTGAACAATTAATTTCATCTTCAAGCTGCTTGTATTCCAGCGTTGTCACAAAAGTCCCCAAAACAGATGGAATTTCCTTAGTCAGACAATCGAATTTCAAGAAGAAACAAGGACCTTTTTATTCAAATGTGATCATTCGAATACGTGATCGTACACTAAGTTTTTTGGAACACCATGGAACAGCCTCTCCTTTGCTTCTTCCATAGAAAATGAACACATTCGCTTTTAAACATAATTCCTAAATACACAAGTGACAGATAAGATCAATTAATATCTATCTAAAATAAAAAATAACATTATTTCCATTCAAACCTAAGGCCCGTCTCATTCAAATGTTATCAATTGTATTTCAACATGTATATTCCTTCGGAAAGCAAATAATTTGTGTAACCTTATTTGGTTCAATGCACATTGTGCCCATTAAGAGTGATCATTCATTATAGCGACTATATTGGTTCTGTTATTTTGCAGGATATAATCTAATTGTAACCATTTCCATAATTTCAACGTATGATACACAAATAACACAAGAAAACGTCTTCCTTGTTACCAATAAATGTTTGCATCAGACATTTGATACAATGTCATGCCTTTTATTAGCTAAGCCCCTGTAGTAGCCTTGCACCTATAAGGCTTATAACAAAGCGGTAACAACTTCAGAAACTTAACAAAAGAAAAATACTTTCAATGGCATCAAATCTTAATAAGAATCAAACGGCAACAAAATAACTCAATAAGAGCTGACTACACTTGACCCAAACCGCATTGTTTTTGTATTAAGACTAACCTGGCCTCGCCTTACACATGTTACCTCTTCAACTCTATATTTCCTCTCTACATTTCATTCACGAATACCGCAAATACACAGAACAGTTTTTATCATATAATAGGTAGGTTTCTCGGCAGGATAAAGCCAACGGATAAAAACGATATCCGTTGGGGTCATATGAGGATAGAGATGCAAATATCAAAGGTCAAGTAGGGACTACTTTCATTGTTTATAAACAAACATGGCGTCGCCCTCGTCATTCGGCGATCGGGAATCTGGATACAGGGATAATTTCTTTCCTTATCAAAAGAACAGTCATATATACTGAAAATCATTGTCTAACTTTGACGTAGCTAAGGCATTTTATAAGTTTTGGCAACTTTGGAGATATAAATTTCGAAACAAATTTTGTGAGGGCACGAGGCCTAGCCAAGCTGGATCAGTAGCTATATCTGTGCTTGTAGACCTCTGCGGCTTGAAACCTTCTCCACAAATTAAAATAGTTGGATTTGGACGAAATATGTTTGAATTGTTACCATGTTTCGTTTTGTCGCTGTGTGTACATCTGACTACACTTCTTAACGTTATGACAGGACAGACCGACTGTCAACAACGTCTGACCGTGGCCGTGACGTCACATAGACTAGGGTTAGAGTAGCTTCCCTTTGACAAAGGGCAGTTACTCTAGCGGACAGAACGATGGATTGCCGCGAAAGGCAATTAAATTTTTGTTGTTGTTTTGCGTATATGTTGCTTCGCCACTGTATAAGAAACAGATTTCAGTTGGAACTATATTGGCTACTGTCACTGTCCGACTGACACATCACTTACCCTGTGATGTAATAAATATTAATGCGCGCATTCCAGGAAAACTCGCAATGTTTCGGTAATGTTTGTGAGAGAGGGAAAGCGATTTTGAAGCACAGAATTAAAGAATGACATTATATGATAAAGAGGTTATCACGCTTGTGTGTTTGGGGATGGTAAATATCCTCTATTAGGAATAAACACTATGTATTTAGCTCGCCGAGGCTCGCTAAATACAATGTTTATTCCTAATGCAGGATATTTACGATCCCCCAAAACACTCCCGTGATAACCTCTATGTATCTATCATATGACGGACTGTACGGTAATAAACCAGTTCTGCCTCACATAAATGTTCATCCGATTTTCTTATCCAACATCACTAAATGCATCTGTGGTGAGCAATGTAGAAACAAATACACGTCGGTCTCATGATAAACGTGGAAACTTAGGCACTTTTTATTGGGAAAATGTCCTTTTGTATTCAACATTCTTAGATAGGTTTATATGCGTGTATGCTTATAGGAAACTATTAATCGATGAAGACAGAATTGACATTGTCTTCAACTTCTTTTTATCGTCTTCGTTGACTCGTCTCGGCACAGAAACAACTTTATAGAAACTTTATAAAGCATGCGCTTTTAGTTATCACTTTCTTGATACGAAAACGCCCTGTTAACATTTCTCCAAATACATTACATGGCGGCCAAGTCGACCTTTATAGCATGGTGTCAGTGTTAGAGAAACCGAAAGCACTAATCATTAGAAAGTTTTTTTCTTGGAACTGTGAAACATTTCTCAACATTCGTTGAGATTGTTCCAGAAACACTGACGCACCAATTTAATAATCCGGGCATATGTGGGATTCGATGATACTTAAACCTGCATAGTGAGTTGTAAGCCTTTTAAACCAATAGGCCACCGATTCAACCCAAAGATTGTTGTTGGATGACGATCAGGCAAGACCGCATATCAACGCTAAATTATAAATTGGATTCTACATAAAGCAACTGGCAAAGAAATAAAGTGATATACCTGTACACGTGTAGCCATCTCCAGTATATCCTGCAGCACATGAACATGTGAACGATGGATCGAGATTGTTACACACTGAATTGTCGCCGCAAGGATTGTCATAGGTGCACTCGTCGTAATCTGAATATGATATGTCAAGTTGTATTATGGATATATATTTCTATGGATGAAGGCATATGATCATTTAAAACATGACACGAAGACTATGCAATGAATTCTCGTTATTTCATTCGTTGGTTGCTGTACTCATACCACTAAAATGTCACTTGTAGATAGTTAAACGAAACATCAGTTATATCCAGATCCAACAAAGACATGTACCCAGCTGTCTTTAATATTTATACCCAAGACCATCAGATTCAACTAGATCCAACTAAGACCTACACCAACATGTCTTTAATATCTAAAAATACTATTAGACAATCAGTTGCTACTTGATCCAACCAAGGTCTGTACCTATCTGTCTTTGATATTTAACCCAAGACCATCAAATTCCACTAGATCCAACCAAGACATATACCAATATGTCTTTAATATTAAAAAGGAACACTAGACAATCAGTTGCTACTTGATCCAACCAAGGTCGGTACTATCTGTCTTTGATATTTAACCCAAGACAATCAAATTCCACTGGATCAAACCAAGACCTATACCAATATGTCTATAAATTTAAAATACCACCAGACCATCAGTTGCTACTTGATCCAACCAAGGTCTGTACCTATCTGTCTTGAATATTTAAAATACCACCAGACCATCAGTTGCTACTTGATCCAGCCAAGGTCTGTACTATCTGTCTTTGATATTTAAAATACCACCAGACAATCAGTTGCTACTTGAGCCAACCAAGGTCTGTAACTATCTGTCTTGAATATTTAAAATACCACCAGACCATCAGTTGCTACTTGATCCAACCAAGGTCTGTACCTATCTGTCTTTGATATTTAAAATACCACCAGACCATCAGTTGCTACTTGATCCAAACAAGGGGTGTACCTATCTGTCTTTAATATTTAAAATACCACCAGACTATCAGTTGCTACTTGATCCAACCAAGGTCTGTACCTATCTGTCTTTAATATTTAAAATACCACCAGACCATCAGTTGCTACTTGATCCAGCCAAGGTCTGTACCTATCTGTCTTTAATATCTAAAAATACCACCAGACCATCAGTTGCTACTTGATCATGCCAAGGGGTGTACCTGTCTGTCTTTAATACCTAAAAATACCACCAGACCATCAGTTGCTACTTGATCCAAACAAGGGGTGTACCTATCTGTCTTTAATATCTAAAAATACCACTAGACCATCAGTTGCTACTTGATCCAACCAAGGTCTGTACCTATCTGTCTTTAATATTTAAAATACCACCAGACCATCAGTTGCTACTTGATCCAGCCAAGGTCTGTACCTATCTGTCTTTAATAAATTTAAAATACCACCAGACCATCAGTTGCTACTTGATCCAGCCATTGGGTGTACCTATCTGTCTTTTAAATCTAAAACAAAAACACTAGACCATCTGTTGCTACTAGATCCAACCAAGGTCTGTACCTATCTGTCTTTAATATTTAAAATACCACTAGACAATCAGTTGCTACTTGATCCAACCAAGGTCTGTACCTATCTGTCTTTAATATTTAAAATACCACCAGACCATCAGTTGCTACTTGATCCAACCAAGGGGTGTACCTATTTGTCTTTAATATTTAAAATACCACCAGACTATCAGTTGCTACTTGATCCAACCAATATCTGTACCTATCTGTCTTTAATATGTAAAATACCACCAGACCATCAGTTGCTACTTGATCCAGCCAAGGTCTGTACCTATCTGTCTTTAATATGTAAAATACCACCAGACCATCAGTTGCTACTTGATCCAACCAAGGTCTGTACCTATCTGTCTTTAATATTTAAAATACCACCAGACTATCAGTTGCTACTTGATCCAACCAAGGTCTGTACCTATCTGTCTTGAATATTTAAAATACCACCAGACCATCAGTTGCTACTTGATCCAGCCAAGGTCTGTACCTATCTGTCTTTAATATTTAAAATACCACCAGACCATCAGTTGCTACTTGATCCAGCCAAGGTCTGTACCTATCTGTCTTTAATATTTAAAATACCACCAGACCACCAGTTGCTACTTGATCCAGCCAAGGGGTGTACCTATCAGTCTTTAATATTTAAAATACCACTAAACAATCATTTGCTACTTGATCCAACCAAGGTCTGTAACTATCTGTCTTGAATATATAAAATACCACCAGACAATCAGTTGCTACTTGAGCCAACCAAGGTCTGTACTATCTGTCTTTGATATTTAAAATACCACTAGACAATCAGTTGCTACTTGATCCAACCAAGGTCTGTAACTATCTGTCTTTGATATTTAAAATACCACCAGACCATCAGTTGCTACTTGATCCAAACAAGGGGTTTACCTATATGTCTTTAATATTTAATATATCACCAGACTATCAGTTGCTACTTGATCCAACCAAGGTCTGTACCTATCTGTCTTTAATATTTAAAATACCACCAGACCATCAGTTGCTACTTGATCCAGCCAAGGTCTGTACCTATCTGTCTTTAATATCTAAAAATACCACTAGACCATCAGTTGCTACTTGATCATGCCAAGGGGTGTACCTATCTGTCTTTAATATCTAAAAATACCACCAGACCATCAGTTGCTACTTGATCATGCCAAGGGGTGTACCTATCTGTCTTTAATATCTAAAAATACCACTAGACCATCAGTTGCTACTTGATCCAACCAAGGTCTGTACCTATCTGTCTTTAATATTTAAAATACCACCAGACCATCAGTTGCTACTTGATCCAGCCAAGGTCTGTACCTATCTGTCTTTAATATCTAAAAATACCACTAGACCATCAGTTGCTACTTGATCCAGCCAAGGTCTGTACCTATCTGTCTTGAATATTTAAAATACCACCAGACCATCAGTTGCTACTTGATCCAGCCATTGGGTGTACCTATCTGTCTTTTAAATCTAAAACAAAAACACTAGACCATCTGTTGCTACTAGATCCAACCAAGGTCTGTACCTATCTGTCTTTAATATTTAAAATACCACTAGACAATCAGTTGCTACTTGATCCAACCAAGGTCTGTACCTATCTGTCTTTAATATTTAAAATACAACCAGACCATCAGTTGCTACTTGATCCAGCCAAGGGGTGTACCTATTTGCCTTTAATATTTAAAATACCACCAGACTATCAGTTGCTACTTGATCCAACCAATATCTGTTCCTATCTGTCTTTAATATGTAAAATACCACCAGACCATCAGTTGCTACTTGATCCAACCAAGGTCTGTACCTATCTGTCTTTAATATTTAAAATACCACCAGACCATCAGTTGCTACTTGATCCAACCAAGGTCTGTACCTATCTGTCTTTAATATTTAAAATACCACCAGACCATCAGTTGCTACTTGATCCAACCAATATCTGTACCTATCTGTCTTTAATATGTAAAATACCACCAGACCATCAGTTGCTACTTGATCCAACCAAGGTCTGTACCTATCTGTCTTTAATATTTAAAATACCACCAGACCATCAGTTGCTACTTGATCCAGCCAAGGTCTGTACCTATCTGTCCTTAATATCTAAAAATACCACTAGACCATCAGTTGCTACTTGATCCAGCCAAGGTCTGTACCTATCTGTCTTGAATATTTAAAATACCACCAGACCATCAGTTGCTACTTGATCCAGCCATTGGGTGTACCTATCTGTCTTTTAAATCTAAAACAAAAACACTAGACCATCTGTTGCTACTAGATCCAACCAAGGTCTGTACCTATCTGTCTTTAATATTTAAAATACCACTAGACAATCAGTTGCTACTTGATCCAACCAAGGTCTGTACCTATCTGTCTTTAATATTTAAAATACCACCAGACCATCAGTTGCTACTTGATCCAGCCAAGGTCTGTACCTATCTGTCTTTAATATTTAAAATACCACCAGGCCATCAGTTGCTACTTAATCCAACCAAGGGGTGTACCTATCTGTCTTTAAAATCTAAAACAAAAACACTACACCATCTGTTGCTACTTGATCCAACCAAGGTCTGTACCTATCTGTCTTTAATATTTAAAATACCACCAGACCATCAGTTGCTACTTGATCCAGCCAAGGTCTGTACCTATCTGTCTTTAATATCTAAAAATACCACTAGACCATCAGTTGCTACTTGATCCAGCCAAGGTCTGTACCTATCTGTCTTGAATATTTAAAATACCACCAGACCATCAGTTGCTACTTGATCCAGCCATTGGGTGTACCTATCTGTCTTTTAAATCTAAAACAAAAACACTAGACCATCTGTTGCTACTAGATCCAACCAAGGTCTGTACCTATCTGTCTTTAATATTTAAAATACCACTAGACAATCAGTTGCTACTTGATCCAACCAAGGTCTGTACCTATCTGTCTTTAATATTTAAAATACAACCAGACCATCAGTTGCTACTTGATCCAGCCAAGGGGTGTACCTATTTGCCTTTAATATTTAAAATACCACCAGACTATCAGTTGCTACTTGATCCAACCAATATCTGTTCCTATCTGTCTTTAATATGTAAAATACAACCAGACCATCAGTTGCTACTTGATCCAACCAAGGTCTGTACCTATCTGTCTTTAATATTTAAAATACCACCAGACCATCAGTTGCTACTTGATCCAACCAAGGTCTGTACCTATCTGTCTTTAATATTTAAAATACCACCAGACCATCAGTTGCTACTTGATCCAACCAATATCTGTACCTATCTGTCTTTAATATGTAAAATACCACCAGACCATCAGTTGCTACTTGATCCAACCAAGGTCTGTACCTATCTGTCTTTAATATTTAAAATACCACCAGACCATCAGTTGCTACTTGATCCAGCCAAGGTCTGTACCTATCTGTCTTTAATATCTAAAAATACCACTAGACCATCAGTTGCTACTTGATCCAGCCAAGGTCTGTACCTATCTGTCTTGAATATTTAAAATACCACCAGACCATCAGTTGCTACTTGATCCAGCCATTGGGTGTACCTATCTGTCTTTTAAATCTAAAACAAAAACACTAGACCATCTGTTGCTACTAGATCCAACCAAGGTCTGTACCTATCTGTCTTTAATATTTAAAATACCACTAGACAATCAGTTGCTACTTGATCCAACCAAGGTCTGTACCTATCTGTCTTTAATATTTAAAATACCACCAGACCATCAGTTGCTACTTGATCCAGCCAAGGTCTGTACCTATCTGTCTTTAATATTTAAAATACCACCAGGCCATCAGTTGCTACTTAATCCAACCAAGGGGTGTACCTATCTGTCTTTAAAATCTAAAACAAAAACACTAGACCATCTGTTGCTACTTGATCCAACCAAGGTCTGTACCTATCTGTCTTTAAAATCTAAAACAAAAACACTAGACCATCAGTTGCTACTTGATCCAACCAAGGTCTGTACCTATCTGTCTTTAAAATCTAAAACAAAAACACTAGACCATCTGTTGCTACTTGATCCAACCAAGGGTTGTGTGCCCATCTGTCGTTAATATTGAAACCCAAGACCATCAGTTGCTACTTTAGCCAACCAAGATCTGGATCCATAGCCATAGGATTTGATATGTTGACGGTTACTTCCTACATTGTTGGAACTTGAAGCGGATTGGAAGGTTACTGGTTCTTAAAGGAGAACATTCAAAAATATTTTGTTCGTTGATTATGATTTATTCATAATACATTCGAATAAATATAGTACATCTTCCTGTGGCAAGAGAGTTAACTGACTATAAAAGTCCAGTTTCCACCCTTGCCGAACTAGGCTGGTATTATGGAGTTACATTTTGGCTGGACTAACGAGTCTTTGCATAGTCCAATCGAAATCGCGCACCGAAATCGAAATCCGGTTCGTAAACTGTCGTGCAGATTTCGGTCGATTGCAGGATTTACAGAGCATGTGCACCGCCAACTCGTTGTCAGCAGATATTTTCCAAATCTGTTCATGTTTTTAATCAAGGTGCTCACGTGTTTTGATGCATGTCGCGATGTAAGACCCGTTTTATCACGATATAGAACTTGATTATCGATCAGATCGTCCTCACTGGGCGCCACCATTTTGTGTGAAGCAAACGCAAGTGATACGAGAGGTGGAATCTGATTGGTCCATAGGAGAGACTTAGAAGTGACATAAGTGGCAACAGCCACTGGTGGCGCTACGATCGAGCCCAGGAATTCCAGCCTAGTTCGGCAAGATTAGCCTAGTTCGGCAAGGGTGGAAACTGGACTTTTAAAGTCAGTTAACTCTCTTGCCTCGGGAAGATGAATATAGTATTCCGAAGTCTTAATCTTCCAATCACGATAATACAATGTCAGTGTGCCAGGACCATGTAATAGTGTTGCTTCTGGTCCTGGTTCTCCAGGTACTTTGGAATTGATCACTGGTTAGTAAGTTTCCACATTGTATTGCTTACAGTTTAAATTAGAGTGGTCCATAGAAGAACTAATGCAGGATTACTGCATTTAGCGACATCAAACTAATCAAACTATATGACAAGAGAGTTGACTTCAGCCTTTAGCCTCTAGCCTTTGGGGGGAAATCGACCATGCTCTTTCTTCCAAGTTTTTAAAGAGCGTCAGGTAGAAAGGGTTCAAGCAATCAATAACTCAGTAAAGTTCTCGAGAACATTTATTGCAAACATGTTGAGATCAGTTCCAAAACTGACCAAAATGACATCCGATGCAATTCCCTAGTTTGACTTGTTCCATATGATCTCGTTTTTGGTCAGGTGAATATTTGCCTTGACACCGGTGGGGCAGGATACGCGAACACCTGGTGCCATGACTGATTGACAGTGATTCATCAACACATCATTATGGGATAGTCGGAATCGTTTTCAGAACACATCTCTTATTCGTGAGATATTGTACTCTTTCCTGGGAACTAAACTGATTCATTCTAATTACCACTCGGTATTCAACGACCATTTATTCATTTCTAAAGTTGCGCCGGAACCAAGATTGGTCAGGTTAATACTCCGGCTCATTACTGAAGAGTCCGCTTCAGACAGTGATCACGTGACAAACGATGCGGCAAAATAGCTACTATCAAAGGTATCACATAGGGATCTAGATATGTACCCACAGTTTCATAGTTCATGGTGACATCTTGATAAACATATGGCGTCTACATTCCCAGACCTCTATCTGGTTAATGACGAAGAATGGGGTCAAGTGCTATGTTACAGAATGGAGTCGATTTGCCAAAATAGCGTGTCCTGGGTCATGTGATTATCAACAGTTAGATATCGCGGACAGGAATATGAAGTATCACCATTGGTATTCATTGAGATAATCCGTGTTTCACGTACCAACACACACGATTCCGTCGCCCACATCACCTGCTTGACACTGGCAGCTGAATGATCCGGCGGTGTTTGTGCACTGTGCATCTGCATGGCAATTGTCCGTACCTGCCGTACATTCGTTGACATCTACAAGAGAATGTGAATAGTTTACCAGACCGCCGTCATGCAGATGGTATATGGCTGAGTGCGGCGTTAAACAGCTAACAATCACACAAACAAACAAACAAACTTTGATAACAATAGATCATGGCCCATGCCTCACACAATGAGCAAACTGTATTACCATAGTCGCAATAGATCTTATCTTTACCACACATATTTTACCAACTCATTAAGATAACCAGACTTCCTTGGTCACAGTAGGTCAGTAGGTTGCTTCCTTCGCAAACCGTGATAACTGTATTACCTTGGCAACACCAGATCCTGGCAATCCTTTTCCCCACTGGAATAAGCGTATTACCTTGGCAACAATAGCACCTGGTCCATCCGTCATACAATAGGCAACACCAGTTCCTGGCAATCCTTTTCCCCACTGGAATAAGCGTATTACCTTGGCAACAATAGCACCTGGTCCATCCTTCATACAATAGGCAACACCAGTTCCTGGCAATGCTTTACCCACTGGAATAAGCGTATTACCTTGGCAACAATAGCATCTGGTCCATCCTTCATACAATAGGCAACACCAGTTCCTGGCAATGCTTTACCCACTGGAATAAGCGTATTACCTTGGTCACAATAGTCCCCGGACCATTCAGTAGGGCACTGGCAAGTCACAGCCTCGGGGCCGTTCAGGAAGCACGAACCCTCGTTGCAGGGGTTAGGGTTGCATCTGTCTATGGTTGGGTCTGTATACAGAAAGCGAACCTTGTAATCATACCAACCAATTGTCAAATACAAATGTAGAATAAATATCGTTAAATGCTGTTCACAGAACGAATAATTCTGTTACCCACATTTCAGAATGGCTTCCCACCACGAACTAATGCCTTCTTTGGCGTTGTAGGGAATACGTGTATTCATGTTCATCCTCCTCTCTCTTGACTTTTCATGAGGTAAATATATCATTATCCTGTCACTACTAAAATATTAGAATTATAACTACATCGGGAATAGAGTAATAATTGAAAATCCATGCATAAATGCATATATAAATATAAGAGATATAATTCGGAGATAAACGTACTGTTTTAAATTTTGAGTTGCTTTATTATTGATTAAACACCGCTGAATGTTATTAACATCATCATTGATTGGATTGTTAGTGTAAGTATTCTGCATCGCGTGAGTGTAGGTTACTGTTATAACATTGTGATGAGTGATGTAGTGATTGGTTTGTTAGTGTAAGTATTCTGCATCGCGTGAGTGTAGGTTACTGTTATAACATTGGAAAGAGTGATGTAGTGATTGATTGTTAGTGTAAGTATTCTGCATCGCGTGAGTGTAGGTTACTGTTATAACATTGTGATGAGTGATGTAGTGATTGATTGTTAGTGTAAGTATTCTGCATCGCGTGAGTGTAGGTTACTGTTATAACATTGTGATGAGTGATGTAGTGATTGGGGCAGTTGGCATGTCACTTATGCCTGATGAAACAAACATGTGAGTACATTCAGAGAAAGTGTCGTTTGTGGTTTTTTGTGAGAGACTAAATTATGACTGGAGATGACACAACAAATGGGTGCATATTATTCCTACGCGATGTAACGCGGCCCTAAAATCACATTAACCACTTACGGTTAGATTTGTTTGTTGGTTGGTTAAGGCCACAATATGAAACTATATGACGGCGGTTGATTATCTGATCATGAGCATCTATCTTCGCAATTGGGATAGATGACATGCATCAACAAAGTCAGCGAGTCTGACCACCTGACAAACATTGATAGCTGAAAACCGATACTAACCCGGATCTTCACGGGTTTAAATTTTGTAACAGTAACCAATAAAATTAGATCATCCTTCAATGCCATGGAAGAATATACAGCAATCTACGAATATCTGTTACTGGCACGACCGTCAGCTCGAGAACATCTGTGGTACTGTTTCCTATTTGACAACCACTATGAATGATAAGTGAACTGCAGGTATATCAGCGTTCCTTTGAAATCATGACGTCAGCTCCGTGCTCATCTTACCCTGACAATGTGAAGGCAAATACAAAATATGTAGATGTAGAAATCTCTTATCCTTTTCCTGTGTGTCTGTCTGACACGTGTTTAATCAATCTAAGGGCTATGTCATATACAAATTAAAAATATGTGCTTGTTAAGATGCCTTACCAAATTGACAAACGGATGAGCTGTCTCTAGTCCATCCAGGAGGACATTCGCAAGAGTAAAATGAAGCCGTATCAACACATCGCTCACCAACTGCACAGGGATTTGATAAGCATTCGTTCGTCTCTGAAATAACATAAGCAGTGTTAAGAATATAGCATGATATAAAGTGGAAGTTTATTCAATTGTGTTCAAACTTTGCTTTAAAACAGTAAAAAGTACATACTGAACAAAACAATTGGGGATCATGAATATTTTTAAGATATATTTTGTACTGAAAACAAGCAGTTTCATATTTCACGTATAACAATATGTTATGATCTAAAACTTCTTTGATAATTCTATTATAGCTATACTTGTATCATAAATGAAAAATTAATATGTCCATTAACATAATCTATGGTGATCTGCATTCACACACTAAGAGCATATATAAACATGCTAAATGTTGAACCCTTAAGTGAGCCATACTACATGTCAACGATGCTTTGAAATATCTTAGTATATATGGTTTTATTATATTTTAGTAATTCATTTCCTCCTCGCAAGTGACCGGTGTTATGCTAGACGGGGGCACGGGTGGCCCAGTCGTCTAAGGCGCCGCGATTCGCTGTGCAGAGTTGCGTCCCTATGCACGCCAGAAGCCTATGATTTTGGGTTCGAATCCTGGTTCGTCCTGATTATGTTTCTAGGTTTGTCAGCACCATATCCGTGCATATTCCTCCCAAATTAAGCTGATACGCCGCGATATAACTGAAATACTGTTAAAAGCGACGTTAAACCCAACTCACTCACTCACTCACTGTTATGTTTATTGGATAAGTTTTACCTTCGTCGTCATCCACGATGGTTACCGTGGTTGAACCTGACTGTTCACTTCCCAAACTGAAGGTGACACCAAAGATCTGATCCGCTCTCACAAACTAATGAACAGAAATACATTAATTTATGGTAAAGGCATGGTAACTGTAACCTTTTCTTGTGGAGAATTATCTTTGACAATTCGAATAACAATTATTACACTTTTCTCAAACCAAACATCCTTTTGGTTTGGTATGGTATGGTTTTACGCCGCTTTTACAAGTATTTCAGCAATATCTCGGCGGGGGAAACCAGAAATGGGCTTCACTCATTCTACCCATGTCCAGAATTTAACCCGGGTCTTCGGCGTGACAAGCGAACGCTTTAACCACAAGGCTACCTAAGTTGTAGACACATTTGTATCTTACATCGATAAAGTGCCGTGCTACGAAAAGTTATATTTGACAGCTTTATATACACTGTAAGCGAACAAAATAATGCCTAATATCTGAACGACATGAGAGCATATATTAGAATTGAATATTGCAATCTCAGAAAAGAACCAAATCTATTCTGTCAAAAAATTTGATTTTTCAACTTTACCCCACTATCCCACATGCCAAACTAAAGGAAAACATTCCTTGATCCATGGGGCCTTTGTTACAAAACGTCGTGAACACAGATACAGTTACGTATCTATATTCTTAGGTTTAGGACAATTTGTGAAAAATGAAAGCAAATGCCATCTGAAGTTTACCGAGAAAACAATATGTGAAAGGCTGGGCTTCCTCATTGATAACATCTACGTACAATTTTAGGGTAAGACATTTAGGAAAGAAGTAGGCATCCCAATGGGCATCAGTTGTGCTCCCCTTCTTGCGGATCTGTTTCTTTTATGATATGAATCTGTTCTGTTCGGATTGGCAAAGTAAAAACGAGGTCATTTGGCCAAGAAGTTAAGCTTCAGGTACATCGATGATCTGATATCGCTCAAGAACAAATAGCCAATTCCCTTCCACTGATTTACCCACCTGAACTAGAAATAAAGGAGACCAGTGAGACCGCCTCATCTGTTTCATATTTAGATCTATGCATAAAGATTCAGAGTGACAAAACACTCTCCACAAGACTGCATGAAAAGAGGGATGACTTCAACTTTCTAATAGTCAACTTTCCCTTCATGTCGAGCAATATTCCAGCAGCTCCAAGTGTTGGCGTTCACATTTCGCAACAATCGAGCATGCTCTATCTACCAAGATTTCAAAGAGCGTCATACGACTCTTGCTCAGACGTTGTTTGATCAAGGTTACAACATGCTAGGCCTCAGTAACGCTTTCTAAACGTCGACATGTGATATAAATAAGTCGGACTTGTACACTCGACTCTGCTTTATGTAGAGATTTCTATTGGAAATGGACAGGGTTTTGTCGCTTTTTTTATGTGAGTGATGTATGCTGTTTTAGAAACGTATTATGGGAACGTACACTTTATCGGGGCCAACACTGTACAGTCACAGCCTGCCGTTTCAATTAGACCGACGTAAATGTCCGAACTTAAAGTTGGTTTCAGTTTTATTCTACGTACCTAGTTTTCATAGGTCCTTGGTGGGATGGTGACACTTTGGATACCGAAAAGCGGAACTTACCGAAGGGATGGGAGTCGCCATTTTTTGTTTACAAATTGACAAGTAAATATCACGTGATATTGATACATGAAAATAGAGCATGTCTTATTTCGTCACGCCCGACAAGTTGCATACGTCAAAAGTTGGCCCGACTTGCATTATCACACGATGCAATGTGTTGCATGCAACAAATTGTATACAACTTGTTGTAACGTGTGAATGCCTCTTAAGAATAATAAGCTGGAGTCACGTAAATGATGCTACTTTATAAACATTATTGAATCTCGTCTATATCTATCAATATTTTTTCAATGTTATCGTTAAGAACCAGTTTCGCACGTTTATGTGTATGGCCATACGACTTTTGATCATCATAAATTGAAAAAAAAGGTTTTTTTCACGAGTTCCATTGTATTTCATTGAAGTGTTTGTCCGTCCATAAGCACAGGAGCTCACTCACTCTACGTCTGTCGAAGGTGAGGGTTATCTTCATCAAATCATAACAGTACCCGACGTCCGATTAATAACAGTGTCATATTAATCTGTTTAATAAGGGTTTCGCTTAAACCTTCGGAGAAGTTGTCATTTGAATACAACAATTTCCAGCAGACTCGAAATATGGTAGTGTACAAGCAATGTACATGTTCTAAGGGAGTGGTCATTTATTGTAGGGAGGGGCGCCGGTGAGACAAAGGGTTGGATGGGGTGATAAAAACTGACACAGCGAAAGTTGGGGGGGCGCCAAAATCTATCACAACTATAAGGAGTTCAACTTTTTAAAATAAAATGTTTATATATTGGGTGAAAATATGTTTAAAGTTTTAAAAATATTATAAAGTCCTAAGTGCAATCTCACTCGCCCCCACAGCCCCCACAACACACTCACACATTCACCCACCCCCATAACGTATGACAAGTCCCTAAGAGACATCAATGGAATAGATATGCTACAATACGTCCTTACCGAATCGTCGACAATTCCTATTGTAAATGATTTGGAAGTTTCCCCGTTTATGAAATCCAATGTGTTTCCATGTATGTTTTCGTAGTCAATAGCAGGTGATGCAGTATCGCCCAACTGGGGCAGGCTGAGGACAAGGCTAGCGCTGCCATCATGGCCTCCGGTCCGGGTGACCTTGACAGTGACTGTGCCAGCGTTCTCATCAACACTGTACGTTTCCGATTCGAACTGGAATGTCCCCTTGTCTATAAAATAAGTTATAATTATGAATGTGCATATACATGAAGCATATAAACAAATCGTGCAGAATTATGTCACTTATTAGGTAAAGGATTGTACCCATGTGGAGAATCGAACCCGGGTCTTCGGCGTGACGAGCCAATGCTTTAACCACAAGGCTACCACCCCCCCCCCCCCCCCCCCCACACCCCCACACCCCCCCCCCCCCCCCCACCCACCCCCACCACCCCACACACACACACAGGACAAGAATAACATCGAGGCGAAATGGATATCGCAACAGCTGATCAATGCTCAGTGAAGGAACTACATTTGTACAGGGAATTGCGGTGCTTTAGTGCCATCGACAACGATGCTACCCTTCTGTTCTATAGGCTCATTCAGTTCACGTATAAACATACATTATGGTGTTAATATCTGTGGAAAAGGAGCAGACCACAAAAGCGGATCTTCCCACTTTTGCTGACTATTGTTTAACAGATAGGTCTGGCGTGCTTTATACCAAAACAATTGGGGATTAGGTGGTCATCTCAAGTAGTATCTGTGTTTCTATATTCCTCTATTTCTGGTGTTATTTTTGTATTCTGCACGGTGATGTCTCAAAACATTACTTGTATCTTCATATTGGTGAGGGAGGGAGTACAGTTTTACGCCGCTTGTAGCAATATTCAAGCACTATTACGGCGGAAGACACCGGAAAAGGACTTCACACATGATGGGGAATCGAACCCGGTCTACGGCGTGACGAGCAAACGCTCGAACCACTAGGCTACTACATCTCCCCTTATCTTCATATTACTGTATATTGAGCACTGTACTCTGTAACGTATTACATACTGCATGTCTGTATCCAGTTCTGGTATTTGCGTTTCGGTCTTTTGAGAACGTAAGGTGATGTTTTCGTCAGTTTTTCCAATAATGTTTACTCATGTCTGATTAATAAAATGTGATCATTTTTATTTGGTCTATAGCTAATGTTTTTCAAATGTACATCCATCCAGTTATTAAAACTGACAATGTTTTTTTCTATATTTAGTGCTGTCGTTTTAAGATGGTGACTTATGCTGTATATGACCACAGATATTTTACAAGCAAGTGACATTTGTAACACATGTTATATTTGGGATAACACATTCTTAGCAAAGTACAGATTCTAATACTTTTTTGGGTTGAGTCCCATCCGGGATTCGAACCCACACTGCCATCGTCAGGCACCTAACCGACAGCACACAAAGTCAGCGATCTCACCCACTCAGCCACCGAGGCATTTGACCACATTCTAAAATGGCATTGTGTTCAAAGTTACATTTGGTGCGGAACTGGTAGTGGTGTGTTTAGCTTCATGTGCTCGGAAAAGGAGCTAAGCTGGTCATTTTTTGGTTTTATTGCTGCTTTAAGGCCAGACTGTGCACATATTTATTGGAAATAGCTGTTGAATGCTTAGTTATTTTTTTAAATATAACGTTACTATAGAAGTCTATGAGAAAACAGTTGGTTGTGTGTAACCTGTGGATAACAGATTGCTAGGGAAGGACCGTTAGACGTTAGACTAGTCCCGAGTGCTGCTGTGTGCGCACATACATATCTGCGATGTAACCCAATACACGGCATTGACGCAAGACATCATTGTGTCATAGGTGCATTATTCCGATCTATTGTATACACTGGCACTGAGTGAGTGAGTGAGTTGGGTTTAACGCCGCTTTTAACATTATCCCAGTTATATCGCGGCGTGTCAGCTTAATGTGGGAGGAAAGCCCGAAGTGATGCAGGTCCCAGACGTTTATCACTTCGGTGAAACCCACGAGCACGGGTATGGTGCTGACAAACCTAGAAACATAATTTGGGCGAACCGGGATTCGAACCCACAATCATAGGTTTCTGGCGTGCCCAAGGGACGCAACTCTGCACAGCGAATCGCGGCGCCTTAGACGACTGGGCCACCGCGCCCCCACTGGCACTGAGGAGATAAAAACGGTTTATTGAAGTGAATGCTATAAACAACTCACTATATTCACAGTACGTCCCGAACTGTTTCGCCGGACAGCTGCTGCACACGTCGGCTGGAGATTCTGCACAGGTGCCGCCATTGCAGGGGGCGGAGCTACATCTGAGGCCGGCTGAAAATAAATCAATAACAAAAATTATAATCATAATTCAAAAAGTCTGCGGTGTTGTTGTTGATGTTGCCACAGGCGTCTCAACAGGAAACATAATAACATCGTTTACTTCCACCGCTACTGCGTCTATTATGATTCATAAGTGTTGAACCCGTGAAGATTGTGGTCAGGCTAGCCTATTTGGTTGATTCACGTCATTGTATCAAATTGCCTAGATCGATGCTCATGATATCAGTCACTGGATTGTCTGGCCCCGACTCGAATATTTACAGACTGCCGTGATATTTCTGGTATATTGCTGAGTGCGGCGTTACACAAAAAAAATAATTAAAAAAATAAACAAACATATCTTTGGAAGAAGAATGACTATTGTGTAAGGTTCATCACCTTTTACACATTAAATATACAACCCACCTCTCCTTTGTCTAAATAGAATGTGATGTTTATAACTCAAGTTTCTAAAGCCAATTTATGAATGTTGTAATACCATCAAGTATGATGCACCATAGTGCTGCACATCGTATATAGACATCTGTGCGTCTTCCTGTCAGAGTGAGTCAGTGTGGTTTTACCCCGCTTTTGGCATATTCCAGCAATATCACGGTGGGGGACACCAGAAATGGGCTTCACACATTGTACCCATGTCGGGAATCGAACCCGGCGTGACGAGCGAACGCTTTAACCACTAGGCTACCCGACCACCCGTCCTGTCAGAACCAGCGTGTAAGTATCGAAAAGAGTATGCTTCCCACAAAAATGAAAAATTTAGAAAAGAGAAATCTTATAAATCTAAACTGTATGTATATTATGACGCCTTTTCGAAGTGAAGGCGTCATAATTAACGAGTCATTGTTCATATCGGTAATGTTCCAAGAGGCAGAGTATCCGAATGAACTGAGTGTTGCTATGTTATTGTATCACTGTACTACTCAGCCGAAGTTAAAGAACAGCCGGTTAGTCATATCGTTTGTTTGTTTGTTTGTTGTTTAACGCCGCACTCAGCAATATTCCAGCTATATGACGGCGGTCTGTAAAATAATCGAGTCTGGACAATCCAGTGATTTATATCATGAGCATCGATCCACGCAATTGGGATCGATGACATGCATCAACCAAGTCAGCGAGCCTGACCACCCGATTCCGTTAGTCGCGTCTTACGACAAGCATAGTCGCCTTTTACGGCAAGGATGGGTTGCTGAAGACCTATTCCACCCCGGAATCGTTAGTCATATCACTACAAGTAATCTGTCTGGTTTGTATTGCAACAATCAGGTTTTCTAATGGTGGCCATTCCTTGACTTGTTTTAAGTTGTATGCTTTACCACAAACAGGAATGATCGAGAAAAAACTTCCTAAACGCAAAGAATTTCACATAATAACTGACACCTCTCCCACGCGATCGCTTTCGATAACGCATGAGCATAGAACTGATCTGACGTTGATGTCGGTTGGGGTCTTTCGTTTTTTGACAATAGCAGCAAAGTCCTGCTTGTATGGTGTTATTTCCATGATGACTTGGAAGAGCCACATACAGGGCCCAGGCGTGAAGACTCAAATACAAGTTTCGGAAGTTGAAATTTGCTATTCGGGTAAAGAAAATGGCGATGAATGAGTGAGTTGGATTTTATGCCACTTTTATCGTTATACAATACGGATCACGACGTGGCCACAAAGAATGGACTTCATACGATGTAACCATAAAGAGAATAGAACCCGGTCAATTGACGGGAAGAGCCAACGTTCTAGCCATTAGGCTACCTCAACGCCCCACATGTCGAGCTGTCCTGACTCATCTAAAGGTAGACGGAGTGAGGTAAACAACTCCAGATACGTCCAGGCAGCTGCGCCCGTCAACAAATCATTATTATATTTATACATTCTAACTGTTGCACGTACCGGCTGTACACGTGGGGTATGTGCCTGTGAAGCCGGGTCCACATGAGCAGGTGAAGCTCCCATCGGTGTTGGTGCAAACGTAATCACCACAGGTATGTGCGCCGGTGATACACTCGTTGATATCTGAAACACGGAAAAGTCGTTATAATACAGACTATACACTGTGACAGGAATCCTGGGTACAAGCATAGTGTTACACACACGTACGCAGAACAACATCCACACACCTGCCTGAAGCGGACATAATAGTTCCGAGTGCAAAACACGGACCTTCCGAACCGAGGTCGGACGCATGACCAAAGTGGTTAACATCTTCAGCAAGCTGACATGGTAAGAATGTCACATGTGGGATGAATCCATGCCCTGCTGCATACTCGCACGCACACGCGCACACACACACACACACACACACACACACACACACACACACACACACACACACACACACACACACACACACACACACACACACACACACACACACACACACACACACACACACTCCCCCAATATGAAAAATTAGGTCCTTACAATTTCAAGGTATTCATTTCATATCACTTAAACAAATATGTCCCTGCATAATAGTGGTTCATTCAATCCCAAACTATTTCCCAAACATATTCCAAAATGTGTAATGGTTACTAACTCATCATATGCATGCTTATTACATATCACAAGTTCCTGTTAAGATTTAAAATGGACTGCATGGCTGATCAAACACTTCAGGGCACAAACAGGCGGACAAAGTGATTAATGTTAAATTCCTCTGAATGTACCATACCTTCAGTACACCTCCTAGTTGATATATGCTACTCAAAAGAAGTTAAAGAACACACGATTCGTTCGTAATTTGAATTAATCGTCTTTTTAACTTTTTTAAAAGAGTATACACAGTGCAGAGACTTCCTGACCAAACTATTACCTACAGATTTCGGTTAGACAGTGGCCGCAGGGTCACGTATCAATTAAGGGTAGTTTCAATCACATCTTCCCGAGGCAAGGCAAGGGAGTTAACTGACTGTAGAAGTCCAGTCCTTGCCGAACTAGGCTGGAATATCTGGTCTGAATCGTAGCGCCACCAGTGGCTATTACGAGTTATGTCCCTTCTATGTCCCTCCTACTGACCAATCATAACCCTCCATAATTCCAGCCTAGTTCGGCAAGGGTGGAAACTGAACTTTTACAGTCAGTTAACTCCCTTGCCTTGAGAGGATGATCAACCAACGTTGCTGCAACACTGGCTTACCTTGAGTTGCAAACGTTGAGAACTCCGTGAAATGGGACGTCTTTATAGCAATCATGTCCAGTTCACACACTGGGGGTAGTGTCGCCATGAGCGTCACCCCAGTTGTCTCCCATTGGTTAGAGGTGTGGTCAAAATACATGGGCGTGATCTCATATCCTGGGAGGTTCTGCGTCTTTGGTAGACAGATGACTGCCTCTTCAGTCAGGCTGGATATGCTGTCCTCCACACCTGTAACAGAAATATGTCACAAAATACACAATGTGCATAGAGGATATAAAGTTTATTCCAAAAACAAGATATTTCATATCTCAAAAAACAAACGTGATAACCCTTTGATGCCCTATTCTGAAATTCGAACCAGTATTCAAATCTCTCACAAACGGTAACAAATGATTTTTTTCCAGGAATGTTCGCAAAAAGCACTTCACCCTAAAGATACTGACTTCCAAATGAATATTTTCATTATTTGAGCTGATTAGTAGAAGACGTCAACGGATACCGTATTTATCCTTTATCCTGCCCGAAAACCCTACCCATCAGACGTTTAATTCAGTGTATTCAGTTTTGACGGATTCTTGTCTCAGAGGTTTGTATTATTGCTCATCACGAAGAACAAAAACATTGATTCAACATTGATACAGCTGCACCTATGTCACCATACCCGTGGTGCTGTCGTACACAGACACTGAGAAGATGCTGCTGGTCCTTTTGTCCGCCATATCCCCAGGGGAAAGATTGTCCACTTCCTCAGCATAAGTTACCAGCTTTAGCGTGACGCTACCAGGAAACCTTTCATACGGAAATAATACAGTGTTATTGGGGCGTGAGGGTGCGAGGAAAGCAACAAGTGATGTATGTTTTAGACGTTTGAAACTAGGGCAAAGGGGGCTTGTGGTTAAAGCGTTCACCCCCCATGTTCGATTCCCTAAATGGGTACAAAGTGTGAAGCTCATTTACAGCGGTAGAAACAGTTTTCGTCCACTTGTCCTTATAATGATAACAAATAACAAAACCCTTGTTCTGCTGGTTTTTATGATACCTTAACTTTTGGCCAGTTTGGCCAGGACTAAATGATTAGTGGCAATTTCTAACGCTGATTTATTGTGTTCCCCGTCGTGATAGTGTTGGAATATTGCCAAAAGCGACGAAAAATACAACTCACTCACTCACTCACTCACTCACTCACTCACTCACTCACTAACACCTTATTACTAGTCATGTAATAGTCGTTAGGATTACATCATCACTGACCTCCACTGTGACACATGTGTCTGTTTAGAATGTTAATGATTACATGATTGTGGGGGGTACCTTGTAGTGAAGGACTGGCCGGGCATCAGCTTCACGTCATTGGTTCCGTCTTTTCCCGAGATAACGGCCACACTCGCAGAGACCTTGGCAGTCTTCACGTCTTTGTCAGGGAATGTGTTCACCACTTCATCGCCAAGATTTAGGCCGCTGTTCAACCCCATTTCTAACGCTTTCCCAAGGGCAGTGATCGCACCTTCAGTAACAACACCGTCCGCCTTAGCCTCACTCACCAACACGGCCATCTTCTGGGGTAGCTGACTCGGCAACCGTTCATCTTCAGAAATTAAAATCTCAACAAGTCCCCCCATGTACTCAACAAACTTCTGCTTGTCTCCAGTTGCTAGGTCTGAATACTGCAATGCGTCGAGAGAAGTCAGCACCATTCGTACACTTGCGAGGTCTATGCCTTCGTCCTTGGTGCTGATGATGTTAGCCGCAGCGTCCAAGATCACCTGGATGAGGTCAGTGTCAACGCTCCTCTTTCGGCGGGTTGCTGTGTCTTCAGACGTGAATCCTGTCAACACTGTCGCCGCCAGTGACGCGGCGTCGTCTTTCGATCCTGGAATAAACCATTTAAAGGACAGTTTTACTCACAAGCAGTATACTCGGAGTACCAAATATCCACCGAAAAGTGTTTTTTTCATATTATGAGCAACGTTCCGGGCTAGGAACCAATCAGATTATTCGAACCATTAGGTCACCTATTAAGACTACCTTTTTAGTTCCTTAGCACCAATAACCCAGTATTCCAGCAGGTGCCAGAAAGTGGTCTCATTACTGCATATTATACACGTATAGGATCTCATGACGAAACACCCCAGAGCCTACCAACCCACAATAATTTATATGGAGTCAATACGGTTCATACTAAAAGCCCTGATACACTGTTTGAACGGAAATGCAAATGCAAAGAAGAGGCGTTAGCAAGATGATATAAACAAAACTATTTTCGTCCGAGGTGTCTTGTTTTACATCAGGACAAGTTGTCGACCGATCTCGAGGGGTATATGCTGTGATGGACCCCATGTGTAAGTCTTTGTACCCTAGGACGTCAGTGTACATCACATCGACTGAATAAAACGCTTTGATTCAGCCATTTTGACAGCTGGCAGATAACGCAAACATCGAGTTACCTCCCTTACCCAACGCATTCACATAAACATCGGTTCATTTCAGCTCAGCTCGATTAAGCGAGATAAGCAAGTTAGCGAAGGTGTGTTCCGATTGATTTTTCAGGGGGTATATGAGTGGAGTACACTACCGGTTACAATATTTCTTACTGAAATACATGTAGACTGTCTCACCGGCTTTGAGTTGGTCCTGCACCTCCTCTTCCAGGTCCAGCTTGGCTGCTGCCTTGCCCTCTGCACTCACAGGCTGAACAGTCACGGTCTTGTGGAACAGCTCCCACTCTCCCGTTTCCACGCCACTCACCTTGAAAGGAAGAAGGAAAGATGGTTTTAACACAAGACACAGTCGAGACCAACGGGCACCTATGCAATCTGAACACCTCCCATAATTAAGTACAATCAAATGTCGTTCATTGTATTACAGTGCATAAGCGTGAAGGTGGGTCTGACTGATGATGATGATGATGATGATGATGATGATGATGATGATGATGATGATGATCTCTCAGCTGAGATATGAACATGTTCAAAAGTTGGAGTTGGGGTTTAATGCTAGCAGTGTTTGTTCTACAATTCATGGGAGGCAACGCAGAAAGATTTCTTTCCCAAATAAAATTTTCACGATTTAATAAAACAGACATTTGCACCATATAATGCCTTATTACCTTGACTGCAAAGTTGATTCCGTATCCAGTGGTTGCTACGGGACCAGGAAGCTCGATTCTCTTGCCGTTGTTAATGAACGTCAAGTCACTGTCGCCAGGTCCCGTGTTGTAGAAGTACTGGTATGTGAGAGCTTCAATACTCTCGCAGTTCTCAGTGTCAAGGAATATCTGGGGAGAAAACATCAAATATTGCTGAATGTTTTTTGGGATTTTTCAGGTTTCTACTTTTACACCTAAACAATTAGACATTTGTTCTTGATAGGAGATACATTTTTCGTATACAAGCTTACTCCGGTACAGGCTAAACTTGCCTTCCAAGACACATGCAAATATCGTCGGTGAGTGAGTAAATCAATTGTGTGATATTACTGCAGTAGCCATCATTACAGGATTACCACCGCACCTTGTGTGACAAGTGTGACAACAGCGTGACAAGTGTGACAAGTGTGACAACAGCGTGACTTATTAAGTCAAATTAACAACCACGTGGCCCTGGGAGCTTTCATAGATGGTAATATTGGTTTGTTATTGGCTGCTTAACGCCACACTCAGCAATATTCAGCGGCCTGTAAATAATCGAGTCGACTAGATAAACCAGTGATTGTTAATATGAGGAAGCTCTTTCCCGCAACATGGATCGGGTAGTCAGACTCGCTGATGTGGCTGATGCATTTAATCGAATCGCATCCACATAGGTCGATGATGTCAATCACTGAATTGTCTGGTCCAGACCGATTATTCGATTACGTCCGCCGCCATATTGTAGGAATATTGCCGAGTGCTGCGTAGAACAAACAAACAAGAAAAAACAATGACAAGACTGGAGTAGGACCTTACCTTGCTGTATGCTGTGTAGTCGGCTGTTAGCAGCTCGCAGTTCCTAATACCGGCACTGACATTGATGTCGATAGCAGACCCGCTCTCCTGTTTGTCAGGGTAGATGACGTCGGCGACAATTCGGTACGTGGATCCAGGATTCAGTCTCCCTAAAACAAACACATCACATCACGTCACTACAAGGAATGATTTTAGCAAACTTCCAGCAACATCGCGGCGGGGGACACCAGGAATGGATTTCACACATTGTATTCACATGGGGAATTGAACCCGGGTCTTTGGCGTGACGAGCGATATCTTTAACCACTGGACTACCACACCGCCCAATACTACATGGAGTTGACCTACTTAAGTGTGTTTACACATTATTCAACCTTAAACAGTGACATCAAATTAACGTGTTTGATTCATGAACTGTTCACGAATTGGCAAAGGGTTAGTATCAATATGTAATTGGAGATATATTAAAGTAGATTGAAGGAGATGAACATCACGATGCGATACATTCATTTATGTACGATTGTGAAACTGGCTCCAAGGTCGGATCTCGTTTATTGACATGCACGTTTGTGACACATGCTTTTTCTCGTGGAGAAATTCCCTATACATACACAGACTTTCATATATTTCAACCATATCCGTGTAGCGCATGCCATTTATTGAACGAATGATATGTTAACTCAGCGCATGAAGCAGAAATATTATATCTTGGAATTTGCACTATTACTGGTGATAAGAGTCAATGCACGTACGTAGCAATTAGTGTGTCAGTCTTTAAGATATCGCTCTTGGAAACAGAAAGGGTTTAGAAATTGAAATGACATAGCATTGCACTGGTCAATGTACAATTTTGCGTCAAATTATTACCTGATCTATCTGGGGAGTATACAGACAATATATAGACGTGATCTCCTTGGGGAGTATACAGACAGTTTATAGACGTGATCTCCCTGGGGAGTATACAGACAATATAGACGTGATCTCCCTGGGGAGTATACAGACAATATAGACGTGATCTCCCTGGGGAGTATACAGACAATATATAGACGTCATCTCCTTGGGGAGTATACAGACAATATATAGACGTGATCTCCCTGGGGAGTATACAGACAATATAGACGTGATCTCCCTGGGGAGTATACAGACAATATAGACGTGATCTCCCTGGGGAGTATACTGACAATATAGACGTGATCTCCCTGGGGAGTATACAGACAATATAGACGTGATCTCCCTGGGGAGTATACAGACAATATATAGACGTGATCTCCCTGGGGAGTATACAGACAATATATAGACGTGATCTCCTTGGGGAGTATACAGACAATATATAGACGTCATCTCCCTGGGGAGTATACAGACAATATAGACGTGATCTCCCTGGGGAGTATACAGACAATATAGACGTGATCTCCCTGGGGAGTATACAGACAATATAGACGTGATCTCCCTGGGGAGTATACAGACAATATAGACGTGATCTCCCTGGGGAGTATACAGACAATATAGACGTGATCTCCCTGGGGAGTATACAGACAATATAGACGTGATCTCCCTGGGGAGTATACAGACAATATAGACGTGATCTCCCTGGGGAGTATACAGACAATATAGACGTGATCTCCCTGGGGAGTATACAGACAATATAGACGTGATCTCCCTGGGGAGTATACAGACAATATAGACGTGGTCTCCCTGGGGAGTATACAGACAATATATAGACGTGATCTCCCTGGGGAGTATACAGACAATATAGACGTCATCTCCCTGGGGAGTATACAGACAATATAGACGTGATCTCCCTGGGGAGTACACAGACAATATAAAGACACAGACGTTGTAAGGATAAATGTACCTTTCTTTATCAGCAAACTGCTTTGGTAGAACTGGTTATTTTCTGATAAACCAGATCCACTCATAACGGCTGTGTCAGCACTCAGCGCGATATAGTCGAAACCTGAAACAAATAGACAACGTGTGATATCTTAATACTCTCCAGACTTTGTGCCTACAACTCCAGTTTAAAGTAACCTCAGATGTCCTGGGGATCCAATCAATGAATCCCGGGAACAGCCACGCTACATACTCTATATACGGCGTGAAACAACAAACAAACAAATTGTTTAGATGTTTAGGGCCGTTAATCTCCCAGTGTAATCCTCGAAAAGGACTAACACTGAAGGCGTCCAGATAGCCAAATGAAGTTATGTGTGTCAGAAGACCCCTAGTCATGCACACATCACATGACGTCACCTTCCCTATCCCTTCTCTCTCAACAAGGACTGTTAACCTGATTTTGCTGCAAGTCAATGAGTGAGTTCGATCCTGTGTGTTTTAGCAATATTTCAGCGGTCATGTACAAGACATGTATCATGCTGGGAATCGAACCAGGGTCTTCGCTGTGACGATCTCGGGCCTTAACCATCAGGCTACCAAACCGCCAAGAAGGTCATGACAGTATTCATGAAGAGTCGATACTTGCACGAGTTTCAACGGGAATGAAAGACGATTCAACTAAATAAGTGAAACTTGAGTCAACTACAACTACCTAGACATTGATGACTCTTAGTTGTACCAACGGAAATGGTATTTAACTGTAAGTGTGTACAACAGCGCCGCATGGTATATATTTAGTAATTATATGGCACTTTCATATCATATCCCTTGGGCTGAAGGCCAGAGGGCTGATGTGGGGATCTCGAGTTGATGTGGGGATCTCGGGTTGATATGGAGATCTCCGGTTGTTATGGGGATCTCGGAATGATGTGGGGATCTCGGGTTGATGTGGGGATCTCGGTTGATATGGGGATCTCGGGTTGATATAGGGATCTCGGGTTGATATGGAGATCTCGGTTGATGTGGGGATATCGGGTTGATATGGGGATCTCGGGTTGATATGGAGATCTCGGTTGATATGGGGATCTCGGAATGATGTGGGGATCTCGGGTTGATGTGGGGATCTCGGTTGATATGGGGATCTCGGGTTGATATAGGGATCTCGGGTTGATATGGAGATCTCGGTTGATGTGGGGATATCGGGTTGATATGGGGATCTCGGGTTGATATGGAGATCTCGGTTGATATGGGGATCTCGGGTTGATATGGGGATCTCGGGTTGATATGGGGATCTCGGGTTGATGTGGGGATCTCGGGTTGATGTGGGGATCTCGGGTTGATGTGGGGATCTCGAGTTGATGTGGGGATCTCGGGTTGATATGGGGATCTCGGGTTGATGTGGGGATCTCGAGTTGATGTGGGGATCTCGGGTTGATATGGGGATCTCGGGTTGATGTGGGGATCTCGAGTTGATGTGGGGATCTCGGGTTGATGTGGGGATCTCGGGTTGATGTGGGGATCTCGGGTTGATGTGGGGATCTCGGGTTGATATGGGGATCTCGAGTTGATGTGGGGATCTCGGGTTGATATGGGGATCTCGGGTTGGTGTGGGAATCTCAGGTTGATATGGGGATCTCGAGTTGATGTGTGGATCTCGGGTTGATATGGGGATCTCGGGTTGATGTGTGGATCTCGGGTTGATGTGGGGATCTCGGGTTGATGTGGGGATCTCGAGTTGATGTGGGGATCTCGGGTTGATGTGGGGATCTCGGGTTGATGTGGGGATCTCGGGTTGATGTGGGGATCCCGGGTTGATGTGGGGATCTCGGGTTGATATGGGGATCTCGGGTTGATGTGGGGATCTCGAGTTGATGTTGGGATCTCGGGTTGATCTCGGGTTGATATGGGGATCTCGGGTTGATGTGGGGATCTCGGGTTGATGTGGGGATCTCGGGTTGATATGGGGATCTCGGGTTGATGTGGGGATCTCGAGTTGATGTTGGGATCTCGGGTTGATCTCGGGTTGATGTGGGGATCTCGGGTTGATGTGGGGATCTCGGGTTGATGTGGGGATCTCGAGTTGATGTGGGGATCTCGGGTTGATCTCGGGTTGATGTGAGGATCTCGGGTTGATGAGGGGATCTCGGGTTGATGTGGGGATCTCGGGTTGATGTGGGGATCTCGGGTTGATATGGGGATCTCGGGTTGATATGGGGATCCCGGGTTGATGTGGGGATCTCGAGTTGATGTGGGGATCTCCGGTTGATCTCGGGTTGATGTGGGGATCTCGGGTTGATGTGGGGATCTCGGGTTGATGTGGGGATCTCGGGTTGATGTGGGGATCTCGGGTTAATATGGGGATCTCGGGTTGATGTGTGGATCTCGGGTTGATGTGGGGATCTCGGGTTGATGTGTGGATCTCGGGTTGATATGGGGATCTCGGGTTGATGTGGGGATCTCGGGTTGATATGGGGATCTCGGGTTGATGTGGGGATCTCGGGTTGATCTCGGGTTGATGTGGGGATCTCGGGTTGATGTGGGGATCTCGGGTTGATGTGGGGATCTCGAGTTGATGTGGGGATCTCGGGTTGATGTGGGGATCTCGGGTTGATATGGGGATCTCGGGTTGATGTGGGGATCTCGGGTTGATCTCGGGTTGATGTGGGGATCTCGGGTTGATGTGGGGATCTCGGGTTGATGTGGGGATCTCGAATTCATGTGGGGATCTCGGGTTGATATGGGGATCTCGGGTTGATGTGGGGATCTCGAGTTGATGTGGGGATCTCGGGTTGATCTCGGGTTGATGTGGGGATCTCGGGTTGATGTGGGGATCTCGGGTTGATGTTGGGATCTCGGGTTGATGTGGGGATCCCGGGTTGATGTGGGGATCTCGGGTTGATATGGGGATCCCCGGTTGATGTGGGGATCTCGGGTTGATATGGGGATCCCGGGTTGATGTGGGGATCTCGGGTTGATATGGGGATCCCGGGTTGATATGGGGATCTCGGGTTGATACAGGGATCTCGGGTTGATGTGGGAATCTCGGGTTGATGTGGGGTATATACCAGAACAACACATTGTAAAATGAATCTATTTGCATGTGACGGAGACGCAAGCCGAGCAGACGACGCACTAAGCGACGTAACTCCAATTTCTTAACACCCCGGCTGATATCGAGCGCCCACTAAAAATGCATTGACGAACCATATCATGCCTGCGGGGGATGTAATACGAGTCCGGTTGTTACATCCCCTGTGATATGACTGTCTATATAAAATGAAAAAAAGTGCATATCATTGATAGTGATATGATATGTATTATATATCGTACATCGTATATCAATTAACAGCCTATTCTCACCATCCTCATCAGCTGAGCTGGACCACTGAAAGACGACTGGTTCTGTGGTTTGACACCGTGCAACTACTAGTATGGCTTCTGATGCGGAATACAGGGTCTTGTCTGTGATCATCTTTACCTGAAGTGGAAAATTGGCTCCCATGTACACTTGATAACACAAGATCGTTGTTTTCAATGAAAATCATTGACCCAAGTTGGATATATAAAATTAATACTTATTTCTAATATCAATCCATGTATACTCACATCACAGATGTCGCCCTGTATAAACTCGACTGTGACAGACTGCCTGGCTGTTCTCCGACTCTCGCCGATGCCCTTTGTGGCGGTGTAGGTGAAGACGCACTTGCCGTCAGTCGCGAACGCTGCTGGGCTCAGAGTGAGTAAATCCTGCTCCACTTGGCCTGACATTCCATTGCACAGCCTGCTTGGTTCCTTGTGTGAGGTTAAACATAATATGAATAACGTAATCACTAACGTACGGAGTGCTTAGAATTAACAAGATACCTTCCCCATGACAACGATAAGCATACCACGCCCAGGGTAGGGGGGAATAGGGTTTAATGTCGCATTTAAAATTATTGCACTTACATAGTGACGCGCGCGCGTGTGTGTGTGTGTGTGAGGGGGGAGGGGGGGGGTGGTCTGTGTTGTGTCTGTGTCTGTGTGTGGGTCTCTGTGTCTTTGTGTGTGTGTATGTGTGTCTGTGTCTCTGTGTGGTGTCTATAGGCTGCTTGTTCTAATCCGCACTAATGCCATTGTTATAGTGCCAACAACACAGAGGCCCAATGCTGCAGGTATCATCGATTTATCTCTGAGACACAGTATCCTGACACCGAGTCGACCAGCTCTTGTTTTATCCCAAGTAATGCCAAGGCAGGGAAACAACAAGTACCATTGTTTACCATGTTTTTTGGTGAGACGCGGCCAGCGGATCGTACAATCGACTTTCCGATCTCCGGGCAGACGCTCTATCCACTAGGTCGGGAAGACAACGGTATAATCATGAAGAATACATGGGTCGGACACTGGATACCCAGATACTATTTTATCATAAAACTATTGCTTAATTTGTCAATCACTGAATATCTTCCAGTATGTTAGTGAAGGGGTGGGGGACTCCAGGATTAGATCGTGTCGTTCATGCCTTGCGGGTGGATAGTTTTGAGATCGATGACCTATTTTGGTTCAATGGATCGGCGTTTGGCCATGCTATGGTCCAACTCAAGGTCCGTTTGCAGCTGTTGTATGATTTGTTAATGTAGGTCTGTAGTAGAGTGTCGCACTGAACTGAAATGTTTAGCTACGGGTTTGTCCCTTAGAAGCTCTCCTACCTAATTATACTCAGTCCGATAGGCGTGTGTCTTTCAATTGAAATGGCATGTCAAAAGTATCCTGTTTATGTTACCTCTGAAAGTACACATGTCCATGTCCGGGTTATCTCCCCTTCTTCGGAGGTCGGATCATCAGGGTCCCTGGCTTCCCCCTCAAGCACCAGTCGGTCAGTGAAGGTGCCAACACTCCTTAGCCTACTGCCTGCAGGGAGAGGAACAATGGGTTCTTTCATCAGCACACCGTAAATTGTAGATGTACACACGTAGGCAACAGTGATACAGCCCTTTAACCTTCAACAAACATGATACCCACAAATACCTGTTTTCATATTACGTTACGAAAGCCCACACTGCTAATTCGATAATTAGGTCAGTGACTATGGGCCTTAAATTCAATGACTGATAAGATTAATACAACCGACTTGAGTTAGTTGATGTTATTCGCATAGCGCATCCATAGTGAGGGTTCCAGGGGGTCCGGATTCCCCCCCCCCCCCCCCTTTTTGAAAACCAAATGTAGAATGTTGTAGACAATGCCCCTACCCATCCACTGAGAGAGGATTTGGATATGTTTGAGCCCCATTATGTAATAGTTCTGCTATGTCGCGCGATCTATTTATTGTCGAACCGGGCCGGGTTCAAAACGGGTGGAAACAAATAAGACCACGCCATCAGGGCTCAGTGAATCGGGGTAACCATCTGGCCGTCTCATCTCCCTAATCCCCATGGAATTATCACAAACATGAGCGAGTGAGTGAGCTAGTGAGTTGGGTTTAACGACTCCTCGATCACTATTTCTGAGGTGACGGCGCGTCAGTTTGACGTCGGGGGAAGCCGGAAGTGAACACACGTTCGTTGTCTGCTGGGACTCCTAGGGGACGCAACTTGTCTCGTCATGCGTAAAAGGGACGGGACACTAGGGTACAGTGAAGAAACCAACCCTTGATTTGAGCTTCAAGATCAGACTGCACGACGTTCAGTGTGATGGAGGCTGTGGCGGAGACATCGGCGTCATTAGCTGATTCCACGGTCACAAAGAACGTTACTTCTCCCACTGAAACACAACATCACGATGACTTGAACGAGGGCCGTTTTCTTCTTTGTGAATTTATATTCACAATTATAAGAGACCTTGGTTTGATTTGCGTATCTTTTACACTTAACTCTAATCATCATTTTTCTCAGTATCCAGCAGAAACACGATTTGGTTCATGTTTGTTAAGTTAAAGTCCTAATGTTAAAAAAACTAAAAGTCAAGCAATACGGCACTAATCGACGCCCATTTTTAAGACTTTTGTAAAAACAACAAAAACAATTTACTCGATTGAGTTTATTCTGTAGCTCACCTGGAAGGTCAAAGGGGTTGACGAAGTACCGGGTCCTATTCGCAGTGTTCAGTGTCACAGCCGTGTTGGTGGACGACCACTGGATCACCTGGTTAACTTTTGGAGAACATGTTGCCAGCTTGATGCCAACACTCATTGTGAATCTGAAACAAACATGGGCTAACAAGTGAGCACGACCGGCATCCCGCTGACGTCCGCGCAACATTGAGAGAAATGATTTACATGATTGCGAATGTCATGCCTTTATCTGTGGGAGTTGGTTCTTGAACCGTGAAAGTTTATTTCGAATCCGTTCTTACTGATAAGTCTACTCTGAAGGCATTTGTGAATTTACTTAATTGTACTTAGTGAGTGAGTGGGTGAGCTAGTATGGTTTAACGCCGCTTTCAGCAACATTCCAGCAATGTCACGATGGGGGACACCAAAAATGGGTTTCACACGTTGTACCCATATCGGGAATCGAACCCGGGTCTTCGGCGTGACGAGCGAACGCTTTAGCCACTAAGCTACCCGGCCGCACCTGTACGTATTGAGTTTGCACGAGATTGCACGAGAGTGCATGCCTCGAGCAATGGAGACTTTAGTTATGAGCAATATTGTGTCCTCGGCAGTGCATCTGGTCGGCTGACAGAATTGAATTTAAATATGTCCTATTTACATATAAAACTACACCTTACGTCAGTTTTCATTATCCATGATTACATTATGAACTACGTTGACATTGTAACAATAATGCTCTCTCTCTCTCTCTTTCTCTCTCTCTCTCTCTCTCTCATTCTCTCTCTCACTCTCTCTCTCTCTTTCTCTCTCTCTCTCTCTCTCTTTCTCTCTCTCTCTCTCTCATTCTCTCTCTCACACTCTCTCTCTCTTTTATTATTCGACAACAACCATCGGTGGTACATGAGTTGTACAACAACAAAAACTACAGTAATAGATGTACAGCTTGATGACATATATTGTAGCATACGTCACAGTATAGCATTCAAATGTCTGAGGACCTTTGAGAGGTTTTTTTAAAGTACCTACTTTACCATTTGTGAACAGTTTACGATATCTACTCATGTTTAGCCAGTGTGTGTAGTATTCATTAACTCATTCAGCGCGTAAGGTTAAAGAGGAATTACAGTTGAATACATAATGGAACTCGTCACCAATTACTTGGCAGTCACACAATATTCACATCTTTTGTTCTCGTGATATAGTTTCCCATTGGCCTGTTTCTATTGGTAGTTTGCTTACCAGTTCCAGAAACAGTAAAAGTTTAGAAATGTGATCAGTAAAAACTAAATATTATATATCATCCTGTTCAAAAAGACATCACTAAATATTGGAAAAACTTGGACACTTTTAATTTGCTCAATAGATGTAAATTTGACAAAATTATCAATTCTCACACAAGATCATCCAAACACAGCTGCTAGATCTCTCAATCCACATTTCATCTTTCTCTACGAAAGCTGCTGGCCGAACGACTGATTCTGATTTGGTATATACGTTGATCCTCCATTTTATCTACTGTAACGTCACTATAACCCATATACTGAACATAGAGTAAGCTTGCGAGTATAGATTTAGATAACTATGGTTATGAATCGCTAAGTTTGTGTAAAAGCAAAACTTACTTGGAAGTCCGGTAGACATTCCTTGGGTCTATGTCGATCTTGATATCCAGTAGTGGGGCTGGGTTGGACTTCTTGGTGATGACGCGGACGGCCGAGCTGCAGTGGCTGGCCTGGTTGCAGACTATCTGGGTCACGACGTAGTCCTGGCCGGGCTGGGTGTTGAGGAGCTGTATGATGCTTGTGCCGGAACCATCTGGAACAGTGAGTGAGTGAGTGAGTGAGTGAGTGAGTGAGTGAGTGAGTGAGTGAGTGAGTGAGTGAGTGGGTGGGTGGGTGGGTGGGTGGGTGAGTGAGTGAGTGAGTGAGTGAGTGAGTGAGTGAGTGAGGAGTGAGTGAGTGAGTGAGTGAGTGAGTGAGTGAGTGAGTGAGTGAGTGAGATCTACGCCGCTTTAGTTATACCACAGTAGGGAGGAAAGTCCACCCATTTCGTATGTGTCCGTTATTGCAATGGCTTCAAATACCAGATTCATACAAATACCAAATGCAGCACAGATATCGAAGTACGAATTTTAAGATTCTCATGTACGAATGTACTGCATGAAATGTCCGTTAAGCCTATTTGTATTGGAATTATTTCCATTTATTTATTGATTTATTTTAACTTTCAGGCTCCATTTTAAATTTGATAAATCAGTATTTTGTTACTTGGATGTTGTATTGAAAGTAAGATAACGCCATGTAACTGGACATTCGTTGCCAATAATGATTCTCGTTCCATTCACTGGCTCACACATTATTTCAATTGTTTGATAAGCATCACTTGGAAGTTGACGGAAGACAAGGTAGGCACAACTAATGGATAACAACTTCTTTCATCGTGTAAAGGCGACGTTTCAGTCTAGTTTGACAACGGTATAAGGATCTATACCTAAACGTCGTCTTTACAGTATTAAAGAAGTTGTTATTCATTTAGTGTTTACCATTTATTCCATTATTTCTTACGAATTTTTCAGTTACTTGTGCGCTTTCTGTATCTGGAGCCTCCTTGGTCGCAGTTCTCAGATCTGTGACATACGATGGCGTCAGAGAACACTTACCGATGACAATCCCATCACTTGGTTCCACGGTCTGTGTGTAGGTGAGAGGGCGACCCCTCCTGCCTTGTCCTGGGTGGGCGTGGTACAGGTATATATCGCTGCAGGACCCCACAGACGACGGTCCCTCCATCTCAGCGTCCGGCTTCGGGGGGTCCGACGCAGCAGAGATGCTGAGACTGCCAGACGCGGGGACACCATTATCACCAGCAGCGACAACAGCTCCGTCTTTTAGTGTTAACACGGCGCCTGTAATAGGAGTGTTAGTGAGAGTGAGCGTGGTTTTATGGCGGTTCTAGCAATATTCCAGCAATATCACGGAGGGGGGGGTACCAGAATGGGGCTTCACACACGTGTATGGAATCGAACCCACCGCAAAAACTCAAGCAGCTTAATCACTCGTTCGTCACACTCAAAGACCTTGCAGGAAAACCATCAGACCACCTGCCCCATCACCTTTCTGTCAGCGTCCCTCACAGGGGCCGCATTAGCCACCATCATCAACAGACGTCTGCCCCATACTACACATCACATGCCAATGGTACAGATCTTTCCTTGTCTCCCTGAACCCTAGAGGACGTGAGTGAGTATGGTGTTTACACAGCTTTCAGCACTTTTCCAGAAATATCACGGCCAGGAACACCAGATATGGCTTCACATAGTGTACCCATGTGCGGAATCGAACCTAGGCATTCGGTGTGACGAGCGACCACTTTAACCACGAGTCTACCCTACCTATAGATCGCATGTGAAACAAATACACTGGAATAAAAGGAAATGTACCTCAAGACATTAAAAAAGAACAGAAAAAAGAGATATTTAGACAGATTTATATATCAAGCTTATCATTCGGTTCCAAATTTTATTCAGTTAATTAAATTAAATATACAAGAAACCTTACTCCACATCTGATATACAACATGCTTCTATGAGTGCGGCGTTTAACAACAAACAACCAAAACAGCCACCTGCAGCGGTCAGGTCGACATCGTAGAAGCAGATCAGCTTGGCAGGATTGGCTGGAGGTTTCATCTCCACTGATGCTCCGAGAGCTGTGACGTCATCAAAGATGTCCGCTGCTGATGTGATGTCGGAGGTGGAGATGGGCACATTGCACGATAGACAAATCCCATCACCTAAAATATAGAAAAATATGAAAAATGAAAATATTTAAAAAGCAATCTAAATGCGCCGGTTAAATTTCTTCTTCTGTACCTTTACCAATGCGTTGTTTAGAAACTTAATACAATAAACAGAAATGTTAATCTCAAACAGACCTAGCATAATAAACTGAAGAAAAAAAGTAAAGGGATGACGAACATTTTTGGAAATATTTTTTTAATGAAATTGTGTGGTCAACAAAATAACTCAAAAATATTCATGATCCTTTACTTTTTTTCTCCAGTATATTATTCTAGGTCTGTTTCAGATTACTTTAAACATTAACTGTTAACACTACAAACATCAGACTAGAACTCTACAGAGGCACAAACTATTACCTCGTTTGTTGTAACCAACTTTGCACACGGGGGCTGGTGCGTTGACGGCGACTGTCACTGACGTCCCCAGACTGGTGTCGACGTCCACTGACAGAGAGATGGTGACCTCCCCTCCCCGGAGGGGGTGGAGGATGACGCACCGCCTCGAGTTGCCTGTACCTTCTGCTTTAGACAGCTTCGTGTATGTGGCTCCCGCCGCTACAAGACAACCACGTACACAATGTAGATATACACTGAGTGAAAATCAAGTTATCTGATACCAATCTTCCCGGATCAAGGGAGTTAACTGACTGTAAAAGTCCAGTTTCCACCCTAACCGAACTGGGCTGGAATTTCTGGGCCACCAGTGGCTATTACGAGTTATGTCCCTTCGATGTCCCTCCTATTGACCAATCAGATTCCACTTATATCATTTGCATTAGCTTCAGTTAAAATGGACTTTGCATAGACTCGATAGTCCAGCCAAAATATAACTCTACAATTCCAGACTAGTTCGGCAAGGGAAGAAACTGGACTTTAGTAGTCAGTTAACTCCCTTGCCTCAGGAAGATGTCTATTACCACCTGCCTCAGTTCGTCCACGCATATCCCTATCCGGATACCAACCAATGTCTGTCACAGTCCATTAGACTGGAGGTTAAATTTGACCAGATTGTCAATTGTTCAATACATACCTCGATACAGGCAGTACAGGGAGACAGATGGTACTATACATACCTCGATAAAGGCAGTACAGGGAGACAGATGGCACTATACATACCTTGATACAGGCACTACAGGGAGACAGATGGCACTATACATACCTCGATACAGGCAGTACAGGGAGACAGATGGCACTATACATACCTCGATACAGGCAGTACAGGGAGACAGATGGCACTATACATACCTTGATACAGGCACTACAGGGAGACAGATGGCACTATACATACCTCGATACAGGCAGTACAGGGAGACAGATGGCACTATACATACCTCGATACAGGCAGTACAGGGAGACAGATGGCACTATACATACCTTGATACAGGCACTACAGGGAGACAGATGGCACTATACATACCTCGATACAGGCAGTACAGGGAGACAGATGGCACTATACATACCTCGATACAGGCAGTACAGGGAGACAGATGGCACTATACATACCTCGATACAGGCAGTACAGGGAGACAGATGGCACTATACATACCTCGATACAGGCAGTACAGGGAGACAGATGGCACTATACATACCTCGATACAGGCAGTACAGGGAGACAGATGGCACTATACATACCTTGATACAGGCACTACAGGGAGACAGATGGCACTATACATACCTCGATACAGGCAGTACAGGGAGACAGATGGCACTATACATACCTCGATACAGGCACTACAGGGAGACAGATTGCGCTATACATACCTCGATACAGGCAGAACAGGGAGACAGATGGCACTATACATACCTCGATACAGGCAGTACAGGGAGACAGATGGCACTATACATACCTTGATACAGGCACTGCAGGGAGACAGATGGCACTATACATACCTCGATACAGGCAGTACAGGGAGACAGATGGCACTATACATACCTCGATACAGGCAGTACAGGGAGACAGATGGCACTATACATACCTCGATACAGGCAGTACAGGGAGACAGATGGCACTATACATACCTCGATACAGGCAGTACAGGGAGACAGATGGCACTATACATACCTCGATACAGGCAGTACAGGGGGACAGGTGGGAACCCAGTCCCAGTCAGAGTGATCTCAGTCTTTCCTTGCTTCTCAAGAGTGAAGCTAGTTGGAGATGCTGCTTGAATCACAGTGGCTGTCAGGAATTAAAACAAGGTATTAATCATTTCACATAATCCATAGTAAGTACAAAACGTTATACACTAATGCGAGTGCATACAGTCTTGTCGCCGTTGTACAAAACCACCTTAGCGCTACGGCTGTCGTAAGTCTATGTTAAGGTATTGGAGATACGATCACCTTAGCGCTACGGCTGTCGTAAGTCTATGTTAAGGTATGGGAGATACGATCACCTTAGCGCTACGGCTGTCGTAAGTCTATGTTAAGGTATGGGAGTTACGATCACCTTAGCGCTACGGCTGTCGTAAGTCCATGTTAAGGTATGGGAGTTACGATCACCTTAGCGCTACGGCTGTCGTAAGTCTATGTTAAGGTATGGGAATTACGATCACCTTAGCGCTACGGCTGTCGTAAGTCTATGTTAAGGTATGGGAGTTACGATCACCTTAGCGCTACGGCTGTCGTAAGTCTATGTTAAGGTATGGGAATTACGATCACCTTAGCGCTACGGCTGTCGTAGGTCTATGTTAAGGTATGGGAGTTATGATCACCTTAGCGCTAAGATCGCTTTGCACACCGGTAGCCTGTATACCTCATATATACAAAGGGACATAACTCCATTTCTCGTTAAATCGCTGTGTTAGTGACATTTAGTCCCAGAAATAAAGTTATCTTTTTTTAAAATATTAGCTAAAAAAATTAAAATAATAACATCCAAAAACAATCCTTAATTTACTAGAGTCGAGGCAATGTGGACTTGCCAAATCATTCAAAACTTGAGTTGGAGTCTCTTAATTGTTTTCTCTTGAGTCCAGGAGACAGTGAATGCAGCACTCAGTGTAGTTGATGTCACGAACACATTCTAATGCCGTGCATACTTCATTTTCAATTTATTAAAGGAAAAAATTTTTTATTTTTTTTATTTAACATTTTCTTCTTGTTTATAATATGGTTTAAATATGTTTTGTCCAAGCTAGGACAAGTCAGCCGTAGACAACCTACCATCAGGATCCAGTACGTGTAGAGAGGCGTCGGAGCCAGACCAGAGAGAACTGACGGTGTCCCGGAAGTGGATGCTGTAGGTTCCTCATCAAAGAAGTAATAGGCTTTCAATTACTACATTCATTTTTAAAATTCGAAAAGAAACACGTGCCAAGACCTCGAACGTGATATACTGTTCAGGAAGGAAGCGGGTATATGGTCACATGCATGTCTGATCACATGATACTGTCGAATTTGAGTTGGATTAATAATATATATAGGTTCACTTTTACAGTGACTGGTTATTTTGCCTTATAGGACGGTTCTGACGATGAAAAATAATCATAGAGTTGAATGTCTAAGTTGAATAGTAACCTGATTGACAACATTGTTGTGAAAAACTGCAATTTTCAAATGTGTTTTTAGTTTAATGGATTTGTGCTCTGGGGTAAAATCGGAATTAATAATAGTGATAGATGAAGCCTACATTAATCAGGGAATTATCAGCTTGTAAAACATCTTTGCGACTGCATGTCGTACACCATTTGAAAGGTCTAACCCGCCTGTTTATAAATATGAATATATGTTTATCACATCACTTAAATAATGCTTAATTAATAATTACTTAAATAAACTGCATTTAACAATCTAAAACTATCAGCCTGAGAACAAATCTGTCGCCCACGGGGCTACTGGCCGATGTCTATTTTGAACACTGTTTCAATACCTGCGGCGAGGCCAGGGGGGACAGCCGCCATGACTGTATCGCCCTTCCTCTCCACTACAGTCAGGGCCATGCCTGCGTCAGTCGGGCTGCTTCTCACCAGGAGTTCGGAGCTGGCTCCAGTAAACCCAACCCCTTCAACAGCCAGCGACTGAAGGAAAGAGATGCGACATCCAAGTCCTGAGTTTGTGATAGTTTCGTTATACTACGTACGTGTTTAAGCTGGTTCGTGTAATTTAATATATACCCTAGTGTTGAATTACCATTCATTCATTTCATATTTCCAGTAATATTATTTTCAGAACAATAACTGAATTTTAAAGGAAGAAGTAAGGAAATTGTCGTCCTCTCTGTCAACATTGTATTGTATTTGGTTGTAAGACGAACTGCGGGCTTTATACCGCTGTGGCACTACCCGTGTCTGACTGCCTTACCTCTGTACTCCCCAGCATCACGATGTGGGGCACTACCCGTGTCTGACTGCCTTACCTCTGTACTCCCCAGCATCACGATGTGGGGCACTACCCATGTCTTACTGCCTTACCTCTGTACTCCCCAGCATCACGATGTGGAGCACTACCCATGTCTTACTGCCTTACCTCTGTACTCCCCAGCATCACGATGTGGGGCACTACCCGTGTCTTACTGCCTTACCTCTGTACTCCCCAGCATCACGATGTGGGGCACTACCCGTGTCTTACTGCCTTACCTCTGTACTCCCCAGCATCACGATGTGGAGCACTACCCGTGTCTTACTGCCTTACCTCTGTACTCCCCAGCATCACGATGTGGGGCACTACCCGTGTCTTACTGCCTTACCTCTGTACTCCCCAGCATCACGATGTGGAGCACTACCCGTGTCTTACTGCCTTACCTCTGTACTCCCCAGCATCACGATGTGGGGCACTACCCGTGTCTGACTGCCTTACCTCTGTACTTCCCAGCATCACGATGTGGGGCACTACCCGTGTCTGACTGCCTTACCTCTGTACTCCCCAGCATCACGATGTGGGGCACTACCCGTGTCTTACTGCTTGACCTCTGTACTCCCCAGCATCACGATGTGGGGCACTACCCGTGTCTTACTGCTTTACCTCTGTACTCCCCAGCATCACGATGTGGGGCACTACCCATGTCTTACTGTCTTACCTCTGTACTCCCCAGCATCGCGATGTGGGGCACTACCCGTGTCTTACTGTCTTACCTATGTACTCCCCAGCATCACGATGTGGGGCACTACCCGTGTCTGACTGCCTTACCTCTGTACTTCCCAGCATCACGATGTGGGGCACTACCCGTGTCTGACTGCCTTACCTCTGTACTCCCCAGCATCACGATGTGGGGCACTACCCATGTCTTACTGCTTGACCTCTGTACTCCCCAGCATCACGATGTGGGGCACTACCCGTGTCTTACTGCTTTACCTCTGTACTCCCCAGCATCACGATGTGGGGCACTACCCGTGTCTTACTGTCTTACCTCTGTACTCCCCAGCATCACGATGTGGGGCACTACCCGTGTCTTACTGTCTTACCTCTGTACTCCCCAGCATCACGATGTGGGGCACTACCCGTGTCTGACTGCCTTACCTCTGTACTCCCCAGCATCACGATGTGGAGCACTACCCGTGTCTTACTGCCTTACCTCTGTACTCCCCAGCATCACGATGTGGGGCACTACCCATGTCTTACTGCCTTACCTCTGTACTCCCCAGCATCACGATGTGGAGCACTACCCGTGTCTTACTGTCTTACCTCTGTACTCCCCAGCATCACGATGTGGGGCACTACCCGTGTCTTACTGCCTTACCTCTGTACTCCCCAGCATCACGATGTGGGGCACTACCCGTGTCTGACTGCCTTACCTCTGTACTCCCCAGCATCACGATGTGGAGCACTACCCGTGTCTTACTGCCTTACCTCTGTACTCCCCAGCATCACGATGTGGAGCACTACCCGTGTCTGACTGTCTTACCTCTGTACTCCCCAGCATCACGATGTGGGGCACTACCCGTGTCTTACTGTCTTACCTCTGTACTCCCCAGCATCACGATGTGGGGCACTACCCATGTCTTACTGCCTTACCTCTGTACTCCCCAGCATCACGATGTGGAGCACTACCCGTGTCTTACTGCCTTACCTCTGTACTCCCCAACATCACGATGTGGGGCACTACCCGTGTCTTACTGCTTGACCTCTGTACTCCCCAGCATCACGATGTGGGGCACTACCCGTGTCTTACTGCCTTACCTCTGTACTCCCCAGCATCACGATGTGGGGCACTACCCGTGTCTTACTGCTTTACCTCTGTACTTCCCAGCATCACGATGTGGGGCACTACCCGTGTCTGACTGCCTTACCTCTGTACTCCCCAGCATCACGATGTGGGGCACTACCCGTGTCTGACTGCCTTACCTCTGTACTCCCCAGCATCACGATGTGGGGCACTACCCGTGTCTGACTGCCTTACCTCTGTACTCCCCAGCATCACGATGTGGAGCACTACCCATGTCTTACTGCCTTACCTCTGTACTCCCCAGCATCACGATGTGGGGCACTACCCGTGTCTTACTGCCTTACCTCTGTACTCCCCAGCATCACGATGTGGGGCACTACCCGTGTCTGACTGCCTTACCTCTGTACTCCCCAGCATCACGATGTGGGGCACTACCCGTGTCTGACTGCCTTACCTCTGTACTCCCCAGCATCACGATGTGGAGCACTACCCATGTCTTACTGCCTTACCTCTGTACTCCCCAGCATCACGATGTGGAGCACTACCCGTGTCTGACTGCCTTACCTCTGTACCCCCAGCATCACGATGTGGAGCACTACCCGTGTCTTACTGCCTTACCTCTGTACTCCCCAGCATCACGATGTGGGGCACTACCCGTGTCTTACTGCCTTACCTCTGTACTCCCCAGCATCACGATGTGGGGCACTACCCGTGTCTGACTGCCTTACCTCTGTACTCCCCAGCATCACGATGTGGGGCACTACCCGTGTCTTACTGCCTTACCTCTGTACTCCCCAGCATCACGATGTGGGGCACTACCCGTGTCTGACTGCCTTACCTCTGTACTCCCCAGCATCACGATGTGGAGCACTACCCATGTCTTACTGCCTTACCTCTGTACTCCCCAGCATCACGATGTGGAGCACTACCCGTGTCTGACTGCCTTACCTCTGTACCCCCAGCATCACGATGTGGAGCACTACCCGTGTCTTACTGCCTTACCTCTGTACTCCCCAGCATCACGATGTGGGGCACTACCCGTGTCTTACTGCCTTACCTCTGTACTCCCCAGCATCACGATGTGGGGCACTACCCGTGTCTGACTGCCTTACCTCTGTACTCCCCAGCATCACGATGTGGGGCACTACCCGTGTCTTACTGCCTTACCTCTGTACTCCCCAGCATCACGATGTGGAGCACTACCCATGTCTTACTGCCTTACCTCTGTACTCCCCAGCATCACGATGTGGAGCACTACCCGTGTCTGACTGCCTTACCTCTGTACCCCCAGCATCACGATGTGGAGCACTACCCGTGTCTTACTGCCTTACCTCTGTACTCCCCAGCATCACGATGTGGGGCACTACCCGTGTCTTACTGCCTTACCTCTGTACTCCCCAGCATCACGATGTGGGGCACTACCCGTGTCTGACTGCCTTACCTCTGTACTCCCCAGCATCACGATGTGGGGCACTACCCGTGTCTTACTGCCTTACCTCTGTACTCCCCAGCATCACGATGTGGGGCACTACCCGTGTCTTACTGCCTTACCTCTGTACTCCCCAGCATCACGATGTGGGGCACTACCCGTGTCTTACTGCCTTACCTCTGTACTCCCCAGCATCACGATGTGGGGCACTACCCATGTCTTACTGCCTTACCTCTGTACTTCCCAGCATCACGATGTGGAGCACTACCCGTGCCTTACTGCCTTACCTCTGTACTCCCCAGCATCACGATGTGGGGCACTACCCGTGCCTTACTGCCTTACCTCTGTACTCCCCAGCATCACGATGTGGAGCACTACCCATGTCTTACTGCCTTACCTCTGTACTTCCCAGCATCACGACGTGGAGCACTACCCGTGCCTTACTGCCTTACCTCTGTACTCCCCAGCATCACGATGTGGGGCACTACCCGTGTCTTACTGCCTTACCTCTGTACTCCCCAGCATCACGATGTGGGGCACTACCCGTGTCTGACTGCCTTACCTCTGTACTCCCCAGCATCACGATGTGGGGCACTACCCGTGTCCGACTGCCTCACCTCTGTACTCCCCAGCATCACGATGTGGGGCACTACCCGTGTCTGACTGCCTTACCTCTGTACTCCCCAGCATCACGATGTGGGGCACTACCCGTGTCTTACTGCTTTACCTCTGTACTCCCCAGCATCACGATGTGGGGCACTACCCGTGTCTTACTGCTTTACCTCTGTACTTCCCAGCATCACGATGTGGAGCACTACCCATGTCTTACTGCCTTACCTCTGTACTCCCCAGCATCACGATGTGGGGCACTACCCGTGTCTGACTGCCTCACCTCTGTACTCCCCAGCATCACGATGTGGGGCACTACCCGTGTCTGACTGCCTTACCTCTGTACTCCCCAGCATCACGATGTGGGGCACTACCCGTGTCTTACTGCTTTACCTCTGTACTCCCCAGCATCACGATGTGGGGCACTACCCGTGTCTGACTGCCTTACCTCTGTACTTCCCAGCATCACGATGTGGGGCACGACGCTCTTCACTCTCATGCAGTCGTTGTTGCCGTCACAGACACCACAGGAATCCAACTGGGAAGGGCTGTGAGCACAATTGAGATACATATATACATGTATCTTGGATTGTCGAATTATTTAGGGTTTTCGCTCACTGCATTTCTGTCAAAGATATTTAAGGCAATACTCACAGCTGAGGGAATTGTTTGGAAAAATGTAATTCGCTTCAGTTTATAATGAACAATGTTTAGGGATCCTATAGTCGGCATTGTATTATGATCCTTCAATTCAATTCAATTCTTTATTGTATGAAAGGCCACAGGCCCATATACAACGGAGTTACATAACATATTTTATAAAATGCAAAGTCAAGGTAACAATTCACTTCGTAACAAAAAAGCATTATGTATGTACAAAGCCAGTTGATGTTGTGTTATAAGATCCTTGCAAGACAGTAATGAAGACAATCTTTTAGCATTAAAATGAGATAGAGACCACTGCGGTAAGTACTTGTCTCTTAGCTTTTCGTATATAGGGCAAATAAACATGAAATGGTATTCATCTTCGACAACAATGTCACAAAATGGGCATAATCGTATCGATTTCTCAATAGATGAAAATCTCCCTGTGTTAATTTTTAGATCATTCAGGCCAAGTCTAAAACGAATGCACGTCAGTAGTGGTGTTTATCTATCTATAATGGTTGTTTCTGACTTCGTAACCGACCCACCCCTTCGGGACGCCGGCACAGTCGTTACAGGTGGAGCCATCTCCGTCACACACGCCGCAGACGTCCATCCCGGCGGTCCGCAGCTTTCCCGACTGGCCACCGACACACAGCCCACACTTGTTCCGGGAGGCACCCCGAACACCTGGTGACACGTACCGTATTACGTTAAAACAAACTGAAATGTGATTGTTTTTAGAGTTATCCTGAATTGGCAAGTAGTTTGTTGTGTAATACGTTAGCACACTGATCCCTCTGCTGAACCAAATAATCCACATCATCAATTAATTTACATGACCCAAATAATATGTGTCTTCACATGTGTTCAGATAGAGATTTCAAGACTTTTGATTGTTTGTTTGATTGTTTGTTTGTTTGTTTGTTGTTTAACCCCGCACTCAGCAATATTCCAGCTGTAAGACAACGGTCTGTAAATAATCGTGTCTGAATCAGACAATCCAGTGATTGACATGATGACATCGCAATTGGGATACGATGACATGCATCAACCAAGTCAGCGAGCTGGTCCACCCGCATCCGTTAGTCGCCTCTTACGACAAGCGTCGTCGCCTTTTATGGTAAGCATGGGTTGTTGAAGACCTATTCTAACCCGTATACTCACGGGTTGATGCCAAAACTTGTGCAAACTATCATTTTAAAACGTTTTTGGCCGCAGACCAAAATATATTTCATTTGAAAATGCAAATTGTGTAAGAATTTAGGCTGACTTGGCTGCCTCTCACCTCTCTGTATGCACTGGCCGGCACAGTCTCGCACGGGGACGTTGTCCACGCACCTGTCGCAGTCGAAGACGTCAGCCTCAGTTTTACCGGTGTCTCCGTCTGTAACGTGTCAAACAAGGAACTGTAATGAGCGCCTACCAGAGCAGACATAAGGCGATTCTCGTTAATAAAACCGACAAAACCCTTCCCATATCCAACAGATATCCAACCCACAGATGGCATGTCTGACGACAGATCCCGACAGGACACGTGCTAGATAACTACACCCACAGGTGTCATGTCTGACGGCAGATCCTGACAGGACACGTGCTAGATAACTACACCCACAGGTGTCATGTCTGACGGCAGATCCTGACAGGACACATGCTAGATATGTGCCATAACAGCCCCCACAGGTGGCATGTCTGACGGCAGATCCCTGCACACCACACACGATATATACTCACCGTAACAGCCCCCACAGATGGCATGTCTAACGACAGATCCCTGCACACCACACACGATATATACTCACCGTAACAGCCCCCACAGATGGCATGTCTAACGACAGATCCCTGCACACCACACACGATATATACTCACCGTAACAGCCCCCACAGATGGCATGTCTAACGACAGATCCCTGCACACCACACACGATATATACTCACCGTAACAGCCCCCACAGATGGCATGTCTAACGACAGATCCCTGCACACCACACACGATATATACTCACCGTAACAGCCCCCACAGATGGCATGTCTAACGACAGATCCCTGCACACCACACACGATATATACTCACCGTAACAGCCCCCACAGATGACATGTCTGACGACAGATCCCTGCACACCACACACGATATATACTCACCGTAACAGCCCCCACAGATGGCATGTCTGACGACAGATCCCTGCAAACCACACACGATATATACTCACCGTAACAGCCCCCACAGATGGCATGTCTAACGGCAGATCCCTGCACACCACACACGATATATACTCACCGTAACAGCCCCCACAGATGGCATGTCTAACGGCAGATCCCTGCACACCACACACGATATATACTCACCGTAACAGCCCCCACAGATGGCATGTCTAACGGCAGATCCCCCGCACACGCCGTTGCAGTCCGGTTTTTTTGCGTCGGGGTCACCGACGCAGCCACCGCATTTGTTGATACCTTTGTTTTCAGGAACTCCAGTCGACGCTCCCACACAAAACCCACACGCGTTGGTTGTCCCGGAACACGTGCCTGTAACATGATCGTCAGTGTTAGGCTAGGACACAACCAGAGTTAGAACTCGTAAAGTAATTAAAACATTATTTCTAAACCTTTCAGCATACATGCCTGCTTTCAATTAATCGGACATTGTATCTAAAAACGGCAATTTATTACATAAACGATTGTGTCTGCAAATGAGTCCAAATGTTTGATGACATGTATCTGTGTTATGAATATGAATTGGAGCTTGTCAACTGATTTTGTGGTCTTAACATACTGTCGTTTTAAAATATAATAAGAAGTAAAAATGTGACTTTTTACCATGAAGTCCCTCATCTCGTGGTTTGTCACATACAGTAAACTACGGTTATCACGAACTCAATTCCACTAACTTTAATTCGTTATAACCGTAGTTCGTTAAATGCAAATGTACGGAATATATGAAGCAAATGGACAGGACCAAAAAATAGTTCGTTTTATCCGTCTGTTCGTTATAAACGTAGTCTATTGTTTTTCCATGTCCCGATGAGTAGGACTTTAAAAGACATACTTCTTGGGTTAAAATCTAAGAATTGCGATCCCTGTATAAAAGTTGATTCTCATTCTAGAATAGATGGTTGACCCCTTTGCAATGAAACACTGGAGATATACACAGCTGAATAAACAGTTGTAAGCTTACTGATCTGACACGTGTCTCCACCATACAGTCTGGTACACTCGCACACGAATGTGTCTCCTTTACGGCCGTTTGTGCAGGTGCCCCCGTTCTCGCAGGGGTTGGATGAGCAGGGACCTATAACGAAAATCGTACATTACGTGTCTGGATATTTGGCAGTGACAAGGCGTATCTATTAGTGGAATATATCTAGGTACAATAAACTGATAACTGTCATATGTCGCTGTTCTGTAAACACAGTGACGTCTTTAAATACAAACATGTATGGTGTATAATCACATGCAATCGTATCACATGTATGTTCAAATGACTTCAATAATAATTGAAAATTAACAATGTATACTTTAATAATGGGCTTTATAGGTGATAGATTTATTAACAGTTTAATTGTTTACGCAGCAAGCACTTATACACGACCAGTCTAGTCTCCTACCGTTGTAATGCACTTGAGTTTCATCTCATCACGTTTTAAACTTTTAACAGGACGTCGGGGTAGCCTAGTGGATAAAGCGTTCGCTCGTCATTCCGAAGAACCAGGTTCAATTCCTCACATTGGTACAATGTGTGAAGCCCATTTATGGTGTCCCCCGCCCTGATATTGCTCGAATATTGCTAAAAGCGGCGTAAAACTATACTCACTGATTCATTAAACTTTTAACATAACTTTGCACATGTACTGAAACAGATTATCGCAGAGAGATGCTAAGGTTAGGTATCACAAATTGCATTGAATCGAATGGTCAAAATACAGACAACTTGATGTAAACTCTGTCTGGGACAAACCTGGATGGTTCCTTATCTGTAGTATTATTATTATGTAGTCTAATTATTCTTCTAATTTTGGTCATTGAAATAAAGTTCAATTATTGCATTAAAACACAGTAGTAAATAATCATCCCATGTGAAGTAATAGAAGTTGTGACTTCAGTATTTAGTATTTAGCTCAGGGCACCTAATACGAAAACTGAAGTATTCCCAATATCAACATAATATTGCGGGAAAATGTGCTCCACTGTTGTGCATGAATGGACTCACATCTCGACGGTTGGATAAGTAAGCAATAATGGACATGTTTTAATTAGCACATATATAATATTCGATATAAACAGACTATTATATCCCATTAACGTACCAGGCGTCAGCAGTTTCTTCAGGTCTTCCAAGGCGGTTTTCATGTCATTTACGGTTTTCCTATGATTTTTAACAATGTCATCAGAAAGCCCTCCCTTTGTGATGACGGGAGTGGCACACGTGACCAGGTTCCGGACGCTGGGCACAAGAGTCCTCCCGACATAGGACAGTGTCTCAGCCAGCGTCCTCTTGGCAAAGTCCTCCACATCCGTGGGGACATCTGTCGCTGCGCAGGCAAGTGGCATGCTGACGTGTCCCAGCGCTGCAAGGAGCTTGACTTGTTCCACCTTTTGTGCAAGATCGTCCTGTTTCTTGGCAGCACACACTAGTCTCATTGCCAGCTCCCTTCCGCGCTGTAATCTTGAGTTAAATGTAGAATTGCATTGGCCGAGCTGTTCCAGATACAAGTCTGTAACGGTGAAGCATTTATACATTAATAATACTGGTAATAATACTGGTAATAATGATGGTAATAATAATAATGACGACGACAACGATGATGATGATGACGACGACGACAACGACGATGATGCTGACGACGATAATGCTGATTCTTCCAGATTACAGGTGCTGGACTAATGACTATCGCGTTGATTAAACTACATTCTCAAAACAGCCGAACGTGTACCTGGACTTAAATGTACATGCGAAACTTACAACATTGAAGTGCCGGGTGTTTATACACAGTAGAAGTATGAAGCTGCATCTATGTTCTTTTTGTGGGCAGTTAGAGGAAGGAACTAGAGACGATTGTTTTCCTTTTTTTACTTCAACTATTCGTGAAAAACAATACCAAGGGGATCACTGGAGTCATCTAACTGTCATCAGATATGCGTTATCCATACATCGGACATGCTGTAGCTTTGTTTGCTCTATAAGTGCAATCATCTTGGACGTGACGTTAAACACCTCCTCACCTGTAGCTATGTCCTGTTGAGTATGACGCTCCATTACATCCGATGTGGATTGCAACATTATATCATTTATCATTCTTTTATTACAAATGAAAGAAATCAAGAAAATCTACACGATCACGTTAAACAATGATTTCATCCATAGTAAAGCAGTGTTGGTCAAAGATTTCACCCACACTGCAGCATTGTTAGTCAAAGATTTCACCCACAATGCAGCATAATTGGCCAAAGATTTCACCCACACTGCAGCATTGTTAGTCAAAGAATTCACCAACACTGCAGCTTTGTTGGTCAATGATAACACCATTGGCGATAAATACTCCATTGTTGGCGTGAAGGGGCGGTCGGGTAGCCTAGTGGTTAAAGCGTTCGCTTGTCACGCCGAAGACCCGGGTTCGATTCCCGACATTGGTACAATGTGTGAAGCCCATTTCTGGTGTCCCCCGCCGTGATATTGCTGGAATATTGCTAAAAGCGGCGTAAAACCATACTCACTCACTCACTGTTGGCGTGAAACAGACTCCATTGTTGACGAAACTGCATGACTCCCGTTTGTAAAATACAAATATTTCGTGACTCGCTCTAGATCTGTCACGAATTTTTATCACGAATTGTCACGGATGTGATAACGGAAGATACTCACTTATTTCGCAGTCTTTGCCGGTCGTACCCTCTGGACAACGGCACACATACGACTCGTCCACATTCTTACATTCACCGCTGTTCATGCAGGGAGAAGACTGGCATGGACCTTGAAATATGAATTAGTGTTAACAAAACATACATTTCTACATCTATGAAGTAGTGTCACTGTCACCAAATTTATGATATTTTATGAAATTGTGTGCTCAGTCCTCACTACCAAGGAATATCCACAAAAATATTGATCGGAATAGATTGCTTTACGTTCTTACATATGCATATATGTGCATGTCCAACATTAAATGTAAGAGCTGCAAAAACGCACACAGACATTGTACATGAACTGTACATGTCCATGCTAATTCCATGATTCGCGATGTACACCCATACCACATTCAATAGACTGAATATGTTCAGATGAAAATTACTTAATATAATGTTCATCCCTATTTTGTCTCTCACTCCCGAAGGAATCAGTTTCGGCATATAATAGAAACTAATATGTCTCTGGCGTTGACCTTGTATATTTTACTGATTTGCCAATTTTGTCAAGTTTTAAGGTGAGACAAGGTCAGAAAAGGCAGCCATCGTTAATTTGGTAAAACTGTCATCATCTCTATGGGACTAACCTGGTATCATTTCCTCCCTGAGAGCTGCAAGTGTTTTGGTCATGTTCACCAGCTGTGCCCGGCTGCTGGCAACAAACCCATCCGTTGAACCAGCAGTTCCAGCCTGTCCTTCCACACAACTCTTCAGTGTTTCATATCCCATAGTCAGGTTCACCATCCCGAACCTATCAGCCTTCTTCACCATCTCCTTAGCAACCATGACATCATTTGCCTTGACTGATGCTGATGTGGCCATCTTGGAACAGTCAGGGGCGGATGACGGGTGCTGGAGCAGGTGCTGAAGACTATGCTTGCTAACGAGGTCCTTCAAGGAGTCCAGGTTCTGCAGACTACAGACTATGTGTAGTACACGCCTCTGTGCTTGTTCCATCAGATGCTTAAAGTCATCTTTGCACTGTTGCTGCTCTATATCTATAAAGTAACACAAACACTCTTTTACTAACAATATACTTTCAGTGATGATAAGGGGTTCCCTTGTCGCAAACGTCTGCTGATCACTGATCAATTCATATTATTTTCACCACTAGTTTGCCTTTTATTATTATAATAATAATCTAGTTTTTGATAGACATTTAGGAATTGGAAACACAAATTTCATTTCTTCAAATCCCTCTCTAATCTTCGTCAATACAATAACATAAATTGTTATCAATTTAACAATTAAACGATTCGTTAGATGCTGAATAACATGTCTTCTACATGAAATATCTCATTGTCAAAAGAGATCAAAGAAAAAGGTTTGAATTCAGATTCCTGTTCCTGTGTGCTAGAACATTGACGAGTACAGTTCACGTACCAGGTGTCAGGGCAGTGGCAAGTCCTACAATGGTCTGTCTTATGTTGGAAACGTACGTTCCGCTCTGTTTGACGAGTTCATCCTCCTGTTTGCGTCGATCAGCGCACTCTGTGAAATTTCTGTGCTCGTCCCCCAGTTTCTGCTTCACAAACCTGAAGGCTGCATCCAGAATGTCCTTAATCTTAGACTCTGCGTCTGTGTCTCCGTAAGCTGTGTCTGTACATGCCAAGGTGTTGCCACGGAGCATCTTCACTAAAGGACGCTGCTTCAGGAGCTCCAAGACGCTAGGAACACGGTTTGCATAGCAGCTGATGTCAGTTGCCCATTTACGTGCGGACTCCAAGACAGACTCGAACTTGTCCTTACAGGCTTCCCATGCTTCGTCTTGAAAGTTGAAACATGGATTACTTTGAATGAGTTTTCTAACGCCATATTCACCAATATTTCATTCATATTAGAACAGGCAGCATCTAAATCTGCTTCATACAATGGGGAATGTTTGAATTATTTGGGTTTAACACCGCTTTGAACAGTATTCTTGTTATATCACAGCGTGTCAGCTTAATGTGGGAGGAAAGTCCGAAGTGATGAAAGTCTTAGACGTTTACCATTTTGGGGAAACCCACGGGCACGGGTATGGTGCTGACAAACCAAGAAACATAATCGGGGCGAACCGGGACACAATCATATGTTTATGGCGTTTTCAAGGGACGCAAATCTGCACAACGAACTGCGACGCTTTAGACGACTGGGCCACCCGTGCTCCCGTACTAGTGAGGAGAATTGAACCCTCTATTAGTACTGGCCTACCTAACCATCCCTGGAATACCTTGATGCATACGCCCTTGTATTTACATTACAAAGCCCATACTCGTTTCACATAAATGAAATGATGTGATGTTTCAGTGACATTCAAGAACTCGTGTACAGTTCAACTCACCTTCACCTTCATCAACATATTCACAGTTATCTCCCTTGAAGCCAGTTTTGCATACGCAAATGAAGTCATTTTCAGACGTAGGACTGATACACGAGCCGCCATTTTGGCATGGGTGTGATAAACAAGAGCCAGAAGGACCTGAAATATTAAGCATTGTACACTGAATGTTAGGTTAGGTTATAAATGTAAGATCTTTAAGTGTCAATCAAATAAGAGAACTCATGTACAAACGAAAGGAGAAAAGTATTTACCTGTGCCATTCATGTAAGGTCCCACATCTGCCTTGACAGAAGCAGAGAAGTCATCATAGAGGGCTCTCATGCGACCCTGCATCGCTGCGTTCTCGTCATCACTTCTGCCCGAATCCTTCAGCACGTTCATGAGACAATCCACTCCTTTATTCAAGTCTGTCTGTCCCTCGCTGCTGTTCAGGTATGTAAACAAGGCCCGCACACCCTCCATCACCTCTTTCTTGAAGGAGCCATCTGTGGTCTCTACATATCCCATCCTACTGCAGTCCCTTAACGTGAGAGTATTTCTGTCAGATGTCGAGTTGGATGCTTCGTTGTAGATGTCGTTCAAGGTGGGTTTCCTCAACCAAGACCCTTTGAATGGTGTTAGATACTGCAAAGCTGCACATTTCACCTTTTTACGTAGATTGCCATTATCCGGTACATCTGTCAGGTTCTTCTCGTGCATATCAATGCATGTTTTGATTGCGTCCTTTTCTTCAAGTGTCAAGTCGGATGGCAAATTCGGATCATCTGCGTAAAACACATTGTTTTCTTGTGATAGGAATTAGACAATTTTCATAATGGTCACAAGGTTTTGGACAGCTGGTTATTTGATTATTCCATATAAGGAGTGTCATATCTAATCTCATAATAATGACAATGATCATGATCATGAGAATGGGTGATCGAGTTTGGGTTTACGCCGCTTGTAGCAATAGTTCAGCAATATCAGGGCGGGGGACACCAGAAATTGGCTTCTTTGTACCCATGTCGGGAATCGAACACAGGTCTTCGGCGCGGCGAGCGAACGCTTTAACCACCAGGCTACCCGACCGCTCCTGATCATGATTATGATAACGATGATGATTTGTTACCCATTTTCAGTCTAGGGCTAGAAGTTGGCTACTGTTTCATGATTGTTTGTTTGTTGATGTATAACATTACCCCAGCGATATTTCTGATTTATAAAGACGGTGTAAATAGTCGAGTCTGGACAAGACAAGCGAGTGACTGACATCATGAGCATCGATCCACTCAAATGAAATCCATCAACCAAGTCAGCGAACATGACCACCCGATCCCGTTAGTCGCTTTTTACGACCAATTTGGACATTACGGTAAATTAACTGTAAGATTGACATCCATCACACAATGTTTCAAGGACATGGGACTGTCAATGAGCTGATCTCAGGTCCCATTGAACGTATCAGGAACTGCTCCATATGACATACACATACTTACCGAACGGGGTGTCACAGTCCTTGCCTGTGTATAAGGCAGAACAGGAGCACATGTAGTCGGCGCCCTGGGGAACACACGAACCAAGGTGTTTGCAAGGCATCCACATACACGGGCCTGGAATGGAAGACCGTCACACTTAGGTTTCATTAAATATAAATCACCAATACAGGAGCATAACCAGTCTTGATTACCCGCCAACAGAAATTCCTTTGGGCGTGAAAACAAAATTAGTGGTGGAAATTATGCATGAACACGTTTTGAAATATGGGTATATCATATTAGCTACACCCCATGTACTTCCGCATAAAAAGGCACATGTCACCCGCCTTGAGAAAAAGGACCGTGTGGGTGCTAGGATATAATTGTAATATGACATCATAAAGAAAGATGTTTAACGTCAAACGTTGACGTCAACGTTACTTTCTTATTGATTTTTGAGTTCCTAAGGTACAGTACTATAAATATAAAAATAATAAATATAATAAAAAGTCAAAATGTGATTTTTCACACATAAGGTCCCTTGTTATATATCTCATGATGGGCCACATAATATCAGTGATTCCTATAATGACACTCATCTCACGAAGGTATTGTCAGCATGTGTGCATTTCATGAATAATAAATACTTCTTTCTTTACACTCGGATACCTATAGTCAAGATGTAGTGTCTCCTTCATGACTTCCCTTATTGAAAATTGTGTGGAGAGGTACCTGTGTCAATGTGACGCCAACATTGATACGTTGTAACGTTGTAATGTACTGTCTTCAGTACACACTAAGTCAAAATATGATTTAAAGTTATGACAGCAGTTGGTTTAAATTGTCTGTTACAGCGTGATGTCAATTTCGTGTTCTACTGAACTCGCTTGTTTTAACCAAATTGGTACTGATATATATGTACGCTTACGCCTTTTTCGAAACCGACTTCTAATACCAGAAATATTGCTGCATATCTTGATCCGAAAAGTAAAAATAAGGGATGTCCCATGCTCGAACCTTCCTTATTTGTATTCCAGCTCTGTTTTATATTTTCGGGGGCACGGGTGGCCCACTCGTCTAAGGCGCCGCGATTCGCTGTGCAGAGTTGCGTCCCTTGGGCACGCCAGAAACCTATGATTGTGGGTTCGAATCACGGTTCGCCCCGATTATGTTCTAGGTTTGTCAGCACCATACCCGTGCTCGTGGGTTTCGCCGAAGTGGTAAACGTCTGAGACCTGCATCACTTCGGGCTTACCTCCCACACTAAAATATAAGCTGACACGCCGCGATATAACTGGAATACTGTTAAAAGCGGCGTTAAACCCAACTCACTCACTGTTTTATATTTTCAACTTCTATACAACCGAAAGCCCTTGTACTTATGTGATAAAACTAATGTAAAACGAAAGAATCTTACCTGCGGTTAAAATCATATTCACAGTTCCTGAAACTGCCCCGTACAAGTGATCGAACGATGTGGAAATATTCCCCAGCGTTGCAGGCAGCTCGGCCACTACACAAGCCTTGGCCTTAATAAGTTCGTCCAGGTAGTCATCACTTGACAGTTCGGCTGCAGCCTCGGTCAAAATCGTCATAATTTCAGCACGTGTGTAGTTGGTCTCGGTAATATGCATACAGCTTGTCGTCATGGAATCCATAGATGGGGACGAGACATCGCTGATGATCTTCATTGCTGACCTATGTGTCGGGGAATACTCCTTGCCCATCTGACACAGGACTTTGTTAACGCTACTCAATATTCCTTGAAGACGTTTATTAAAATCTTGCAAGCAGCCACTGATTTTCTGTTTGTATTCTATGCTAAGATTCATTGATGATTCCCCTGAAAGAACAAGTATTTCTGTTAAAGGAAAGGCTTACATTATGGAATTTATTCGAGAGACACAACTTGGACATTGATACTAGGCATCGTGAGACAGAATGGGTTCCTTCTATAGATCTCTTTCCAATCGCGCCCACTATCCAGGGCATCATAGAGTATTTTTAGTTGCAGTGGTAGTGTACTTTGTGCTATACTGTATGTGATGGGGTCTGTCTTTTCATACCAGTACTTATTGCTAGGTTCATATCAATACGCCATCACTAATCTTCTAGAACATCAAATATACATATAAGTGTTATATAAATGGATCTGGTTAGGTGATTTGGTTGAGAGTGTGTCATCGTATCTCGACGGCTTCAAATTAAATCATTGGTTTGTCTGGTCCAAACTCGATCAATTTTTTTCCACCGTCATACAGCAAAGTGCCACGTCAAACAAACGATACGATTTGTTTATATCCAGATTCGTACTTCTGTCAACACACCATTACTTATTGCGTGTGTTTTCCCCAATGATGTAATGATGTAAAGTGAGTGAGTGAGTGAGTTGGGTTAACGCCGCTTTGAACAGTATTCCAGTTATATCACGGCGTGTCAGCTTAATGTGGAAGGAAAGCCTGAAGTGATACAGATCTCAGACGTTTACCACTTCGGTGAAACCCACGAGCACGGGTATGGTGCTGACAAACCTAGAAACGTAATCGGAGCGAACCGGGATTCGAACCCACAATCATATGTTTCTGACGTGCCCAATGGACGCAACTCTGCATAGCGAAGCGCGGAGCCTTAGACGAGTGGGCCACCCGTGGCCCCGTTATGATATAAAGAATCATGTGTAAGGTAATGAGTGAATTTAATTAGCTTCTTGTAACTTAGCCAAGATACTTTCTGATCCAGGACTATTTCGAGTTAATTTGTCGCAATCATATCACCGTTTTTGTGGACATTTTCCTTGTCATCAAAAGCCGTCTAGTACACGATTCACTGAACGCTGATAAATACAAATGTTCCGAGCAGAGTGGCAGGCTCATTACCTGTGGTAGGAGGAAGACACACTTGTCCGCAGCCGTTGGTGCAGCACTTGTGATCAAATGGGCAGTCGTTGTCCCCGGCGCACTCGATGGCACATACGCCAACTGTCGTCGTCGTCACAGCTGGGCACATTCCCGGTTTGTCTTCAAACAAATTACATGTCAGTCAGTCACAGTGTTAAAACTGGGGATATCTGATCCCTTGTCTTTGTGTACGTGCGTGTGTGCGTGTGTGTGTGTGTGTGTGTGTGTGTGTGTGTGTGTGTGTGTGTGCGTGCGTGCGTGCGTGCGTGCGTGCGTGTGGGGGTGGGTGGGTATGTGTGTGGGGGGGGAGGGGGATGTGGGTGTGGGGGTGTGGGGGTGTGGGTGGGTGGGTGTGGGTGTGTGTGTGGGGGGGGGGGGGGTGCGTGCGTGTGGGTGGGTGTGGATGTGGGTGGGTGTGTGGGTGTGGGTGGATGGGTGTGTGTGTGTGGGTGGGTGGCATGTGGGTTGGTGGGTCGGTGTGGGGGGGTGTATGCGTGCGTATGCGTTTGTCTTCATAATTGCTTAAACTATACCGAGACTAATGCCAGATTTTGTAGCGCAAGCCCGCTGCTCAGTACCAGCATACATGACTCCGAGCAGACAGGTCCTTTTTAACCCCTTAATGCCGGGAAGGGTAACAACAAGTATCACGTTTTAACATTTGTTTGAATGACATGGCCTGGTATCGAACCACCGTCCTTTCGCTCTCCTGCCAGACCTATCCGCGAGACTTTGGTACCTGCCTGGAAATGGGTACCACAGGGTAAAGCATATAATTAGGAGGGGTAAAGTAGTATTTCTAGTTTATGTACAATTCAGTCCAAAGATTTACTTTACCGGTTTCACCATTGTGATTTTCAAGAGTGGAGTTATGAATGCTGCTGCCGCGGGGCCCGGTAAACCATTAGTTGACGATGGCATTTGGCAGTGATGACGTAAGTACCTCTCCTTAGGGCAGTTAGTGAGTATACACCATGAACGCTGAATGCAAAAACTCATATGAACATGACTTGTATAGTGACCCTCCCGTTAATAGAAGTGGGATCAATACGAGGCATGCTCAAATCAAAGTCCCAACCTTCAAACCCTCAGTAAATCTTACAAAACGTTTTATGGTAAACAAGATGAGAACATTTCCAAATTTGACGCATCAATGACTAAAATTATGTACGATACAATAACCTATTTTGACGCTCCCGTTTGTTTTTGCTGAACAATTGACTTGCCTTTACATGTGTTTGTGATGGGTGCCACCGTTGAGGCAGGATACCCCACGGTATCATTACTATTTGGCTGTAATTCAATACATGAATAAAGGCAAACAATGAACCCCGCTTTATGCAGAAATTTCTTATGATTTCGTCTGGTTTTAATTTTATGCGAGGCACCACGTTCCGATTGTTTTTCTTACAGAAATGTCGGAATACCCCGATTTGACCGTGCCAACGTCAAGCATGATCGGGCGGTGGGATAGCCTAGTGATTAAAGCGTTCGCTCGTCACGCCGAAGACCCGGGTTCGATTCCCCACATGGGTCAAATGCGTGAAGCCCTTTTCTGGTGTCCCCCGTCGTGATATTGCTGGAATATTGCTACAAACCATACTCACTCACTCATGTATGATCATCATGAGAAAAAAATCTACACAGTATTTTTCAAACTGCTGTCCTCAACATACGTATGAATATTATTGTTAAGTGCACAAGCTATTTTTTTCACTTTTTTTAACACTATATATGTAGGTTCCATGTTGACCGATCGATCAATCACTTTCTTGGAGATAATTAGTCCTAATATTCACACGGAAGGCAACTATGCATTCTTCTGACTCCTTGTTCACAGAATTCTGAACCGCGCCAAGCTGGTATAACTATAATAACCCTCACAAAGTGAGAACGTCAGCAATTCCTTAACGCTTAATCCTCATTAGTTCCGGAGTGATGCGATACCACACTGATGCATGACGACATTACAGTCATTGCGGACACTGGCATTAATTATGAATCATTCGTATGTAGCATGGTATGAAGTTTTTAACCGACTGACAAAAATAGAACAAACCATTTTAATGCATTCTTCCGAGACTGTCTCGCTCGGCTAAACCGAAAATCGATCTCCAATGGGTCGTTCATCAAAGATGAAAGCTGTTTGTAGGTTGTTTAAAGCGCGCTTTATCTGTGAAAATACAAATGCCATCTTCGTCCAATGGCATTATCATCTTGTGTGTTTCCATATATTTTGAAACATGACAATGGATGCGAATAACGGAGTGACATTTTCTGTTTTCCTTTCTCGTCTTGATTCATTTACTTTGTTGTTATGTCAGTTCGCCTGTGTCATTCACTCACTCTGTACTTCGCTCACTCTCACTTTCCCCATCTCAATGTATTCACCCTCCACACATTCGCTGGGTTCCACATTTACTGTAAATCGTTCTTCAGTCTCTGTAAATGTTTCCTTTCCTGCCCCTTACTCCTGCTACAGATCATGTCCTCTTGCTCCTCCTTCCTCACCCATATGATGGACCCCGTACCACCACCACCACCACCACAACACAACACCACATCATAACACAACACCACCAGCACCACAACACCACAACACCACGCCACCATACCACCATACCACCACTACAACACAACACAACAACACCACATCGCCTAAACATAACATAACACAACAACAACAACACCGCACCACACCACAACACCACGCCACCATACCACCATACCACCACTACAACACAACACAACAACACCACATCGCCTAAACATAACATAACACAACAACACAACAACACAACACCGCACCGCACCACACCACAATACCACAACACCATACCACCACTACAACACAACACAACAACACCACATCACCTAAACACAACATAACACAACAACACAACACCGCACCACACCACAATACCACAATACCACTACACCAGATCACTACAACATAACACAAGAACACCACAACATCATCACACCACCAAGCCCCTACAAGGGGCGGTCAGGTAGCCTAGTGGTCGTCACGCCGAAGACCCGGGTTCGATTTCCGACATGGGTACAATGTGTGAAGCCCATTTCTGGCGTCCCCCGCCGTGATATTGCTGGCATATTGCTAAAAGCAGCGTAAAACCATACTCACTCACTCACTCACCAAACCCCTACACCATACCACCACAACATAACACGCCACCACACACAACACCATAAAACACAATACTCTATTCAACACAACTCAACACAAAACACCACACACCATTGTGCAACATCACACAACACCACCACCCTCCCTCGTTGATAATTAGTCAGCTGTTTTCATTTAACGGAATAAATGAAGCAATTTATTACAACACGTATAACAGGGGAGTTTCCATAGCAACAAAGCTCGTCTCTGACTACGCATGAATGTCTGTGAGTGAGTGAGTCGATTTTTGAGCCGCTGTTATACCAAGTATATTCAGCGGGACACCAATTATGTGTGTGTGTGTGTGCGTGCGCGCGTTAGTGTGTGTCTTACTGTGCGTGTGACTGTGTGTGTATGTGTGTATATATGTGTGTGAGTGGCTGTGTGTATATATTTGTGTATGTGTATGTATGTGTGTATATGTATATGCATGTGTGTGTATATGTGTGTATATGTGTGTGAGTGTCTGTGTGTTCTGTGTATATATGTGTGTATGTGTGTATGTGTATGTATGTGTGTATGTGTATGTATGATTGTGTATGTATGTGTGAATGTATGTGTGTGTTTGTGTATGTATGTGTGTATGTATGTGTGTGTATGTATGTGTGTGTATGTATGTGTGTATGTATGTGTGTGTAGGTTTATGTATGTGTGTATGTGTATGTATGTTTGTGTGTATGTATGTATATGTGTGTATATGTATGTGTGTGTGTGTGTATGTGTGTGTATGTATGTATGTATGTATGTATGTATGTATGTATGTATGTATGTATGTATGTATGTATGTATGTATGTATGTATGTATGTATGTATGTGTGTATGTATGTATGTGTGTGTATGTATGTGTGTGTATGTGTGTATGTGTATGTATGTGTGTATGTATGTGTGTGTAGGTTTATGTATGTGTGTATGTGTATGTATGTTTGTGTGTATGTATGTATGTATGTATGTATGTGTGTGTATATGTATGTGTGTGTGTGTATGTGTGTGTATGTATGTATGTATGTATGTATGTATGTGTGTGTGTATGTATGTATGTGTGTGTATGTATGTGTGTGTGTATGTATGTGCATGTGTGTGTGTATGTATGTGTGTGTATGTATGTGAGTGTATGTATGTGTGTATGTATGTGTGTGTATGTATGTGAGTGTATGTGTATGTATGTGTGTGTATGTGTTAAGAGACATATAGCATATAAAAATAGAAAAAACGCTTATTAAGCATAAAACGACCAAGAGCAATCACCTAGTATCATTTAATTATTCAATTATAAACTATGATTATCAAAATGGCTAAATACGCGACTGTAACGCTAGGCCTATTACATTATAAAGGAGCAGTTTGGTACGATGGTATTGATTAACGATGATTCTCAGTCATAACATCCACAGCATCTCCCATCTAGGGCGATGTTATGCGGTTGTAGGGCTTTTAAATAGCAACCTTTTGTTTACGTGTACTTCTATAGTAACGCCCAAACAGCTATTGTATATATCAAGTAAATCGACATAATAAACAAAGTAAATTATTCAGAGCAAAGATCAATTCTTCTTGTAAAACATGTCATCTGGTTTGGATGATTTTTGAAAAAAATGAATATTTACTTTGCAAAGACTATTACATCACGCATCGAGAAGATAGAGTTGTGAAACACGTTCCGCTTGGCCTGTTCCGCTTAACTGAGGAATACACTTATCACATGCTAAATCTGCTGTAACCTAACAAGTATTATAGGAAAGACAATGTAATGTAACATATAGCAAGGTTACAACATTCAAGTCCTCAGTAAAGCTTTAAAAAAAATAACCTTTTCGCGAACACCTTGTAGCACCACTATTTGATAGTGCACGTGATTCATAAACACACGCTCATGATATAGTCGGCATCGTGCAATCAACTCATGAATATGGGAAGGGTTATCGCTTCCACATAT